GAGTATGATACAAGAGGTATCTGAGTTCTGGCTGTTGCATCATTGGCGAGCGTCTATTCTCAAAAACCAGATTGTCATGGCGGTTGAAGCGTAGTGGTTTGCTGGGGGTGAAAATCTAGACGAACCAGCTCGGCTAGTCGACGGCCGGCTAGAGAACAAAGCTATGCTTCAGAGTCCAAAGGAGAAAACACGGCCATGCAACTTAAGACTCACCAACCGAACCTGCCTCCCTGTCGTACTGATCGACGGTCCAAGAAACAAGTTTTGTTGAATCTGGCCAGTCCAGGGGCTGACAGTTAAAAGACTTTATTGAGCGGCCATTGAAGGTTCCCAATCCCCAGGCTCTGTTGGAATCTCTGCATATTTTCCAGAGATTGTCCGGAAAGTACTGTGCCGAGTACTGCTTGCGTTTTCGTCAGCACTTTCCTTCCCTTTTGCAGGGCTCTTCTCCAGGCCGTGCGGTCCACTCTGCCCCCCCCTTCATCCGCTGCCGACACCAAACCCCCCGACAAGAAACGCCCCCCGTCTTCCCAGTCCGCTTCTTCCGACAAAGCCGAAACGGAGAAACAGATCCTCGAGGCCTGGCGACTAGCTGACCCAAGTGGCGCCTCTTTGGTCGCTTCTCCGAGCCCAACTCCGGACCAGATCAAAGCGATCACAGCGTCGGTGAAAGGTGTGAATACGGACCTGGTTGCTGACGTGGCGTGGACGTCCGCATTGGCTGGTGTTGAGGGCATTGCAGAGCGAGCCGCGGGGCGGGCTGCGCAGGGGAAGACGCTGGGGGGACGGGCGAGGGCGGAGCTGGCGTTGTGCAAGGTAAGGGTGTTTCTCCATATTCTGACTTGTAGAATGGTTTGTTGCAAGGAAAGATGCTCTGGAAGGAGTTTGGCCCTTTCACTTGACGAACAAAAAGCAGCTCACCACCCAATCGGTCTTTCAATAGTCTGGAACGGCCACGTCAGATTCCGGCTTCTACTGCACTCAGGTGCTCATCTGATATGAGAATGTTCGAGAGGTCCCTTGGCGGCCGCTCGGCGGTAAATGCAGATCTGATCTGCTTCTAGACATTTGCAGGTCTAGTTTTTCTGCTTCAAACCTCTTCTCTGGTTCGTAGAACCCCAGCTCCGCTCCTGCAGCGTTTTCAGCATAGCTTCCTGTCAGTCGCTACTTTACGACTCTGCATTCATCCATTCAAGCCCACAATACGTGTCAGGAAAATTGCACCTTCAGATCCCTTGCAAGTCGTCGAGAGAGCTTATGGTGGACATTCGTGCAGTTGCTCGTCATACTTTGAGTGAGTAGGATTTTCTCGGGCTGTTGAATTGTACTCGTTTGGAGACTCTAGCAATCATAGTCTGCTGAGGAATGATTTTTCGTTTGGATGCGATTTCCTGCGTTCTCTTCTCCCTTCAGCCCTATACAGGGGAACTGAATATAATTCTTTGTTTCTCAGATTGCCCTCGACCGCGAGAACGTGCACCTCCTCTCCGACGCCGATCTCGACCCGGCCGCAGCCGCGCGCCGCGCTGACGTCATCCGCCGCGCGGAGGGATCCCTCTCGTCGTTCCTTCGTGCGGGCGACTGCGCGGGCGTCGAGGACACGTGTCAGCTGATCTGGCAGGCAGCCCTCCCGCTGCTCGACCCCTCGAGGCGCCACGTGGCAGCGCGGGCGCTCAGGGCGGCCGCGAGCGCGCTGGAGACCGTCGGATCGGGGATGCACAGATTGAGGGCCCAAATTCATCTGGAGTTGGCGGAGTTGCATCAGGCGGAAGAACTGCTGTCAAAGGCGGAGGACGAAGCAAGGAAGGGCTTTGAGCTGGACTACGAAGCGCCCCCAGGAGAGGTAAGAAGAAAGTCTCGCCAGTTTGTCAATTCATTTCAAGAGTAAGGTTGAAAGGATGAGCAGCGCAAAGTCAACCAATGTTTGCGCAATCGGGATTCTATAGGCGGAATGTGGCGTACGTTCCGTCATGCCCTTTCTTCATGAGGTTCCCTCGACAATGTATGACTCCCGGAGATTGGACTTTACTCACTTTCATGTCCGCTTCCTATGTTTTTATCGTCTTTTCGTAATCAAGCGACACATCCCGACTACGTCCCTGAAAGTGTTCGTATCCATATTTGCTTTTCTTTCTGAAGTAGTTTCTCTTGGTTGTTTTGGTCGCGCATCGTTCGGTATCCCTTTTCAAGAAAATCTCGAGCGAGACAATTCAATGATAAACACATACTCTCCAGGTCGAAGCCGCCGGCTGTGACCGTCCCCTGGACCGCCACCTGGAGCCCCTCCTGAAACGTATGAAGCTCAAGCGCGACATCTACAGCGATCCCGACCGTCCGATGGACAAGGCCCTCATGATCATCGAACGAGCGAGAGAGGCCAAGAAGGCGGACGTCCGTGCGGACCTGCTGGCTAAGGCCGCGGCGGAACTGACGTTAGCGGAAGCGGAAGAGCAAACGGAAAGGGAGCGGATTGAGGAGGAGGGCCGGAAGGGCCGCGCTGAGGCGGCCGCGGCCGCGGCCGCGGTTCCGATTGCGGAACCCGGGGGTAAGGGTTCAAAAGGTGTGAAGGGAAAGGCGGGGAAGGAGACGCCTTCGAAGGGGAGAGAAACGCCGTCGAACGAGGCGGGTGTTGAGACCAGTCAGAAGGGAGTCACGTTCGGCGAGGAGAGGTTTCGACAGGGGGCGAAGGATAGGGCGCGGCTCTGGGCGGCGGCCGTGAGGATCGCCGTCGAGGCGAAGCTGTGGGAGGTCGCGCACGTTTACACCCAGCGCGTTTTAGGGATAGACTGGACTGTGAATAGGGACCGCGACATGGTGCTATTGCATGCGGAGGTCGCCTTTTTAGACGCGGAGGCATGCGCGGGTGTGCTAAAGGAGCGAGGCATCGAAGTCATTCCGCCGGAAAAAGGTGACCCCGACCGGAAGTCCGCCGGAGAGAGGGGCACGCCCGACGTCGCTGCTGACGTGGGCGGATCCGAGAAGGCTGAGACAAACGCAGCAGAGAGCAGTTCCAGCGACCAGACAGGAGCAGAATCCGTCGGCAAAACGGATTCCCGTCCTCGCGAAAGTGCCACGTCAAACGAGGGGAGCTTCGACGCTCGGCCGTATCAGGAACGCGCGTTTGGGGGCTATCACGAGGGCGCGCAAAAGGGGTTAGCGCTTAACGAGGCCTGGTTGGTGACTAACGCCGCGGCGAGCCTGTGGAATTTGTACCTGCCCTTGCTGAAAGCCAAGCGGTACGCACCGCTGGTCCCAGTCTTCCAGCCGATGCTCGACGCAGTGCTGACATTGCCGGCAACGATTGCGACCAGGGACGCGGTAACGGTCTGTGGGGTCGCGAACGCGCTCGCGAGCGGGCACGTGCACGCTTGCCTGCAGAGGCTCTTCCGTGAGAGCCGCTCCGCTCCGGAAGTTCCGCCGCTCGAGGCAACGGAACCGCCAGCGCCGGACAAAACGAAGGTCGCCCGCGGCAAGAGTCCAAACCCAAAAAACAAGGAAGCCGTTACGAAGTCGACGGACAAAGCTCTGCCGACGGGGGATTGCAAAGCGGCAAACGAGGCTCCTTCAGTGAAACCACTACCGTCCGATCAGGCCCCAAAGAACCAATCGGACGCCCCAGACCTTGCGCCGACGGACGCTCCGCTGGAGGAGAGAAGTTACACCGAGCTCCTCAGCTGGGGGCTGGAGGGCGGTCGCAAGCGGTGTGAAAACGCGCCGGAGCTTTCCGCGGCCTCAGAAGTCTGCTCGAAGGTCATCGAGAAGATGCAAGGCGTCGACGAAACTGTCCTTAAGGTGTTGGTAGCCACGCAGGCAAAAGTGCAGGGTTTGAGGGGTTTGGCGGGCGCGGCCGGGGGCGACCACGCGCTCGGCGCGTCAGGCAAGGCGGTCGCCCTGATCGAGCTCGCGAGCAATACGGCGGAGAGCGCCGGCGTGCGCGCGAAGGCGGTGGCCGATGCCGTGGAGGCGCTGCAGAAGGGAGACGGAACAGGTGAGCGGAACGGAGTGAAACTTGATCCCATTTGCATTCTCTGTTGAATGCCCGCTTCAGAGAGAAGAGCTTTTCCCAGCGTGGGTCCGTTGCACCGTCTTCGTCTGTTATCCGTCCGTTCATAAATTCGGCGGTAGATTTCGAGTCATCAGAAAAGCTGTTAGCGCAAGCGGGGCCGGCTTCGCAGGATGACATGACGATTCTGAATTTCAGAAACAAGCTTTCGGAGGAACTCTCTGCACATAGGGAGTCTTGAGCCGATCAACGTATCTAGACCGCTAATTCATCCCCACGACCCGCTAGCTTTTCTTCAACAATTAGTGCAGTGGAAAGGTGGAACGCTTTAGACCACCCAAGACCGATTCCTGCAATCCTCATTACGAACCTGCACAATAATACTCTCGCAGTCTCTTGACGAAGCACCATTTTAAAAATGCACCTCTTTTCTGACCTTCTTGCTCGCGCTCACAGAGTTGAAAGCCGGGGGCGTCAAGCTGGAGCTGTGGACCAAGGTGGCCCGGGGAGCGCTTGCTCTGGGCGACCTTCAGCGGGCCATCACCTGCTGCAGGGTCGCCCGGGGAATGGCGGAACAGCTCGGGGGAAAGGTAGGGCAGAGCGGACCGTCAAGAGCCGTTTCCCGAAGTCGAAGCATCTGTGTCTCTTCTATTCGGCAACGCAACATGAGGCGGTGAAGGCCTAGCTAGCGTCCGTCCGGGCTACTGCAGATTCGGTCAAATCTGGCCGCCTGACCTGAGCCCGTATCGAGCCAGTCGCAGTACTTTTCTCGAGCCGCAGAACTTGGGCCGTTCGATGAGAGGGATCCGAATTATCGCAAGGTCCAAGTTCTGCGCATCGGTCAAAGTTCTGCGCATCGGTCAAAGTTTTCAAATTAGCCTCTGGTCAGGCGGCCAGGTTTTACCGAATGTGCAGTATACGCTGGAGGAATTGTCGAAAGTCTGCATCTACTGTCTGGCACCACTGAGCTTGCACGACTTTGTGTTGTCGTGACGACGATCTCTCGAACAGAAGATGGGAGGGTCGAAACCGGCTGGAGTCCAAAAGTCTGACCTGTGGAAGCCTTAGTCGTGTGTCTCGATTGAATATTCCATCGGCTCTTGAAGAATGTTCCGGGTGGCTAGCTTCTGTGAGCATCAATACCGGACGACGCTTGTTCTCTGAAGCTGGCTTCTTCGAACGGTGCAAGCACCACGGACCTCTTGTACGAGCACTTTGGGGAAAGATGCAAGATCTATGGAGAGGGGCGAATGACAAAACCTTCTTTCTCAGCAGGCGCCGGCAGCGGACAAGGAGAACGTGCCGCACGCGGCCGCGCCGCGCCTTAAACCCTTAAGCCTCGCTCCGTACCACTGCTACTGGCTGTCCCTGGCGGAGATGGTGGAGGGCCAGGCGACCACTCAGCTCATCAACCCTGCTCGACAGTCGCCCGCAGCGCAGGATGCGCTGAGAGTAAAGGCTCTGGAGAGGTTCTTGGAAGGGGTGCGGTGGGGAGGCAAAGCGGGCAGAACCGACTTGGTAAGTAGATTCAGAAGCATGGGGACAAGGGATCAGGGTGTTCTATTCCATGTTAGCAATAGTCAATTTTCAATGTCCAAGCTGGGTCACACGGCCTTAGTGCTATTGTTCCATGTCTTGCGAAAAATCTAGCATCGCACTTCCTGAGGGTCCAACATTTTTCCTTTCGGATTGACCTTCAAAAAGGAGAAGGTTTGCTGGAGAACGTTTGCTAGAGGAGGTTTCCTGGCTTTTCCGTTGTCTGGAGAATGATTCCTAGCAAAACGAGTTCATTGAAATCTCGAGTGCCCTAGCAAATGAAAAGCACCCGTCCTTGGTAATCAACGAATCCTCTGCTGGTAACTGCACTTGAAAACTTGACAGCGCACTTAAGCAAAAGCGCAGATAGTTCTGACGACACTAGTGCCTCAACAGCTCCCTCCGATTCAGTTTCTTTCCGTTTTCTCAGATGTGCCGAGCCGCCGTTCTCTGGTGGAACTCCGCCCTCCCGCTGACGAAAGACGCGCCGGGGCGCAGCCTGCTGTCCGCCACGTGTCAGCCGCTCCTCGAGGCGCTGCTCGCGGCGCGCGTGCGCGCGCTCCCGCCCGAGCTCCACGCGTCGCTCTTTCTGGTTCTGCTGGAGTGCCTAGCGGAACAGGAACGGTGGGAGGACGGAATGAAGTGGACGGATCTGGCGGTACCGAACACGGCCTCCGGACAGCACAAGCACCTGTGGGCCGTCAAGACAAAGTTCATGGTGAGAATCACCGCAGCTCTAGTTGGCCGTTGCATCGACGCGGGTTCATTGTGATTTGTCTGACTTCTGAAAGGAGCGATGGTAGGAGAGGGATACTCTCAGTCATGGCGGTCTGATAGTGCGGCGCATCTTTAGGGTATGGTTGCTCCGGAGAGACTCACGCCCTCAGAGGCACAAAAGCCTTGAGCATATCGATGTGCCGCAAACGTGGGACTGCGATGTAAGGTAGAGAAGCCCGTCTCAAGGACGCGGAAAGCTGAGACTGGAAACACTTGCGAGCCACTTGAGCCCTCAGCTTTCTTGGCAAGCTCAAATGAGTTTCTGACGGCACGTCTTACGGACGCAGGTGAAGATGGGCCGTCCGATGTCCGAGGAGCTGGACCGCATGGGCGACAAGGACGGCGAGGTGCGCGCGCGCATGTGGGCCACCCTGGCAGCGCAGAGCGACGACCCCTTCGAGCGGCTCACCGCGCACCAGCGCGCGATCGACGCGCTCGAAGACACGCCCTGGATGCAGGTGTGACGGATTTCCTGCACCAATTTCCAGATATTTGGCCAGGACGAAGTGTATCACGTTTTGACAAGCAAATATATTCTGCTGCGTGTTCCCTCCTTTCCAAATCCAGTAACCAGCGCTATCTATCAAGTCGTGACGATGGTACCCATGGTCCAAGACTGACGATCTCTTATATTGCTCAAAGCGCAAGGTTATTAGAGTCTCACGTTCAGAATCTGCAACAAGCATGGAGACAATCACTGTCGCCAAGCATCGCGACGGCCAGATCGTAAAAAGGGATCTGCGGCTTTTCAAAGAAGCCCCCAACGTCTCGCAGGTCAAAAATAAATGAGAAGATTGCCTTATGCTAATTCAATTACTAGCAGAGACTCGTAACTTTTGTATCTGACGCCTCTATTGGCATCCGGATATTGAACCCCTTTGAGCTCTTTCTTCCCCAGGTCCCATACATGATTCAGTACGCGGAGTATCTGGCAAGCCAGGGCTACCCGGGTACCGATTCTGAAGACGTGCTTCTGTGCGCGGCCGACATTCTGCACGACTTGGAGGAGGAAGAAGAGGAGGAAGACAATGAGGCAGAAGCGGGTCACCAGTCACGCGGCGGCGGCGGGTCGATTGCGAGCGGGTCCAAGCACGGCCGCGAAAGAAGGTGAGGACCGCTTTCTCGACCAGAGTTCTTGCCCTGCAAGAAGTGCACGACACGTGCATGAACGACTTTCAACATGTATTATGTTTGGATCCGACTAATCTAGCAAACTAGCAGCGTTTGACAGAAGTGGAACGAGCCCCGCAGTCGGCTTCGGGTCTTTTCCGTGACGAAGAATGTGCACTCATTCTGGGGCCATTGTTCTGTGTCGGAGGATATGGACGTTGTTTACCACTCACAAGAGAAAGTTTCTGCCCATTTATCAATGTCGAGATTACTAGCAGTCATCAACGAGATCACTGTTTAGTGTCAGGAGTGAGACAAAAAGGATTAGTTACAAACGATTCAGGCTGTGACAAGGACACCAGATTTGAATCATTTCAGCCATTTACTCATCCTCAATCGGTTGAGTATCTTGTGCCCGTGTCCAGATCCACGATGGCTTCGTCCCGTCAGGGCGGTGGTTCCGTCGCCGGCCGTTCCACCACCGGCCGTTCCGCTCTTGGCGGCGGATCGCTCCGCGGCAGCCAGCACGGGTCCCTTCGCCCGTCTCAAGCCCCCACCAGAAAATCCATGGCGTCTCGAAGAGACGGCGGCAGCCAGGCCGGCGGTTCAAGGTGCCTTGCTTTATATATCTTAATAAAGTTCTTACCATATTTCAGTTACGAGTTGCTGAGGCTTTGAACGAGTCTTTCGCTTTACCAGTAAGTATTCTTCTGCCTTATTGCCTCCAATCTAAAGGACTCTTTTTTCGAGGCGCTGCGTTGTTCGTTTTCAGAGAGACGATTTCTCTTCTCTCGGATGCTGATTTTTTTGGTATCGTCCAGTCCTCGGTATCGTTGGGTTTTCCGGCAGTCATGATTGGCAGGGTTTGGGCTGCTTGCCCGTACTGAATTATTATGGTTCTCAGTATGTAATATTCGTGATGTTTCTCGCATTCTTTAGAGAGCCCTTGTCTACTTCTCTGACACGTGTTCCTCAATCGCATGTTGGTCTCTGACTGCCCTGTTTCCGTCTGCGCTCCAGGAAGGGCACTGTGGTCGGCAAGTCCACCGTCAAATCTGGCGTCACCTCCGTTTCCGCCGCCGGTCCGTCTCTCTTTCCGCCGGAACCGAAGCGCCTGCTGGAGCTCCTGCGCATTTACACCGCCCTGGCCAAGACCAGCGCGAGCCTGGCGGAGCGCAGGGAGAATGCGCTCCTCGCGCAGCACTTTGGGGTGCGCCTGATGCGCCACGTGTTGGGCGAGGTGAACGGACACGTGGCAGAAAAGCGCGCGGCTCTCGCGGAGGTGGCAAACTTCGCGGTAGACCAGGAGAGCAGGTTGGCGCGATCGGTGAGCGCGCGCGCGAGCGCGGTGCTGACGTCATCTTTCCGTCCGCTTGTTGCAGCATATGAGGACCTCTTACGAATAGATGGGAAAAAAGTTTGCAGACGGAGGGAAAGTTTGAGTTTCAGGTCCTAATTTTCTGATCATAAGGTTGAATGCCACAAGTCTTCTCCTACCTCTGGGCGGTGATCCCAGGCACAGAAATCCAGGCGGTCGGCTATGCTCTGGTCTGACGCCTTGATGCTCTTTCCTTATCGACCAGAATGCACGAAGCTTTCAGCACTTACCATTGCCGTTCTTCTCTTCCATTTTCGTACAGCACAATCTTACCAGAATGCATTTGTCTGGCTTCAGATGTCTCGAGCTGTCACTACACAAAATATTAGTACGCTACTTTATTCCTTGCGACATTCCGTTTGGTACCTAACACGCTCGTCTGCTGCTCAAGGATGCGTCGGTGCCTTTCGCGTCCCGTCTCAAACAGATTTGACTTGCTGAACAAGGGGCTGATCTTGAAAACCCCTGCGATGGCCCGCCTCAGAAAGAGACGCAGTTTGTACCTTTTGATGCAAACAACTACTGTACCTATTTTCTGCAGCTGTCCAAGGCTGCCGGTAGCGCAGTCACGACTCGTCCGTCCCGCCTGGGGGGGTCGCTATCCTCCGTTCCCAGCACCCCCCCGGACGCAGACCAGCAGCCCCCGGTTGCCATCCCCTCAACTCCTCAGGAGTGGCCACGTGTCGACCTGGCAGAGCAGGTCAGAGCCGGGGTCAAGCTGGGCAACGAACTCGCGGCCGCGCTCGCGAAAGCGGTCAAGGGTTTGGGGCTCAGCGCGGCCGCGAAGGCTGGCGGCAGCAAGAACAAGATCAACGGATCAGATTTGTACCGGCAGCTCGCGAAGAAGATCAAGGGCCTGGAAGCGCTCCTGCAAGAGGACGGGCCAAAAGCAACCCCGGACCCCTTCCGAGAAGCTATAGACGATCCGTCCGGTCTTTTGGCTACCCTGGGAAGCCTAGAAAGTTGTCTCCGCCAGGCGGGGATGGATCTGCACGCGCTGCCGCTGCGGCAGCTGGCTTACGTCACTGCTGACGTGGTCATGGGCCGCGCTGACGTGGCGCTTGCGCAGAAGCTCGCCATGGTGGAACTTCTAGAGAGTTTTGCGCTTAGGGCAGAAGCGGCGGAGTGGGAGAAGTTTCTAGGTGTCCTGGCGATCAGCCCCGAGGAGAGGAAGAAAGCGAGAGAGGAGGTCGAGCAGCGACTCGAGGCGAAGCGGTTGGCAGCGAAAAAGGTTCCGGCGGAGTCGAGGTCAGCGGAAAACGGAGATGAGCAAAATGAGAAGAAGAAGACAGGAAACGATAGCGAGAAACGAGTGCTAAACGGACGCAAAAGTCCAGATGCTTTAGAAAAGTCTGTTTCAAAAGCGATAAAATTGAGAAGCAAAGAGCATCCATTCCAAGCGCGCCACGCATGGCTCGCCACGGCCGCCTTCCTGATGACACGTGGCAGGTTCTCGGGAGCGCGCGCGTTTCTGACCGAGGCGAGCGCGCACGCGTGCGCCTTCGACGACGAGGGCTGCGCGGCCGCCTGCGCGCTCCACCTCGCGCGCTTGACACTGCTGGAGAACCGGCACGTCGAGGCACTGAGCCTGGTCCAAGAGGCGGTGTCAAGCGAGGGCGAAGTTTTTCAGTGGGTCGAACGCGCGGTCGCGGCCGCGCAGATCTTGCTGGAGGAGCTCCCGAGGGGTTCCGGGTTTAGCAAGGCACGTGTCTTGCTGAAAGCCGGAGTTGAGAGATTCGCGGCCCTCGCGAAACATACCGGGAGCAAGAGCGTGGGTTCTGGTAGAGCGGATTCCGGCGGAAGGACCGGAATGGGCCTGGACGCCGGAATCGCGGAGGCAACGCTGTTGCAAGAGCTTGCGGGGGTGGTGGCGTCAGAGTCGCGTCACTCGGTGCGCGTCGGGGACAAGAACCGGGCGGTGAAGACCGCTAGAGAAGCCGTTGAGATTCTGCAGAAGTGCTGCGATCGGTAAGCGTGCTCGGACATGGACTTTGATTCTCATCTTCTCAAAGTACTTCGCGAGTAGGTACTTTTCGTTTAAAGTTTTTCCATAAACAATCAAACTTTCACGGAGGCACAGCAGTGGTCGCTTAACGGTATCTTACATACTATTGGCTAGCCTTTGCTTTCAGTAGACATTCGAAAGAGTTGCAAAACCACCCGTTGAAATTGCCATTCAATGACACAAGGAACCTCGTGCTCGAGACAGGCAACTTTCGAAGTCGGAAAGGTCAAAAGCCGCCTTAAAATATTTTAGTCCTTCTTTCTGTTGTCACTCCTGCTCCTTCGGATCGGTTTGACTTCTAGAATGTATCAAAATAAGATCTTAGGACCTCCTTTGATGCCGTATTCTGCAGCTGGCGCGAACTGGGTGGCGGCGCGCCCTCTCTCTCCGCGACACTGGCCCACGTGGCAGCCCTCGATTGGCTGCAGCGCCAAGAAGGCTCGACCCTTGCACGTGGCACGTCGGAAGGAAGCCCGCGCGCGGCCGCCGACGCGCAGAGGCGCGCGCTCCTTGAGGCGCTTAACGAGGGCCGCGCGCTGCTGCAAACCTCCAAACCCGCCGGGACGTCAGCGGTGACGTCAGCGCCGCTCGCGCGGCAGGTCGCGCAGATCCTGGAAGCTTTGGCGCGCGCGGAGCTGGCCATGGCCGCGGGCGCGAGCGAGGCGGCGGAGGAGTCCGGCGGAAGGGTGGAGATTCCGCTGGTGGAGGGCCGGAACTCCGCTCCGGTGAGGAGGTGGGTCGACGAGGCGGAAGAGTTGGGGCCCGCGGCGGTGCAGCGGCGGAGGGAGGCGAACAGGGAGCAGGCGCACGAAGAGAGGGCCGTGGTGAGTGATTGGTCGCCGCGAAATACAGCTGTCGAAACTGAAAAGCAAACAATAGAAGGCACTGAGTAACGTTCAGCAGGAAATCAAAGGATCAAAGCTCTTTCATACTGCATCTTAGAAAAGCGAGTAAACTCCAATCTTGGCAGGATATAGCAAATGGAGAGCATGCATTTTGCCGAGCAATTCAGGGTACAAAAATCCGCGCGGATAGTATTCAACGGACATGCTTTTGACGCAGAGGAACCGTTCGACTTCACGTCTTCGGATGAAGGCTTCCAGTTCAGTGGCCTGGAGACTGTTGCAACGATGTGTCCTTTTCAAGATGGTCTTGTAGTAAATACCGTTCCTCCTTCACCGACCGAAAATCTGGTCCGGGCTTCAACTTCCAAGGCCTCACATTTGGACCATCTTTACGGTAGTTCGCATTCATCATTGCTCCCAAGAAAGAGATCACATCGGTCAGATAAGAGGTTCCACGTCTGAATCTGCAATTGTGGGTCTTATCTCGTCTTCGGCCCTCTGCAGATATACGCGAGTGACGCGCTCGCCCTCCTGGGCGACGGCCCCGATCTCTGCCACGTGGCAGCCGCCCTTCACTGCACGCTCGGCATGTGCCTACTCGAGCACAGCGCTCGGGAGATGCGGAACGAAGAAACGCTCCGGAAAGTGCGGCAGAGGAACCAGGAGGAAAACGGACGGGAGGAACCCCTAAAGACACCGGCTGATGGGCTGGCGGAGACGGGGCCGGCTTGGCCGCTAGAGGTCCAGGAGTCCAGCGGAACGGTGGACCAGAAGAATAAGAACGGAAACCCAATAGCTGGAGAAAAGCAAAGCGATAGTTTTGAAAGCGGTCAGGATGGGCCGCTGCTTGAACCAGCGAAGAAAACCGATACTGAATACTTGGAGAAGATCAAACCTGCAGAAGCCAGAGACGAAGGACCGTCTGATAGTGTTAAGCGGCTCCAGCAGCAGGGTGTGAATGCGCTCGAGAAGGCTGTGTCAATCGGCCTGAGAGAGGGGCGCTATGACGTTGTGTCGGAGGCGGCCGTGCGCTTGGCCGACTTCCACGCGCGCGCGGGTCCAGCGGGTTCACAGGCAAAGTGCGCAGAATGCGTGGCGCTCGCGCAGGGCTGCAAGGCGCGCGCGTTTCTGAAAGACGCGCTCGAAACCGCGTGCGCGAGGGACGACGCGCAGATCGTCGCGCTTCGAAAACTCGCCAGTGTGAAGAGCCGGGAAGGACGTTTCAGCGGTTGGCCGGAACCCCCTTTCGCGGACTTCCGGGTGCTTCAAAACCCAGCGGATGACCTGGACGTGACGTCAGCGGAAGCCGCGGTCCGCGCGGCGTCGCCCTGCGCGTGGGGGGTTTTGGAGGGGGTGAAGAATCAGTCCTTTGGGGAGGCGATTGCGAGGCTGCCGAGCGACGCGGCGGGACTGATTCTGCATTTGGATGAGAAGCGGGGGGCGCTCTATGCCGTTTCTATCGGGCCGGTACCCTCGGAGTTTCCTACCGGGCAGGTGGGGGAAAAGGGGAAAGCGGACGAAGCTGCCGGGGTGAAGGACAAGGGAGGACCGGGTTCTAAACGCAGGACGAGCAAAGGGAAGGGCGGAGTCCCCCAGAAAGAGACACCGCAAAGTGAGAAGAGCGGCGAAGAGGGAGCGGAGCCCAAGACGAAGGAGCGCAGAATCGAAGTGATCAGGTTAGATCTGGAAGACGGCGGGCGCCCGCTCTTCGACCTCGTAAAGGGTTTCGAGGTTTGGCGCAACCAGGCGAAGCGCGCCGTGGCGCGCGCGCACGTGGCGCCCGTTGAAAACCGTGCCGATGGTGACGTCAGCGCAGTGAGCGTTGGGAAGCTCGCTCCAGGGACCGCGAACGTCGGCAAGCCAAAGGGGAAGGAGACACCGCCCCCGGGAGAAGCCTCCGGGCTGTCGAAGGTCGCGAAAGGGGCGGAGAAAGCCGGCGCGCCCGAGAAAGGCCCGCGCGCGGACTCGCGCGCTGGGCGGGCTTCAAAGCCGCCCAGCCGGCCCGCGTCGCGGCTGCAACGGACGCCGTTGGATGCGGACCTCGAGGAGCGGTGGACGGCTCTGATCGACCGGATGCGCGAATTCTTCCAGCCGTTGAAAGCGGCATTTGACGCGGCCACCGGCCGCGCGACTGAGAGTTCGCCTCAAGGGGACAGAAGCGAGTCACGCCAGTCAGACAAACCTAGCCCTCCGGAAGGGCCGATTCAGAACGCGGCTTCCGCAGCCCCACTCGCGCCTCGACAGCTGGTACTGTTTCTTGACGGGGCGATAGCGGCGCTACCCTTCGAATGCTTACCAGAGTTCCAACCGCCTCAAGTCCTCTCCGTTTCGAGGGACTTCTCGCTGGCGGTCTTCGCGCACCGGGTCGCGCGCGCGGCCGCGTCCAAACCCTCCCACACCCTGCCCCTAGACCTCCGGCGCATGTGCTACGTGGTCGATCCTCAGAACGAGGACAAGCCGCGCGCCGCGCGCCTGCCGACACGTGTCACGCCCCCTTTGGCCGAGGCCTTCTCTGAGATCAGCCAAGCATTGGCCGGGAACTTCAATGCGAAGGAGTGGCGTGGCCTCACGGGAGCGGAGCACGTGCCGAGCGACGGCGAGATCCAACGGCTCGTGGCAACTAGCAGCGGCATGATTTTCGTGGGCGTGGGGAGGTTCCTCGCTTACGTCAGCGCGGCCGCGCTCGCGGCGCTCGATCTGGGCACGTGCCAGCTGGCCGTCCTGGCTGCAATGAGCGTCAGCGATGAGAGCCTGCGGCGGCAGGTGAGCGATCCGATGCGACTTTCAATTCGTTTGTCGAACTTTGAATATCTCAGAAAACAGGGGAGTGGTTATGGTAACTCCTTTTCCCACTCATTCAATCTCGTGGTAGGGGTGACTGCCTGATTCTTCTTCGGTGGTTTGGGCTTGCGAGGCGCGATTCCGTCCCGCTACCTTCTACATTCAACCAACAGGAACCAAACAGACCTGCTTGCGCGTACTGTACTACTGAGGAGAGTCAGTGATTTCCTTGTATCTGTCCAAGCGGCAGGGTTTATTTTGCGTAAGACTCTGACAGAATGGCACGGGGCTTGCGGGGTTTTCTATCTAACGATCAGATCGGATTCAGAGTCTGTTGAGTATAGCATGCGTCAATTTGAGCAATACGGCGTCCGGACCCCACGTGGTCCCTCGAAGAGAGAGTTTTCCCCTTGCCCGTGCGGTCAGCATTCGCTTTTCGGCGTCCGTCCGCCATTAAGCATCCTGTTGTTTCCAGGATCCATCAAAAGATGTCTCAGTATCTCGGAGGACCGCAGACGAGCTTTCTCACTTTTTCAATGCAAAACTCGAAAGTCCGTTTCGGTTCCGTTTCTGCAGGCTTTCTTGGACAACCGCAAGAGCCACGAAGCGCGCGAGCTCGAGCGGCCGGCCAGCACCGCGGCCCTGCTGACGTTGTGCGGCGTCAGCAGCATCGCCGTCAACCAGGTGAGCGGAGCGCCCTGCTTGCTGACGTCGTTCCATTCCCGCTCCGTACGGCAGCAATTCATTTTAGGATGGCGCTTCGACTCTGTGAGGAGAGTTCTGATCAATGTTATAATCTCAGTTATGTTAGCAATCACCTTGTGTCATGTCTAATTCTTGCCGCCGTCGTAATCTAGGCCAATCAGTCTATCAGACAGTGTTCCAAGGGAGAACTTCGAGTTCTTCTCTTTCCCTTTGGCTTGCATATTGCTCCGACTCACACCTACGAAACATTTTTACAAAGCTAACTCGCTGTACAGAAAGATATCAGGTGACACGTTTCTGCCTTCCAGCTTGTTCACGATGCGAATCTTCTTGCTTTGCAGGCGGTGAGCACGATAGACGCCAACCAGACCCTCGTAAGTGGTCTCCTGCAAAGCCTGACGAGTCAGCCAGGGGTGAATGTGGGGCAAGCCCTAAGAGAGGCGTCTTCGAAAGTTGATGCGACTGAGCTGCGGTCGCTATCCGCAAACATGGTGCTCTATGGACTGCCAATGTTGACTCCGGGATAAGCAAGTAACAAAATGTACATGACTTCTTGGTTGACAAGAAGATAAGTTGTGGATTTTGGTTATATGATGGGAACATTACCAAAGATCTTTGCACGGCGAATGATCATGCACGCATAGAATCGTCAAATGCATTCAATCTGCAATTGGGATCCGATTGATGCTTTTTGAATGATAGACGTAACAGAGCAAACCGAAAAGAATGCACGTGTGCATTGTTATACCCTGACTTAAGATCCGTATACCGTCACTTAAATTGCGCGTCGACAGAAGCAACATGCCCCAGGCCTCTTATGCCTGGATTTCTACGCCGCCCGTTCGTGGACTTATTAAATCGGGCTTATTCGGAAAATACCTATTTATTCATGCAGCCGGCCCATTCGTCATGATCCTGGCACTGTCGATGCCGAGTGATCTAGTTCAAATGACCATGCAAGTACCGTAGCTTGAAAACGTCAAGCCTCCAACCTTGGAGTTGTGCACTTGTGCGACCTTGGTACCAACTTAGCACATGCACAGCTTTCCTGCATGCCATGCACAGTTGTCAGCGCGTGCCATGTTACACATTATATCACGATACGGTCCACACCCATGGAATTTGAAATCATGCACGCACAGGCTTCGAGTAAAGGTTTAGGATTGTCTATGTCACTATACTGTATTGGCAGAAGGTTTTCCCTGCTGTCTGCTAAAGTACACAAACTCGTTTCTTCAATACGACTCACGATCCAGAGCTCTCTTCGCGTAGCACGCTTGCTAATCGGAAGAGGGCCCGGTGAAGATCTCCTGTCACAACGTCCTTGAGCTCCTTTCGGCTACCGACGAGTGAGAGGCTGGTTATTTTGTCAATGATTGTCACCTCGGATTTCGATGTTCTTTTGACCGTTGAAGTACTATTGGGCAAGCCCCGATGCTTGCTTTCGACGAAGAGTTGCTTGCTATTGTAAAAAGGTTGTACTTGAACCGCCGGGCTCCATTGGACCAACTGCTGTTTCGGCTCCTTCCAAATTTTTATCGTCGATACCATTCCGTTCCCCATCTTTGCTTCTCCAAAATTCAAGGGCCGACATACAACCGATTGTGCCTGCCAATATGCGACCGATGTTCACAGCATTCGTGGCCCCATCCCGCGATCATCACGTGAACTCGCAACCGGCTGCGAGCTCAACGCAAGCGCCATATGCGTTCGGCACCACCCGACGCGCGTCACAACGACTCTCCCAGCGGGCTCTTGGTCTGCATCCGCGCACGCGCCTCAGCAAACATTTTCTGCTGGGCGGCGATGGCCTCTTCGTCCGACATTTTGGGCCCTTGCTTGGACCACTTGTCCATCGGCTTTGGAGACTCCTGAAGGGAAAAGCAAAGTAGGCGCATCAAGGGTGCGTGAGTAGTGGAGGCCGATTGGTTGCTCGCATGGGTGGTCGGCCTGTCAACGAGTGAGCAAGATCAGACTTGGTTGCAAAGGCAGGTCCTCGAATGTATCCGGAAAAGGAAACATTCGAACACTTGGATTCGCCAGCGACTGCAGGAGAGTCGAAGAGGAGCTGGATATGGTGACGAATATAAACAGCTAGACGTTTATTGAGGCTTGAAGGGCTGTTACAGGGCCGAGGTTTCGCTGTCCGATGCCAATCTTGTTCATTCGCCGCCTGCTCCCTGTCCAGCATGTAATGTTCATACCCAGAAACAAATGGCAGACGGAGGCGGCGAAGATTAGATGTGGACTCACAGAGCAATAGGCAGAAATTGTAAAGAGGAACTTACAGCGGCTGATGCATCTCGACTTGCATTCCAACTTCTAAGGCCAATAAGAGACCTTTAGTCACTTTAACACACCACAGATTGGATCCGGCGCAAACGGTCGAACCCAACCTCCTACTCTGTACCCACCCCCAAGGATACCTTGTGTGAAGGTACAGATTGAAGCTCTTTTCACGTGGCCGCAGGAACGGGTTGGGACAGCAGTTCCGGACAATGTGTTCTAGAGACTGACAACTCACCAGCATTGCGGCTTTGTGCTGCCGCCACGTCTCCTTGACTTCGTCCAGCAAGTTCGCAAAACCGAGGTTCTGGAACAGAAAACAGATGAGGAGGTCAATCATTCTATTGCCTCCGCTTTCAACTTTGACAAGGGCCACAAAAGTGGCATCTGCAAACCTTGGGCATGTGTCTGGATAAACGTTCTTCAGCAAGTGCACAAGACTTTTTCGACGGGGACTATGGGGTCGTTTCTTTATCCGATGGCCAGCCTCGAAAAGCCTCCATAAGCAGTAACAAGTCGGCTTCTGAGTCCCACAATTGGCAAGGCCCAAAGCAAAGACAGGATGGGAGTCAAGTCGAGAAGGCCACAGAAAAGCCCTTCTCAAAAAACTTGGTTAAGGATTCGGCCTGGGTGACGGACGTACGAAAAAGAACTCAACAAAAGGCATCTCAAAACCAAAGAAACGTTTGGTTTACAGCAGTGAAGCTTGCGACAACTTGACAGGAGACAAGCTCACCTCCAAGGCAGCCAGCACGTGCTCTGGCATGAGAGTGGACCTCTTCTCCTTGTCGCAAAGTTCGTTAGCTTCCGACGAGACCAAAGTGATGAATTCTGCACAAGGATGGTCAGCGACGGTCAGAGAAGATGGCCTAGTGCATAGACTTGACCTCACAACAAGACGGGTCCGAATGTCAGCTATCGCCTCCCGAAAGAGTATTGACAGGACCTATGCAGGACCCATGGTGGAGACGTCATGGCTTTAGTGGAGTCTCGATTCGGTGTTTCTGGCCACGACAGCCAGAGACAAGCCCTCTTTCCTTTCCTGCACCTGAGTCCGATGACGTGGCAAAGCTCAAGAGGCAACTTTTCTTTCCTGCTAGTGCCAGCTTACAGAGTAGGCAGATTGTGGTTGGCATCCACAATTGCAAACGAACATTCTGACAAATGAAGGGCAACATGCCCAGACTCTGCACGAATAGGAGATGCCTAACATGAAACCCTGGAAAGAAACGAGGGACCACGCCTGTACTAGGTACTCTTGACGGCCAGATAGCAAGCGGCTTTACCTGTGCAGCAATCTGCAAGAAGATCCTTGACTTCGTTCGACAGCCGTGCATCGGGCGGAAACATCTCGCGCACGACTTTGTGGACAGTAGCTGCACGAGGTACAGCCAGAAAGAAGTTTGGTCTATTTCTTAAACCCCACTATTACGCTGTTGCTTTGGGGAAGATGTCCTGCTTGCCGGTGTCTACTTTTGACCACCATGAGGGTAAGCTGGTAGATAAAGAACTTTCCTCTTTTGCTCGATGAAAAACTTTGTAGCAATGCTGCAGGCGCCCGAATGTACCACGTCTAAGGTGGTAAAGCCAATTTTACGCTGTACTTTATCCAAAAACAACTTTCCACAGACTCCTCATGTGCACCTTTTGATTGATGGATAGCTAGAGACTTACCCTTGGGCAATCCTACATCAGTGTCCTTGGGCTTTCCTGCGGTCGTCTCCAAGTCCGCCATTCCGACTACACCACTTCAATACGTCCTTGAAGTGGTGTCCCTTCTCAAACACCAGAGCAAATTTGAGCAGAAAATAGTTTGACGAGCTACAGAATCAGTAGAGACTTGCAAAACGGCTGCATGAACAGTTTCAACAACCTTGCGCAATGATTTCAAAGCTGTGATTCTGAAGCTGGCGCCAACATTGACAAAGCAAACTAATAGCAAATTAGCAAAAGCAGAGCAAAGCCAACCAAAGCGCACTACTAGCTCGTGCGCGCGCCGCGCGCCCTAAAATCAACATGCCATGACGCAGGTAACTAATCTACGAGGTGACACTGAACTTCGCCACAGATCGCCGGGCACCAAGGTTGCCAGAAGCGTGGAACGAAGTACCGAGGCTAACTACCGGGAAAGAGAAGCCGGAGTGATTGTTGAATATGAGTTTACTGAATTTTGCATGAGTCGGAATGACCGGCCAGCGTGATAGTCGGAATCAACCGGGATTGACGACTAGGTCAACACACGTCAACAGCGATCACCCGGTACACCGATCGTTACTAAACCCGAGTACGTAACTGAAAAATTCCAAGATATCAAATCTACTTTTGTCTTCTTCCCCCGGGTCTTGAAATGCAGCGACTTTCTGCGTGTAGAACACACCGAGACAGTCGCTCTAATGAAGTTCCCCGAGGAGTCATTTTCGACGGCGTCTGAAAATGGCCGTAGATTCTGTTTGACGGAATTGACGTGAGGTACGATCCGTCACTAAATTCTGTCGCTAAAATGCAAAATAGCCCGCACGCGCGGCATCCAAACCGGCGTTTCGACGATAAACGCGCATTTATGTAGAATATGGACCGATTCTATGGACAACGTGTGCTGAGAAGTTCAGTAATTATTCTTTCCTTGAAACCACGTGACCGGGACAATCAGACGCCAGCCGCCCGATTTACGATGTATGATCAACGGCACATGTTGAAGTCATTGCAAAAGAATCGTGGCCGTCGATTGACTGGGGCACAGCTCCGCTGATGCACGTACTATCACGTGGTCAGCCGATGCTGACATCATCTGGCTCGGCAACGGCCGCATCAAGAGCACGTGCAGCAAAGGCACAAAATATCAACGGCTGCGAATATCCGCGGGGATTGCAACTCGCAGATGCCGACACATGTAAGCCTGTGAGGGGTTTGGCAGCGGCGTCGCCAATGAGAATCCAGCAACCGTCGAAGACTGGAGCCGCGCCACAATCTTTCCTGGCGACCATCTCGTCAGCAATCTAGCAGCGGGCCCGCTCAAGCTAGCTGCTGAAAACAGCAATGGGCGCAGCAGAGATGCGCGCCGCCATGGCTGCCCCGCGCCTGGCATTGCACAAGGAGAGCAAACTTTTTCAGGAGCTGAGAGAACGCTAGGCTGCCGCAAGGTGATTGCTGCTGGTTTGAAGAAGGACGACCTGTTCGTGGCAGCATTTGGGTTTTGATTGGCTGCTTGCAACCCTAAATCAGCATTGCCTCACTTCTCGTGCATGGCCCCCTTTTGACTTCGAAGACAGCAGCGCCGACAAAGCAAGACGCGCAACATTGTTCAAACGTGTCCTCACTTGGTAGTGACCGTCATTTTGACAATCAGCCGCCTTCGTCACAACAGCTGGTCACAGGGGGGGAGTTTCCAGCAGCTTCAAAGAGTCTTCGCCTGCAAGGCTTTGCTAAGCTTCCAGGATTCCAGCATTGCAGCATTGGAAGCCACGTTGAGATTTGGAAGCTCATAAAGCAACAGGTGAATTCAAACTTTCAAAACTTGAAGACACGGGCGCAGCAGAAAGGCAAGCAAGGGAAGAACTATTAGCTCTGAATTCCGCTCTGCACAGTCAGCGATCAACGCCTCTTCCCCGGTCGATACCTAGTCGACCTAGCAAATCAGCTTTATACAAGCGCTTCTCTTTGAGCTCCTACTTGCTGCTTTCATAAGCTCGCAATCTGCACTTTGTACATCAGCATTTCTAGCAAGTCTTGTGCAATCGAACTGCAGACATGGCCGGACGGGGACGCGGACGGTCCGAGGATCGGAATGCCGGATTAGCGCTCTTGTTCCTGGTGTTGGCACCAGCGGTTGTGCGCGCGTTTGACTACAACGAGGCCATGAGCAAGACTCTCTTGTTCTTTGAGGCGCAGCGGTCGGGCCCGCTCTCAGCTGGCTCGTAAGTAATGTCATCATCTGAGCAGGCTATTGTTGTGTCTCTGAGGTGATGGAAGGTTATATCAGAAATGATGTAGCTGGAGATTGTGAAGCAGCATTGAGCAGGACCTACTGGTAGTCATCAAGACCATGATTTGCTGGGAGTGTACTTGTACAACTATGCCAATCAGCGCAGGGAAGTGAGGAGGTGAATGTAGCTTGGAAGGTTCAGCTGACGACATACATGTCTGTGTGACATGCATACCTGCTCAGCTTTCATTTGTTCTGGATGCAAGCTTCTGATACTCGCACCTTCTGACAACAAGACATCCCTTTTTGCAGATCAAGCAACTTCAAACTTTGTTGATGCAAGTAGCTTTTGCTTTTCATGTCTATAAAGCACTCCTTCATATAGCAGCTTTGGTTGTGATGTGCTCAAGCAGTTCTCCTAGGCCTTCCATCAGCTTATTCAGTCTACAACTGCTCACACCTGCTCATTCTTTGTGCAGAGATCGTGTCCCATGGAGGGGTAGCTCAGGTCTGAGCGACGGCTCTCTCGCGGGGGTGGATCTGACGGGGGGGTACTATGATGCTGGCGACAACGTCAAGTTTGGATTTGCCATGGCCTTTTCAATGACGCTGCTTTCGTGGTCTGTGGTTGAGTACGGGTGAGTGACATCATCCACCTCAATTCAGTGGACTGCGTATCAATGATTCGATCCAAAGATTGTGCTTTCATCCAGGTTGCAACTGCTGCCTCGGCAAGACTGGAAAATGTTCATTGGCTGGTTAGTTCTTGCAAGCTCCTCTGACGTCGTTATGGAAAATGTTCACATCTGTTTCAACGTATTTAAATTGGTTGTGCTTGAGCTTGACAGAAGGCCCAGTCAGATCTGGTTTCCATTTGTTCGGACACTATGGTAGTACACCAGCCGTTTGAAGTTGTTAACATTGTTTGTTCTTAGCAACGGTTCGAAGGATCACCGTGCCTACGTTTTATTCTCCGGCTTTTGAGCTTCTGACTCCCTGGACCCCTAGCTCAGTGGAAAAAGCGACCCAGATTCAATCACACCTGGGCCTGATCGACAGTAATCACACGTCGTAGATACATGGCAACAATTGCTGACCATTCAACTCTTTTTCTCTGCTCTCAAACCGGTTATGATCTTTTACTCTGAGCTTGAAGAACACAGTGCAATCTCGGCTTCTGGTCGACTTTTCTCGCAACCTGCTGACTTTCTCTTCTCCCTTCACGAGCTCACCTCACTCCTCACCTTCACGGGGTCACACCCCAACCCCCGTATCTTGTTCTCATCACACCACATCAGCTCAAGACCAACTCTCACACCCTAACCACTGCAACTCAGATAGCTCTTGATCAATTTCTCACGGAGCCAGTTCACACTCTCTCTCGGTTCCACACTGGAGCCTTTTCACACAATTCACTTCAGCACCCCCCACGATAGCACTCACGCACCCCACCCACACGCCACCCCCCCCACACGAAATTGCAGAGACGCCATGAGCTCTGCTGGAGAGCTGCAGAACGCCCTCAACGCCGTGCGGTGGGGCACTGACTGGTTCCTCAAGGCGTACCAAGGCCCTACCACGCTCTACGCTCAAGTCGGTGACGGGAACTCCGACCACGCATGGTGAGGATTCAGGATAAAAAGTTCTTGAGGTTCAGGGTTTCCGCGAATTACGATTTTGGGGTGTTCGATTGCAGGTGATGCCTCTACTCATAAGGTACTGCGTGGAGCTGTAGTGATGCTTGTTGAAGCTACCTGATAGATCAGGGTGTTTGAAGTTTTGTGAAGCTGTCGAGAATTTCTGAAGCAGTCGGCTCCCTTCGGAACTTGCACCAAGGGAACATTGGACACGACACTTTCTATAGCTCTCACGGTAGCAGGAGGTTGCCTTTCTCGAACGAGAAGTCCGAAAGCTAGTTCAGGTTGCTTGCAGCTAAGATGTCCTGGCGCTTATACTGCATAAGCACAGGCCCTTCTACTCGCTCATATCCTCGCAGCTGGGAGCGCCCCGAGACAATGGATACCCCCCGCAACCGTGTACACGGTTGATAAAAGTTTGACAAGGCTTATCCAATCACTTATACTTGAAGCACGAGCTCTTAAACTCGCTCACATCCTCGCAGCCGGCAGCGCCCCGAGACGATGGACACCCCCTGGAGCAGGATCTGACACTTCAGCACAAGCTCTTATACTCGCTTCCTCATATCCTCGCAGCTGGGAGCGCCCCGAGACGATGGACACCCCCCGCACCGTGTACAAGATCGACCAGAACAAGCCCGGGTCGGACTACGCGGGAGAGGCGGCTGCCGCACTCGCTGCCGCTTCCATCGCCTTCAAGAACTCAGACCCGTCGTATTCCGCTACGCTTTTGGACAACGCCAAGCAGCTGTTCCAGTTTGCCGACCAGTACCGCGCCAAGTACAGCGACAGCATCCCTGAGGTAAGAGAACTGCAACTAGTGTGCTTCTGTCGCGACTGAAAAAGATTCACGCGTATTCCCTCCCCCCTGGTTCGATGATACTGAAAGAGGAGCTGGGCTATGAGAAACTGAGCTTCTGTTCTTCCCCTGACATCGTGACTTCCACGGATGAGCTGAAAGTGAGATTTTCGACAGCTTGAAGGATCGCTTGGCAAGGAGCTGATTACTCATCCACCGACTCCGACTCGGAGCTAGTAGTATCCTGATTGCAAAGCTTTGCAGTCACGGTTTCACGTGCGTTGTCCCTTCCCAAGCCTCGTGAACGAGAGAGGCAAGCTGTGGTCTTACCTGCAAACCCCGCAATACTGAAGTCGCCTTAATCCTTGCTTAACTCACGGCTCAACCGACGGCGTTCGCCCACCAGAACCGTCTGATTTCCCGCGCTCCAAAGCCCCCGGCTCACTTCCCCCGACGCTTTCTGCAGGTCCAAAACTTCTACAACTCCTTCAGCGGCTACAACGACGAGCTCCTCTGGGCCGCCGCGTGGCTGCACCGCGCGACCGGTGACGCCACCTACCTCAAATATGTCGACACCAACGCGCAAAGCCTGAACGGCCTCGGCTCTATCTCCGAGTTCAGCTGGGACAACAAGCTTGCGGGCGCACAGGTAAACTATTTTTTAACTTCATAGTTTAAATCCGATCTTGTTCCTCGAGTCACTTTTACACTGTCGCTCGGCAGTAGACCCTCGCCTATCTGTCTTTGCTATCGCCTCAGGCGACCTTGATTAGGCGGCTTCTCTCTTCGAAAGATTCTGCTCATCCTTGCCGCTGCACAAAAGCGATTTCTGGCCGCACCTTTTCTACTTCCTTAATCTCATTGCCCTCCCCCCAAACCTCAACCCAGTCTTACCCCCCAGCCATTACATCTCATCCCCCCCCCCCTCAAAATCTGACCCAATCCCTTCCCCCCACGACAGATCCTGATCGCTCGCCAAGTCCTACACTGCGGCGCCGACTCCAGCCAGAACCTGAAGCAGATGCGCCAGATGGCCGAGCAGTACGTGTGCGCTTACGTCAATGGTGGCGTCACCTCCACCCCCGACGGCCTCGCGTGGGTCCGCCAATGGGCTCCTCTCCAGTACTCCAACAACGCCGCGTTTGCCGCCGCTGTGTACAGTGACTATCTGGCGGAGGCCGGGCAGAGCCTCACGTGCGGCGGAAAGACCTTCACGCCCGATCAGGTAAGGAGCCCTGGAATCTGAGAGTTCCGGTCGGTTCCGGCTTGTTCGACCAGTTTTTTGGCTTGGCGGACGCCGGCTCACACCGTGACTGCTGTACGACTTGCTTCTTTGCTCCCCTGTATTTGGCATCCGGTTGTTCCCTTGCTCCCCTGTATTCGGCATCCGGTTGTTCCCTTCTTCTGATTGACTCGTAACGTCTGCCCGCTTTAACACGTCAAAGCGTCAAAGCAAGCTACTTTTTGCAGTTCGGGTGTTTGAAGCACTGGTTTCTGTTTGACTCTTCTTTTTGCGACCTGGAATCCGTCGCTCACCCGCGCTCCTCCGCCCCGCAGATCATGACCTGGTCCAAGTCTCAGGTCGACTACGTTCTCGGCAAGAACAACGCGGGGCGGAGTCTTATGGTCGGCTTCGGCAACAACTACCCCACCCGGATGCACCACAGGGGGGCCTCCCTGCCCGTGACCGAGACCCCCTACTCGTGCGGCGAGGGCTACGCCCAATTCTACAACACGCAGAACCCCGACCCGTGAGCATTTGACCCTCCTCTTTGCTTGCGTCAGCTGCCATCTGCTAAGCTCCCAAAGCTTGCGTGTTCTCAAGCGCCGACTCCCTTGGCTTCGCACGAACAATCCCGTCTCATCCGCAAAGCCCGGCTTTCGTTTGCTCCTTCTGATCTCTCGGCCTCAAAAACCAGCCTGCGCGGGTTGCATCTTAAAGCCCGACATTTCTTGCGCCCTTCTACATTTCTTCCGCCGCCACTTGCAGTCCGCCACAATTCTCCTTGCTATAGTACCTTCCTAAAACTCTGTCCCCCTCCCCCCTCGGCACCGCCTGAACTCTCCCCCCCCTCCCCGCAGGAACCTGATCACGGGCGCCATCGCGGGCGGCCCCGCGCAGGACGGCTCATACGCGGACGACCGCAGCCGATACGAGCAGAGCGAGCCCATCATGTATATCAACGCCGGGTTCATGGGCGCCGTTTCGCGCGTTGCTCGCGGCTCCGCGGGCGTGAGCGGCTCCTGCACCGCGGCCGGTGGGGGCGGCTCAACCCCCCCCCGACCACTCAGTCCCCGGCCACCCCTTCCCCGACCACTCAGTCCCCGACCACTTCTGCCCCGACGCAGTCCCCGACCACTCCTTCTCCCACCGAGTCTCCGACAACTTCTTCCCCGACTACTCAGTCCCCGACTACTCAGTCCCCGACCACTCCTTCCCCCACTCAGTCTGAGAGCACTCCTTCGCCGACTGAGTCCTCGACCACTTCTGCCCCGACGCAAACTCCTTCCCCGACCCAGTCTGATAGCACCCCTTCCCCGACTCAAAGCCCCTCCAGCACCGACTCCCCCACCCAGTCCCCGACCACTCCTGCCCCGACTCAGGGTTCGAGCACTGACTCCCCGACTCCTTCCCCGACCACTCCCGCCCCGACCACTCCCGCCCCGACCCAGAGTTCTCCCACCACTACTTCTCCCACTTCGGCCCCCACCGACTCCCCCACCGGAAGCCCGTCTAAAACCTCCAGCCCAGCCCAGGACAACTCAAACCCCCCCCCGAGCACTTCGTCCCCTACCCCGAGCCCTTCTAACCCCACCCCGAGCACTTCTTCCCCCACCCCGAGCACTTCTTCCCCTACCCCAAGCACTACCAGCTCACCCCCGAGCACTTCTAACCCCCCCTCGAGCGGCTCCGGGGGCAACTTCGTCGTCACTAGCACGGAGGATTCATCTTGGAACAGCGACGGCGGCAAGGTGACGCTCTACACCGTCACCATCAAGAACGTCAGCGGGCGGACGTTCGACAACGTCGCGGTGAAGTGCGACAACTTCCACCCGGACCAGTACTGGAACCTGCTCAAGGGGGGGGCCGACGGCGAGTGCGCGGTGCCCACGTGGATGTCGACATTCGCCCCGGGGGCGATGCTTACGTTTGGCTACATCCAGGGGGGCAGCGGCGCGCAGTTCTCCGTCAACTTGTAGAAGCTCCCCGCTTCGGGGGGGTGTTTTGGGTTCGCTTCGGCGGGCTTGCTCAGCTTGAGCGAGCCGTCGTTTGGTTCGGTTATGGAGGAGGCTTGTGGGTTCGGTTAAGGAAACGGAGTTGGTTAAGATCACTCATTCTGTGATCGCGGGTGTCTAGGTTACGACGGTCCATTCATTGTCGCAGTTGCCCCACCGCGGGCAACAACACAGGTATAGCTTATATGACAGTATAACCATAGGTTGTTGGTACGGGTCGAAACTTGGTACAGTATATTCCTCTTCTCTACAGCTGCATTCTTTCAGCATCTAGCCGGCCAGAAGGTTAGCGCAGTGCTAGTCAAAGATTGGTGCCCTCATCAGTCAACAACAATAGCTTACACAGCTCATGTAAGGACGGCCCCAGGTAATTTTTAACAGGACTGCCACTGCCGACGAGACTTTCGAAAGCAGGAGTGACCTCAGACAGGAAGCTAGCAAGGTAGGAATTTATAAGCCCGAGAAAAGAGCCAAACGTCGAGAGTCAGGTGCTTCTGACCTCTGCACGTCGGCCGCTCACGGCATTGAGAAATAGACCACGTTGAACAGATTGGACATCGACCATTTTGAAGCTGGTCTGAATATATTTTGGACATCGCAATAAAACGGGTACGCCGGGAATCACTTTCTCCACTTCTCACTCCACTCAATTCAATCGCAATCAGCATTGCTGCGGCCGCCAGTTTGTTCATCACTAAAATAATTATTGGATGTTTGACCCGCTGCTTTTGCATGTCAAATCGTAAACATGTTCTGGCACAGATTGCATCGTCATGGTTTAGTTGGACTTGTCTTATACCTGGCTACACATAATTAAAAAGCTTATCGTTCAATTCTCCAATTATTCCAGAGGTGTTCGATGAGCTGGCAAATGAGATTGCCTCGATCGCGGTTGCAAATCCGTGTCATCCTTTTGCGGTTGTGTCGCCCATATCAAGCGTACCCTCAATTCCATCGGCCCAGTATTTGGAACGAACATGATAAAGACAGACAACAATGCACGAAGCATTTGACATCATTGCCAGCAGAGTATGCATGACGTGCACGTGTCGGACACAACGTCGACCGAAGGGCCCGCTTCCTTCCATTAAGTTGACAACGTTCAGATCTGGTATGTTGCTCTTACACATCCTCGATCGAGACTCTGGATGGTGCACCAGGTTCGTAGTCGGTAATAAGGAACCTAGCTGTCAGGCTGTTACTTGTATTTGGATCCTGAGATTCGAATCAACTTTCGAATTTTTGGAGAGTTGCAGCCAGCCCACCGTCTACCTTACAACAGATCAGCCGCCTGGCGTCCTGCAATATCATCTGGTCATCTCGGTTGCACGTGAAGGATCTGCCAGATCCTTCTCGTCCACCTAAGCATAGAACAATCGTGACGACTTCTTATCATCTGCAATGATATACATCCAAGTACGTCTTTGTCGTGCGCGAACGGTGCACGTTGCTAAATATGAGCAACTCAGCCACACCATCATCGTGCAACCAAAATTGTCGGATACAATCACAGAACGTTTTCGAGATGGCTACTGATAAATGAGTAAATGATCTGACGCTCCACAGAAACTAAGGTCTATTTTTGTGTAATCAACTTGAATGAGCGTACTTCACATGCGGTAACTATCAGAGACATTCTCGGCCATTGATCCCCCCTGTGACGTGGGCAAAACATGGCCTCACCGGGCGTCTCTTGAAAAGCTACGCCAACCCCAAGATTGTCTGTTTAACTAGTAGGTTTTTTTGACGGCTCTCCTTGTTCGACTTTCGTTCCTCCGTCCACATGCGCCGAAAGCTTAAGCACAAGCTGTGAATTCGTTGAAAGGCAACTCAGGCTCCTGAAAGCGAGCGCCCCGCAGCAGTCCGCCTCAAGAGATTATGTATCAAAAGTCATCAACCTGATCAATACATGCGAACGCACTTCTTATGATCCTGCAAATCTAAGCAGAAGCAAACCAGAATGGAGATCCTTCAAGGGGCCACTGAGAACTGCGCTGGGTCGCCGGTCTGGACGTAGAAGAACATGTAACTTTCCCCCGGGGCCAGGGGAGCGTGCCACGCCGGCAATGCGCACTGCCCGTTCCCGAGGGGGACGAGGTTCCAGTAGTCCACCGGGCTGAACCCGGCGCACGTCAGCACGACGTCACGAGCCGTCCCCTTGCTGACGTTCGTGATGGTAACCCGGTACTGGAAGAAGGTCTGCCCGCCTTGGGCCCAGGAGGAATCGACTGTCGTTGAGAAGGTGAGGCTGGCGGGGCCTGAACTGGGAGCGGTGGTCGGGAAAGAAGAACCGGGCGCGGGAGAAGGGGTCGGAACGGCTGAGGCAGTGGTCGGAGGAGGAGAACCGGGCGCTGGAGCAGTGGCCGGGGGCGCTGGAGTGGAGAATGGGGCGGGGATACTCGACGTTGGAGCGGGGGTCGGGGGAGGGGTTATGGGTGTCATAGCAGGACTCGCGGGATCCGTCACGGGCGCCTGAGCGGTTAGGAGAGCGGTACTTGGAGCGGGAGCAGGGGCCGGGGGAAAAGTGCTGAGGACTGGAGCAGCGGTTGGGGGAGCAGTGGTGGGGACAGGAGGAACGGTCGGAGAAGCAGTACTGGGGACAGGAGTAGTGGTCGGGGGAGCAGTACTGGGGCCGGAAGTAACCGTCGGGAGCGCGATACTTGGGGCGGGAGACGTAGCGGTCAGAGAAGCAGGACTAGGGGCTGGAGCAACGGTCAGCGGGTCTGGAGGAGCACCGGTCGGTGTAAAAGCGCTCGGGGGAGGGGTTCCGGGCGCTGAAGCAACGGCGACTGGCACCGGAATCAGTGTGGGCGGAGCGTCGCTTGGTGCCGGGGTGGTCGGGGCAGGGGGAGAGGGGGGCGCGGCTGTCAGTGTGGCGGCCGCGGATGACGCGCAGGCGGGCGCGAGCGCGGCCGCGGTGCCGCGCACGAGGCGCGCGGCCGCGCCGTAGAAGCCCGGGTTGATGTAGATGGTGGGCTCGGTCTTGTTGAAGTTGCCGCGGTCGAGGGAGAAGGAGCCGTCCTGGGCGGGGCCGCCGACGATGGCCCCGGTGATGACGTTGCTGACGTCAGAAAGAGACTATTTAGACTTGCAGAAGCGTGGAAAAGGGATAATCGCTTCTCGAAGAGGACGAAGAGAAGGAGCCGTTCTGGGCGGGGCCGCCGAGATAGCCCAGTTGATGACGTTGCTGATGTCAGAAACGAAGTCAGGGTTCCGAGTTGGCAACGTGGAAAACCGAAAAGGCTCCGGGGGAAGGAGCCGTCTCGGCAGGCCGGCGACGAATGCCCCAGTGATGACATTGCTGACGGCAGAGAAGGACAAAATCAGGAAAAAGGAGATGGCAACGTGAAAAGGCGAAAAGGCCCCGGGAGGAGCCGTCCTGGGCGATAGCTTCCGTGATTACGTTGCTACGTCAGGAAAGGAACGAAGTCAGAGATCCGGCATTCATTATGGCGCATGAAAAGGCTCGGGGAGAAGGAGCCGTCTTAGGCAGGCTGCCGATAGTAACCCCGGTAAAGATGTTGCTGACGTCAGCGACGGGACGAAAAAAATTTCGCGAAGAAGAAGTGGGCTTGAATGTTACACGAGTGATGATTGGAGAGGCGTGACCGGAACCTTTGATGGAGGATGCAAGTCGAAGGGACCAAAGACCGCGTCCCAGGAATTATTTCTGAATGTTCAATTTCAAGTCGACATAGAAGTTTTCACCGCTCTTGTTGAACCTGTCTTCGATTTCCACACAACGAAAAACATGTTGGCAAGACGGAAGAGTCGATGATTTCCGTGTCGCTTACGGGTTGGAGTCGGTTGTAGGTACGTTCTAAGGAGGCGTGTGCATTGATTGGAGCCCCGAACTTGAGTAACAGCCAACGGCAACCGAATCAATGTAGCCTACGAAGAATGTCAATAATAATTCAATACAGGCGGACTGCAGATCTTGATAATGCTTGAAGTTGCAAGACGGAAGCGCTAATGGTTTCCGTGACGCTTACGGGTTGGGTTTTGGCGACAGCATGAATTGGTACCCGCCGAGGCAACTGAACCGTGGACTGGTCGGAAGAGACGCCCCACGGTGGTGAACTTGGGTTGGGTATACGTCGCCAAAGCCGACCATATAGCTTATGCTCAGCCTGTTCTTGCCAAGCACGTAGTCGACCTGGGTCGCGGCCCAAGAGACCAGCTGCGCGGAAGGATTATGATTGGGTCAAACGGCTAACCAGCAAGCGAATCTGGATCCGTCCTACATACTTATGGAACTCTGTGGTTCAGGTTTCTGTCTAACTTTCTTGAAAAAGAAGGTCTGAAGACGGCCGCAGCTGATACCTCTGATAATCGTCTCGGCTAAAGCTTTTGACAGCCGAAAAGTGCTTGAAGGTTGTTAACCAAGTCGCGAGCAAGTTGCACTTGCAGTGAATCTACATCAGCTTCAGGAAACACAGGCAATTCTTCTATGAAGCTTTCGGCAAGAAACGTGAGCTCGCCCCCAAGTTCTCCAAGGAAGTCATTATTTCCAGTGCGAGAGTCCATTTTAGAGCTGAGAGAGGCGAGACTTTCAGCTTTCGAAAGATTCATTGAAGTATCCTGATCCACAGTCAGCAATCACCCAACAAGCAGAGCATCTTTGAGACTCCTACCTGTTCAGGCTGATAGATTGTCCCGCTGCAGGTGAGCACTCCCCCCGCCGCGGCCAGATAGTCGCTGTAGACCATCGCCACAAAAGCGGCGCTCATAGCGTATTGCAGAGGCAGCTCGCGCACCCAGGCGAGCCCGTCCGGCGTGGTCGCCACGTGTCCGTCGACGTAATGGCACACGTACTGCTCCGCGGCCGCTTTCATTTGAAAGACAACCGGGTCGTTTCCCCGGGCGCAGTTGAGGGCTTGCCGGGCGACCAGAACCTGCGCATAATGTTCGGATCTCTTTGAGTTAAGCATACGTCAAGTTAGTTCATTCTCCCGGGCTTCATACGAACTAGATTTTAAACCAAGCTGAACCCTAATAGATCCAAAACCAACCGAAAACCCCAAACCAACCCCATCCGTCCCTCGAGCATGACCTGTTAATTCAACATGTACAGCCGTAAGTCAAAACGATTCCGATATTACTGACCTGTGCCCCGGCTAGTTTTGTCTCCCAGGAGAACTCGGTTGCGATTCCCAGAGCTCCCAGGCTTGAGGCGCCGGTCGTGATGTACTGGAGGTACGTACCGTCGGCCGACGCACGATGGAGCCACGCGGCCGCCCAGAGGAGCTCGTCTGCGAAACCCTGGGACTTGTAGGAGGACTGGACCTGCGGTGAACAAGGGCTTTTTTTGTCCATGTTTTCTGAACCGCTTATGAGAGCTTTCTTTCAAATGGAAGACGGTTTGAGTGGTGACATCCAACGGACGTCAGAAAGAATGAACGTGACGTCTTGTTGGACGCTAGGGCGCGCCCACGAAAGTGGATGAACCAAGATTCGCTGGTTAAGAAGCGCTTGGAATGGTCCCCTCAAGATAGTTCGAATGCGTGATAACTTCATGATCTGGAGCGAGGCTACGTCTGCCAAGGCTTGAAGCCTGAAAACGACACCCATAGTCTCTTTACTGCAACAGAAGGCAGTCGAGTCAAGCACAGAGCTGTTCAACCGTCTCGAAGAGTTCCTTACGGCCGCTGCGCGTCCTAGAAGCTTTTCCATGCAAAAATCGTCTTCCTCAAGAAGAAGATGAAGCTATCAGCGCCACGCTTCAGAGGAACGTCAGGATTGCAGTACGACAATCGTGAAGCAAAAACACGTACGTTTCTCCTACCCTTTGCGGTCTGATATTTTTAGACCCTGATTAAGCTTACGGAGAAGCTCCGAAGCCCAGCGACTGCGTATAACTTGCGGCTCTCCAGGTTTCAAGGGCCTCGTACCTGTGTCACGGTGTCGCTGTAGAGTCCTCGGTATTGGTCTGCGAACCGGAAGAGCTGCTTCGCTGTGCTGAGAAGAGTGTCCGCGTAGGGGGGGTCGATCGGCCGGAACGCGATCGACGCGGCCGCGAGCGCGGCCGCCATTTCGCCCGCCAGATCTGAGCCGCCTGCGCGCTGGTCCACCTTGTACTCAGTGCGAGGGGTGTCCATCGTCTCGGGGCGCTCCCAGCTGCGAGGATAAAAGCAAGTAGATTGTATGGGCTCGTGCTTGTGCAGTATAGGAAATGGGATGAACTTTGACTTGGCCAACGTACCTCGTCTCCGTGCGCTTCCAGGTGTCCAAAGCAGACGTACAAACAAGTCAATTAGATTGATTGACATGATCCAACTTGATTGAGATCAGTACCGATAATTCGAAGAGTTTGTTCCAGACTTATCTGCCCTCTTTGAGCAAAGCGAGGTAATTGTTGAATGAAGTTAAGATGTGGTCGACGGGTCTTGAAAAAAATTACAATCCGCGACTGACTTCGTAGAACAATAAGCTGCCCGACATAGCCAATATGCTTCATTGAAAATCTGGAGTTTCAGGCGCGCAGAATCGTGACGTCAGAACGAATGTAAACGGCAGACAAAAGGCAAACGTCGCACGTGATCACCTTCATGAAGTCATCCAATATAACGTCTCTGGATTGAAAACGCCAATGGCTTTGGGACAAAACGTAGGCCGCTTATATCGAAATTTGAGGATTTCAAACAGAAACCAGGCAGGATCTACGGATCCTACCAGGCATTGTCCGCTGCTTCGTCCCCCACTCCGGCGTAGAGAAGCGATGGCGGAAAGAAGGACTTCAGGAAGTAGTCCGTTCCCCAACGAATGACGGCCAGTGCTTGCGGAAGTTCGCCGACCGCAGCGATAGTGTCCCTGTGCGCAGAGGAGTCTCAAGTCAGCTTCGGAAACTTCCAAGCATCCCTCAAGTCTCACTTGCGGCAACGGCCTTTTCCATGTGAAACTTCTCTGAAGCTCAAAGTCCGTACGTCTGTTTTTTTGCCTGGTCAAGAACGCAACTGATGGCCAGAAGCAGGTACAGAGTGGTCACATGTGCTCCAAGAGCTATTTCCTTGTTGCATGAACCGACAATAACCACCCCGCATCGACTGCCAAGAGGCTTTTGCATCAAGGATAACAGCGTTGATGCTTCGATGCCCTCACAAGCAGCTTACAAGAACTGAACATGTCAAGCCTCAGATCATCCAGTGCCGTCCGGTTAGGTTCGATAGCTAACCCATATTCCACAACGGCCCAGGAGATCATGGTGACAGTGAAAGCCATTGGGAAGTTGTATTTGCAGTTGTTGCCAGCGTCGTAGTAGCCTCCCGTCAGGTCCACCCCCGCTTGAGCTCCGTCCTGCAACGCGGAGTCGGCCCGCCATGGTACACGGTTCCTGCCAGACAGACCGCAAAATGCATAAGTTGAGTCGCTGATAATAAGAGTAAAGAAGGAGCAGAAGATTGTCTGGCAAGCGTCCTCGTGCAGATCTCAAGCACCTTTTAGCAAGCTTTGAAGCATATGATCCTTCTTGAGACCTGCCATGATGGAAAGCAAAAAATGGCGTGCATTGGGAGATTTGTGCGCAGTTTCTAAGCTTCAGGTGCAAGCTGGATAACACCAAATTTCTGGATCCTCTGGGATGCATTCTGCACGTTGGCCCGCCGGGAGTTTGAGAAGCTCGTTGCTCTTCCCGTTGCAGCCAATGCAGCGTCTAGGCACGACCTGATGACGTGTCTTCGCGGATACAAGTGTGGTTCTAATGCTTCCGAAGCAATCATAACACTCCCTTAACAGAATTTATATGTTGCAAATTCGAAGATTGTATGGCCACTGATTTGCGCATGAACGAAACAGGGATGGTATATTGTACATCCATCGGGTAGTAAGGACAGTTGGCCTTCTGAAGCAGCCAGGAAATGAATGGTCAGTCCCTCCAAGTTGCAAGGAATCCAATCATCAAGTCTTGAAAAAGAGTAAGAAGCTCTTTACGAATCAGCACCAGCGAGTGCTTACGTTGAGGGGAGTTTGCCGGACCGTTGCGCTTCCCAGAAGAGAGAGCTCTTCCCCAGTGCCTCCTTGTACTGGTCCACGCTGAAGCTACCAGCACCCGCCCTTGAGGCAGCGAGTACCTGAAACATCAACCAGAAGGAAAGGAACCGAGAAAGGAGAGTTTTGAGGATTGAGATCCCCATGTTCCCTTACTGAAAAGAAAGACTAGGAGCTCAACACGAAGCTGCTGTGGTTATATAACCTTACCACAAGTGCGGCACTTCAACACGTGACCGCATCCTTTCTTGAAGTATCTTTCTGTTTGTGGTTTTAGGAGGAGATGTAGCACGGTCTTTCTCTCCTCAGTCGGAGGTGTCAAGGTCCCAGCTAAGAGCTCGGTCTACAAGCAGCAAGGAGCTAGTTTGAGTCGTCTGGCATTGTTGGTCGCATCTGCTGCCGTTGATAACAACGGGCTGACTTCCCCGAGAAAATGAAAAACCGATATTGCCAAAGCCTGACTACTGTAGTCATGCAACTGCTTGTCGTCTCGGGGAGGTGGTCACAGGCAGAAGTCTCCGGGCTTCATCACTTCGAGATCAGGCGCAGAGTTTGAGAAGACGGGAAGTTCAGACAAGGCATGTGGATTTGCGCAGGTACTCTGCTGTGGCGCATGAAGTTGGTCATGAGGCAACTGCCAAACTCTCAACTGACCGTGGAGTAAGCTGTAGAGGTGAGCAACTGCCACATCGACTGACCTTCCCATATCAAAGCCGAGCCATCCCATGTAATAGCTTGACGTGGAGTTGAGCGCCTAAAACATACTGGAGTAACCAGCTTTTTGATGCTCGAAGATGCCGCAGACACAAGCCCGTGCTGTTTGGCAGCTGCCCCAGCTTTGGCAACCGTCTGTGGTCGTCTTAACTATCCTGTCCGAGAGCCTTGATAAACAGGTCATTCTTTGTGAAGCCCCCGCATGATTCCTGAATGCTGCTCGACACTACATGACCATCTCTAGCTGACGTCAGATTGTGGAGCTTTGTAGTCCTGATTGAGAGAGAAATGTATACTATGCAACGATGCGCACAGTGCCCAGCTTGGCCATGTGCAATGGCTTGCGTACGCGCATGCACGCGTCTCATTCTGTATCAGGCACAATTCTGGAAGCCGCAACTCTCTCACTAATCGGATCCCCTTTGGCAGAGCATTTGGATGGTGTGCAACCAGGTTGACTGCCAGAGTCCAAACCCCCTTTGCTAGCATGACGTATGCCACGACAAGAGACAGGCTCGAGCTCGTTTGGTTCATGCCGCCAAGACTTCCAAGTTTTCCTACCAGTGGACGGTTCCTGGACGGTCATGCTCAAGACGGCCCGATGACGCAAATTTCATCCGACTCGCAATGATGCGCCAAGGATGACATTCATGCGTGTGTCTCTGTTGCAAAGATATTCGAGTTGCAGAATTCGCATACCGTATGCCGATGATCTAGCATGCACCTCAGTGGGCAGGGCTAGGCAGTCATGCACACCAAAATGACGCGAGCCATCAGGGCTACAAAGAAAAGACAATTTCATTAGGTTTCATCCGGATGATCTCGATCGACCTGGTTCAACTACATGCGCATCTAAGATCGAATTGGACGTCCGCGACGATTCAAAAAGGAATGGACAGTATAAAGTATCTGCAATTTCGACGGTAAGGTGGCTAATGCTACTACCCCGTGTGCATGTGCAGTCAGGCGGCGAAAGCCCGAGTTACATGTATGCATATTCCAAACAATATTACGCACTGCGGCACTGCAAGTGCATGGCAATCCAATATCTCGGTTCGAAACAGAGTTAAATTGGCCGGCCGCCAGCCATGCCCGCATGCATCTACTCAATGTACACAGAGCTGCATACGCATATTTCCTCAACCTTCCGGTTGCAGTTACTAACCCCATGTGAAATGTCGGTCACCAATACTTGAGAGTCCAGTCTATTCAACTATGACGCGACACTAAACGATCCTATCTCAGCATGAGAATGCAATTCGGAAATACTAATAACAGATCCTCAGGTACTATTAGACTGCGGCTGAAATCTTGAAAGAGAGGCTCGAGGCAGCCCTTATCCAGTAAGAATGGGACTTCGTTTGTATTGCACGAACACATCGAGCAAGACCAGGGGAAGAGATCTACCTAGATGACTCTTCGAGCTAGTTTGGCAACAAACATACTGTTTGTCAAACAACTATTTGAAGTGCGCCACAGTCTTGGCAGGCAAGATACAGAGCTTTGATGCCAAATCGTTCTTGTAGCACGAAACCTGGAACATGATGACAGTTCTTCGAATGCTCATGGCATGCTTCCTCAAGCCGGTTCTGCAAGTACTCGAGATTGATCTGCACACAAAAGAATACCGTATTCAACTCGTAATAGAGAGGAGCAGCATAAAATTCGTCTATCGGAGATGGTTCAGAAAGATCCCAGCGAACGAGGTGCCTCACCCAAGACACCAACGGCTCTCTCGGATTGGCACTTCCTTCGAGTTCTACCAAAGTTCCACTTTCAAGCCCCAACCAACGACGTCTTCGATCATATCAGCAAGGTTCATTGATACGAGGAAGACTGAGGAGTCTGGCCGACCATCTCGCTTCTGCTGCTTCCTGCCGGCCGTAAGGCGTCGAACTTACTCGCAGAGAAAAGCACAAGGCGGCTCCAACGTTAGCCTTTCACAAGTAGTCACACTGCCATATGACACGTTCGTTCCCTTACTTTGGTTTTTAGCTTCCACAACTTGCCTTTAGCTCGGATATGCATAAACACTCCAACAATACCAGGATACGGAACCGAGAGATGGCTTACATGATCGTGCTGCGTGTCAATCCGGAAGTCACCATTAATGCAGAAGATGGAATGGTCGCTTGAGAAGAGTCGTCCCTTCTGGCAGAGAGGGCACAAGACGGCAGGGGTGCTCCCTTCCAACTGAGAACAACAAATCCGAGATTCATTAGGACAGGCCGCAAAGTACTCGAAAGCGGAGCCTCCGACGCAGTGCTACTCGAAGGGCGATAAATTGAGGGCACAAGGACGACAACGTTTCACAGTGTGGACAGCTTTGCTATCCAATCACTTGCGGTGATTCCAGCATTCCTGCTGGCATTCCTCATTTTCCTAGACAGGGCTTTCACACCAATTTATCAGCTCAAACGCGTCGTTTTTGCCATGGTGATAGAATGCCCGAGGAACGACTCTGTGTTCTCAGATTCTCAAGAGGGACATATTGTTTGGTTGCTTTGAGATAAAGGCTGAAATTTGCTTGAAACTTCTTTTACTAAACATTGAGATCGAATCCAAGTACTACTCGATATAATGAGGGCAATGTTTCAGGAAGCCCACCAATTCCCTGGCCTCACTTTTGCAACAAATGGAAGACGGAGCTGGAATAAGCAGGACACAAACACACAGCTTCAAGCAAAAAAAGAAAATAGCATGAGCACTCTCTCGTCACTCTTTTCTGGATGTGTCATGCAACAATACTTAGATCCTTGAACCGATTGAATCTGGATCTGTTTGAAACGAAAAACATACACTTCCGAATCACGCCACCCACTCAGCAAGAGGAAACAAGTGCTCACCATCATCCTCTCATGTGCCTCTATGCTGTCCCTCAAAGCTGCTTCTGCCTTCTCGTACTCCATCACTATCGCCATCTCTGCAGGCACACGAAACAAATTCGTTCCAAATCACCAACACTTTACGGGAAACCATGAATCCGCGATGATGTGGATGGAAGAGAAAAGGCATCGGCTCCATATTTCAGCAGTTATAAAGGAAGCTAGTTTCAATATTTGTTGGACAACAGCTGATATTGTTTGACCTTCGACTTCCCCCTGACAATATCAGAATCTCAGACGGCATTCAGGTGAAGGTGGTCCACTCACCATGTCTTTGTGCATTTTCCTCCATCTCCTCATTCAGCGCCCGCTCCATCTCCAGCATCAGGTCCTCATAGTCTGCATCGCTGATGTTCCCTGAGGAATCTCTGCTCCTGTTTGATACTTCTGCAGGTTCTGAATCCCAGATCATGTCGATGTCAGCATCGCTTCCATCCGTCCTGATCTCAACAGCGCTCTCCTCGGCGGGCAACTCCACTACATAACTCTGCTCCAGCCCTAGGGCAAGTCTGTCGGGGACACTGCTTTCTTTGATCCAGGTATCTGAAGAGCGTGGAAAGCTGGTGCTAGGAGTGCCAGTCTCTTCTTGAGCATTTCCAGGACTTTCTCCTACTTTGTGCAGCTCTTGAGCAAGAATATTTTGCAGGACTTCTCTGCTCGCATACGTGCGCAAGCCATTCCCCAGCGTCCGCTGCTGCCACAGCAGAGACGCTCGGTCCTTCTTCACGCGCTCTATGCATTCCTTTGCCAACTGCATGAGGCAAGGGCATATATAAGTTTGAGTTGCTCTAAGTTCTGGCTTAAGAAATTGTTGTGCCATCGACATATCAAAGGCACGTCTCTGACTATAGGCTGGAGCCAAGTCATTGAATCGGGTGCAAGATGAGATAGTCCCGCGTATGCGAAACGAAACAATCTCAGGGTTCGGAACTTCAAGACGAGCACAAGGAGGCACAAGGCACCCCCAATTTCTTTCAAAGTTCGTTCAGAAGGGAGTTCCGTCAAGCGGGCGCAAATGAGTCAACAATGACGACCCGCAACTTAGACAACCTAGTCAGTTATTTTACGCATGGCCTGGACAATAAATCTTGAAACGTTTGACTGCAATTAACATTTGCGATACTCAGATTAAGAAACTCAGCAAACTCAATGTGCACACCTTTTCTTTCCATTGTGGCCTAGGAATTGATTTCAAGGCCGCTCGGTGATCTGAATTGCTGGCTGTCTGCATGATGAGCACACAAAATAGACCGCCTAGGGAGTCGAGGGCCTTCAGACTATGAAAGACTGCTGTCAATCTTGTTGGCTGGCAGAATGACAGGTCTCCCAATAAGCGTTCGTCCTCGTAGCTCCCTCAAAACAAAAGACCTTCAGCTCAGCTGCGCCTCAAAATGCACCCCTGTGTGGCTCTCTCTCCTCGTCTTCAGCTGATAATAGGGTATTAAAAGACTTATTCAGAGTGGGCAACAAACCCGGATCGCCTTCGCAAAGATTTCTTCTTGTCTTGTTGAAACTTGAAGTTGAAATTGGAGTTTCGCTTCGGCCAGACTCAACACAGCGCAGGCTGGCTGAGCTGCTTTCAGTCGAGCAGTTGCGTAACCAGGTACCGTAGGAGGTCACCGTCACAGCCTCACGGGCTGACGAGATTTGATCTTCTCTTGAAAGGACACCGATCAACCGGGCACAGCGATTCCCTAGGGACGAATCGCCGGGCAATCGGGTCCTTGGATGCTGTCGGTTGACCAGGTCAACAAGCCATGTAGTAGGGCCGGGGTATTTCCCCTGGTACCGAGCTACTCCCGCCGTTTGCAGCGGTCAGCAGATTTTTCGCAAGATAATATCTGCAAAACAAAATTCAACAAATTCGTCACCATGTCATAAATGTTTCCGTACATTACGTCATGCCGCTTTTGACCACATGGCTAGCTTAAATCGCGCTTGCCAAGTGACGCGTGTCAAGTTTCAATACCGGTTCCTCGATTTTGGACCTTTGGTTGAGCTGCTAGGGTCCTGCAAGCGTCCTGCAAGCGCAGCCGCAGCGCTTCGATCGTTGCTGCTCAAAAGCTTTTCAGCTTCCCAAATTCCAGCCTGCTGATCAGTTTCTTTTCTTCCAAATCCCAGCATTTCTGTCAACCACATGAAAGTGCTCAGCAGGAAAAGCTAATTGAGGCAGACACGAAGTTCAGTCAGGTATGCACATTGTGTTCTTGCGTGATTTTGGGAGGAAAGGAGTGGAAGCACATCAATAGCTCCAACCCCTCTAATTTAGCACTCCCAGTGTAGGTGTGCGTTGCAGATCAGGTAGGACATTACAGACGATAGCTTTTGCCTGAAGCAAGTACAGGGGGTGCGATCCTCACCTCTCTCCCTTGCATACCACCATGTCAAAATTCATTGGAAACAAGCTCGTCGGGTTTGGGACAAAGATTGTGGCAGTGGGCCGCAATTACGCTGCGCATGCCAAGGAGCTGGGCAACGCAGTCCCAGAGGTGAGGGAACGACGATCTTCCTTGAATATTTCGCATTGCACCCATTGTAACCACTCCAGCACTTGAAGAAGATCTTTTGGGAGATAAAATGCAGACATTGAGTTCCATGTTTGCCAGTTGAAAGGGACAATTGGGTGTGCAAACCCTCCATTGAGAGAGTACTCTAAACTCTGGCGTAGCTTCTCTCATGGACACCGCGGTCAGAAGTTAGGACCTCTGCATTGTAGGAGGAGTCCTTTTTGTTATTTAAATGCATTATTTGTGTTCTTTTACTGCGTAAGCGACTGCGCACACAAGATCAAACTTGTTAGGAAGGGGTTCTTCATTCTCCGGCGCTGAGGCTGTCGTTAGGGGCCATGTGAAACTAAACCATGGACTGTTGCCTGCCTCAGGAACCAATCATCTTTCTCAAACCAACGTCGTCTTACATCCGGCAAGGTGCGGCAATCGAGATTCCCCCAGGGACTGACACACTGGATCATGAGGTGGAACTAGGCGTGGTTATGAGCAGGAACGGGAGGGACATTACCCAGGAAACCGCGCTAGACTACATAGCAGGTAAGCCTGTCATACTATTGAACTGCCGCCGGGTGCGGAAGCAATCTGCCTTGTTGTTGAAAGTTCGATCTTTGGATTCGAGGTGCCAGAACGGAGCCGTGACATAGTCGCACATTTGCGACATGTGCTGGCCATAGTTGGCGAGGTAAGATGCATTTTGGACATTGGTGTGTGCCACGATGGGACCGTGTAGTTAGTTGGAGCAGAAGCCTTGCAAAGTCACTTTGCTTCTGACAATCTTAAATCAGAAGCTTACGTGCGACTTTCTCTTTCAAGTTGTCCTGACTCCTTGTGTTGTTGAGCAATCACACCACGTTGACATCGGTCTGGTAATGTCGAGAACTCCTGGTGAAGATGGCCCAGTGTGTTTGGACGAGAGGATGTGCAGGAAATTGACGGGAGGTTAAGTAACACGCTCCTGACAACTTTTCGAAAAGAAGTTGACCATTCTAAATATGCATGACCGGGGCCTTACCTAGATGATCCGTGTGTTTATCAAGGCCGACAAAAACGCGAGAACAGACTATCTAAAAGGTCATTCCTGGATCTGCCCGCCAAGTCAAAACGACGGATCTAAGCGTCAGCATCCATCTTGATTACTATGTTGTTCAACCCGTGTTAACCCGTCCGAAAACCTGTTTCGCTTGCAGGCTATGCGCTCGTTCTGGACATGACCGCCAGGGAGCTTCAAGCACAAGAAAAGGTGAGTGCCAGTCACAAGCTGAAGCCCGACATGCGCAGCGCAACTCTTTTCCGACTCACAAAAGTCTGCCTCAGCAGAGACTGTTGCTGCTGAAGGAATTGGTTGTACTTTTCAGTAAGAAATGTTCAGCCACCTGAACTAAGAAACACCTAGACAGGGTTCGCGGACTTCACGCGCCTGGAGACAGTGTGCTGGCTATGCTTGAACATAACAGTCAAAGCGAGCTCGTCTTGACGGGTTGCGAATGTCTATGCAGGCCAAGGGGTTGCCATGGACCAAGGGCAAATGTTACGACACCTTCACTCCCGTCAGCGACTTCGTAAGTAGCCTCATTTCCAACCCCAACTTCGCCACGTTGTAGCTGAAGGACTTCGAGAGGTGACTGCTTGCACCGAAAGCCGCAAAAGTTGGGCTCCAGCATGACGAAAAGGCTGTAAGACGTCTGGGGACTCGTAAACATTAGTTTCGAAGGCCATTCTTGAACCTGTACCATGACCTTCCAAACCGGCATTTAAGCTACCAGCGTACTCATCCAGTCTGTGTACTTCGAGAGAATCAGTTCTGGTCCTTATGCAAGTTGCAAAACCTGCCAGCCGTGAAAGTCGGTCTTGCCATGCACCCTTTGCCTCGTTGGCGCCCCAGACGTCGGGGCTCTTGTTACCTTGTTTTGCAGAAGTGCTGGAACGGAGCCCTTGACTCTTCGGGACCTGAATCAACTTCTGAGGCCGTATGCGCAGATGTCTGAAGTGTCAATCGATCCGATTTGCAGATTCCAAAGAACAAGATTCGGTCTCCAGAAGAACTTGAGCTTTGGTGCAAGGTAGGTCTTCCTTACTCGTTGTGTTCACAAGAGTGTTGTACGTCGCACTTGAGTTTTCTTTAGCAATCCGCTATGGTGGATTGCTTCGAATCTGCCTGGACAGTGATCGTCCAGAATCCCTCAAGCGGTATCGACGTTCTCGTTGCGTCCATGAGCAGAGTCGGAGCTGTACTAAGTGATCTTTGAGAGCCGTGTCGAGCGGTTACAAATACTGGCCTTAGATTCAGTCAACTGAGTAGAAAGTGATTCGTCTTTTGAGCCCTCTCCTCTCTGCAGAATGACGGCGAAGGACAGTCAGTTGGCAGCACCCAATCAATCTTCTTACTCTTCGTCGAAGCGACACACTAAGCGGCCGGCCCACAAACGAGCCTCTCAATGAATTTGAGCCGTCGTCCTGAATAGGCAGTCTTCCGACTCTTCGTCAAGCGGTTACACTGACGGCCTCTTAACCAGTTCTTTCTCCGTGTACTGACCAACCTCTTCACTACTACAGGTGGATGGCGAGCTGCGGCAAAAGGGCAGCACGGGCGACATGCTGTTCGACATTCCTCACCTCATCGCTTACATCAGCAGCATCATGACGCTGGAGGAAGGAGACCTCATCGTCACGGGTGAGCCGTTGATCGAACGGATGAAAGTTGTGGGCGGATGGTTAGTGCGTTCTAACTGTCGAGCCGTCGGCGAACTCGGCATAAGGGTTTCGAAACCGAGTAGAATTAGGGTTGCCAGCGGGACCGAAAGTGTTGATCTGCTCAGCGCAGGGGCATTTCATGCCCACGCAATCGCTTGGAAAGTGTTTGCTATCTCTACGGCCATGTCAGAAACATGTAATCATTTGCTGCAGATTGAGTAATGCTGGAGGCTTCACTCGAAGGACTTCTGCAGCTCCAAAGTGTAGATCAAGTCTGCCCGTTCCAAGAGCTTTGCACCGAAGCGACTGGCAAGAGGGATGGCCAAACAAGGCCGCGCTCCCGTTTCCGTTCACAATTGGAGCTTATCTCGAGCAAAATTCCTGTAAACAAATATTGAATGTAGACATTTCTAATTGCAGGAACCCCTCCGTTCACAATTGGAGCTTATCTCGAGCAAAAATTCCTGTAAACAAATATTGAATGTAGACATTTCTAATTGCAGGAACCCCTCCTGGAGTGGGGCCTGTCAAAGCTGGCCAGCAAATCACGGCTGGTATCACTGGGCATATCGAAATGTCGTTTCCAGTAATACGAAGAAAACAGTCCGGAGGAGCAGGCACGTGACCTTATGGCATGATTGAAGCCAACTTCTTATCAGCGAACAAGCAATTCGCGACTCGCCTATGGACAGGGCAAACCGATTCAATCAACGACACCCGAACGAACAGGGCCTCGATTCGTCAGAGCGGGAGAGCGATAGAGCTTAGAGTCGCTCTTGTTGGATGAGGACAAAGTCGAAGTCTTCGTTGCTAGACTTGCCGTCTTCAAGCTGCCCGTCTTGCAGTTAGAAGTTTTCTGAGTTGTCTACCGGGAAGCCAGCGCATGCTTGTATTTGAAAGACCACGAATCTCGAAGTCGTTTACATGACAAAGGTCATGATAGATTGCTAAATCATCTTTCTTGACAAGCTCCGCCTTCCAAAGGAAAGGCACCGAGGATTGCAGCGATTGTGATAAGGATGGCCATGAATTGAATGCAACCGCGCATGAACGAGCGCGCTCACTTCGACATTGTTTGCTCATGAAGATGTGATGAGTGACCGTCGCGTCGAAGTGAGAGCGCGGCCTGTCGACGATTGATACATGCACTACTAAGTATGAGATTTCGGATACGGCGGGAAAGTACTGTCTCACATGCACATGCACACAAGAGCTGACTCCGTGTACAACGTTTAACATATGCAGCCATCGCCTCGGAAACAGTCATGCAAGGCCTCTGTGCTTGACATACGAAGTCGGAAATCGGTCGGCAGCTAGAATGCTTACGAGCAAAGCTGTTTGTTATATGAGAGTCGCGACGGCAAATTTCGTCTCGACAATCTTTTCATCGATCGACTGAAAATCATAGCAAATTATAACCTCAAGTGAGTCCCTGATCGGTCTTATCCTACATTCTAATTTCCTATACCTAGTGTTCTATCCTTCTAGGTAGCACATTTTGTCGACCTCGCGAGATCGGCTGTTCCTATTCCTAGTCAGCTATTTCGGAGTCCTATTCCTATCGGTATTCCTGTGATGTAGCAAGTCAGCATCTAAGTCTGCAGCTAGCTATACATATGACTGCATGATTGCTAAGACGATCTGAGCGATTCAATTTTTGAAGAGCTTTTCTAGACGAATGCGTGGGATAGTTGTGAAAAAAGAGTAAACACTTGCGGTTCCTTGATTGGCTCACGGAGTAAGTCGGTACCTCCAACCTGCAAACGTCAAATGGAATACACAAAAAGAAAGAAAGGAAACAGCTAAAAGATGAATGTTTTTCTTGGACGTTCTTGTATTGTTCCTCTTTCTTCTGTCAAACGTGCTGCCTGCGGGATGCGCGGTGATCGAAACCAGTCCTAGAGAATAAGAAAATAGATAAATATTTTTGTGGGACGTTTTTGTACTGTTCCTTTTTCCTCTGTGAAGTGTGCTGCCTGCGAAGATGCGCGGTAACCAGTCCCAGAAAACAATGGACAGATCGTCGTCTCAAATGGTGGGTCACGAGTATTTCGCTCCTCTCTTTACACCCTGCCAGGTAAAACGTTTTGTCAGTCGGTCAACTCGGCAGAAAGTTCTGGGTCATTGAGAATCAGAAACGGCCCCTCGACGGCTCGTCGGCAGCTTGATCTTCTCAAGGGACTCGTCGAGCGGGCCCAGGTTCTGGCAGTCCTGCGGAGAGGAAATAACCGGCACGAAGGGGGGTGTCAGCTCTCTTCTCTCGAGGGCCCCCCAGTCGAAGCCGTGGAACCAGGAGTGGTCCCGGATCTCCTGCAGGCCCCTCTCCGCGCCAATCCTGCGGTCGGGGTCCTTCTCAAGCAACCGGGTGATGAGGTCAGTCAGGTCAGGGGAGAGGTTAGAGGGGATTGGAACGGGTTTGGGGCCCCTGAGCGCGGTCAGGAGCTGCTTCCTGTCGGAGTGGTCGTAGGGGTAGCTCCCCGTGATCATCCGTGTCAGAACTGCGCCGAGAGAAAAGAAGTCAGCTGGAAAAGAGTAACCAAACTGCAGGCTCTTGGCGACCTCGGGGGCCATCGTGCTGAGCGTCCCTGCAGATCCCCGGGCAACGCCGCGGTGGTTAGTCTTAACCACGAGAGAGTTATCGATGAGGGTAGCGTATCCCAGGTGGTCCAGCATGAAGTTGTCGGTCTTGATGTCCCGGTGCATGTGCCTCGTGCCGTGGATATGGCTCACTGCAAGCACGAGACAGGCGAGATAAAACCGGGAATCAGACTCAGACAAAATGCGCGCGCGCGCCACGTGGCTGCTTGGGACACCGATCCTGTCCAGGAGAGTCGAGAAAGAACCGCCCGGAAGAAACTCCTGGAGAAAGAAAGTGGTGCCCTCGTGGTCGTAAGTCTGAATGTGGCGGCAGATGAAAGGGCGGGCGTTAGAGGACATGAATTCTGGACACGTGTCAGGAGCAAAGGGAACGGGGTTAGTCTGTGAGATGAGGTCAGCCATGAGACCCTCGTTCTGGGGGCTGTAGTTGGGGCTGTCCTGGTGGATAACCTGCTTAAGAACGAAAAAGCGGTCAGAGGGGAGGTGCTTAACCAAAGCAACAGCACCAAAGGAACCCCTTCCCAGCATCCTGACGACCTCAAAATCTGCGAGGTCCAAGTCGTCGAGGAGAGAGAGACGGTCAGAGGGAGGGCAGGCAAAAATGTCAGCGAGTACAAGTTTCGCCACAGCCTCTGCAGAGATGACGTGGACCATGACGTCAGCATCTGCGACGAATGCAGAACGAGACGGCTCCAAACCCCCAAACCCCTGTCCTGCACTTAGATACAAGTCGGAGGCAGCAACCAGAGGGTTTTCAACGGAGAGGTTAAGGACGGAGCCCTGAGCCAGAACAAAGACGCCCGTGCCCTCGCTAGGGCAGATGACGTCACCTGAGGAGAAGGAAATCAGGCGCAGGGAGTCGACGATAGAGTCCAGAGTGTTTAGGTCGACTCGCTGCAAGGAAGGAACAGCGGACAGAATCGCTCTACGGATGGCACCCCTGTCAAGGGGTGATGTCAGAGACTCAGGGGTGACGTCAGCAAGGGCAGGACCAGTCTGAACAGGAGCATGTGCAGCAGTGGGGGTATCCTGGAACTCTGTGTAAGGGGAGAAGATGGAGAGGGAGATGACGTCATCAGTGAGAGGAGCAGGAACAGCAAGCTCAGGGATCGGGAGAGGATCTAGCAAAGCCGTCTGAGCACATCTGACAGGGCTCGAAATGACAGGACGCCTGAAAGCAGAGGGACGAGCAGCAAGTGGATGACTCAGGATGCTGGCAAGGCCCCTGTTAGTGGATCTCAGAGCAACAGGCGCACCTTGAGTGCTTCTCCTGTAGGATGGACGGGAAAGGGCGGACAGGCCAGCACACGCGAGAGAGCCTACGGCGGAGAAGACAGCAGAGAACGCCATAGTGTGTGCTGAACAAATTTCTGGGTGAGTGTAAAAGTTGAAACATTCAACAGGCGTGTACTCTCAAGAAAGCACAGGAATGGAAAGGGAAGAGCACAGGTTTTTTCGTGAGAAGTAGCAGAGAGGAGATTGTTTTTGTCTTTTCTTTGTTTTCTGTTTTTTTTGTGTTTTTGGTGATTTTGCTTTTTGTGACTGGTTCTTTCTGTTATGTATTGTTACTCTTGCCCTTGTTGCTTTCACTTTCGATCAACCGAGTGGGACAAACAAGCAGAACAGAACAGAATCTCCGTGCCAGTATCTAGTGATGGAAAGGAAGATGTCTGACTAGCAAAGCAAGGAGGCGAAAACACAAGAGCGAAGCGGGAGAATAGAAAGGAACAACACAAGGAAGAGTCTACAAAGTCACTGTCTCAAATAACTGAACAACCGCTGTGGACCTCAAATCCAGAAAAGCAAGCCTGCTCTGAATCGTTTCGCTTTCTCGCAGAGACCTGCAATGGTGTGCTTTGCGCTTCTCCCTCTCGTCTGAGGAACCTCTCGCGTCTCAAAACTCCTCTCTCTCGGAAATCTCCTTCCAGGACTTCTCTCTCAGACTCAGAATCTCTCAGCAGTCCAGATCGTCGCTACTCTCTCGCAGAAACCTTCGCTGTAGCTTTCGCCTGTAATCGCAAGACCAGAGCGTCAGAAATTCCTCACGAAAGCGCCTGTGCTGCAATCTGCAAAATGAGAAGTGACGAAGATTCGGCGACAAGCTTGAAAAGTCAACCTCAAGTCACTCCTCCAGAAGCTAAACCTCGCTGACTGTTTGCAGCCGCGCCGCGCGCAGCTTCGAAACGCGCCACGTGTCGACCAGGTGCACCGCGGCGGCACTTCGCTGGGCCAGACTCGGAGGTTTGACAGGCCGCGAGCGCGGCCGCGGCCGCTCAAGGCCTGACGCGCGGCCGCATCGCTAAACCCGTGCCGCGGCCGCGCGGTACCACTACGCGGCCTGGAAACTCGCGCACAACGCTGGACTGAGAACGCTTATGGGCGAAGATTGGGAAAGCGACCCTGAAGTGAATGATAACGTCACTTTTCTCTGCAGTTTGAGCTGCCTGCAGCGGAGACTCGCGCTGCATCTGGAATGAAGCACAACTCGGTTTCCCCAATCTGCATCAAGTGCCTACATATGATTTCTTTGTGGAGAGCGGAAAAGAGTCTTACGGATCAGAACCGTTCTCTGGTGGAGCAGACAGCTGAGAGGCGAAGTCGATCGGTGGATGCACTTTATGCTCTGGCGCCGCTCTCGCCTAGTGATATCGAACCTGCTTGTATATGGAAAAGTGGTTATGTCGAGCTCACATTTGCACCTGTTCGGCCCAGGTTCTTGATGAGGACTTTTCTGATTTCTCTTTTGGATTCGTAGCCTATGAGTTCCTGCTCGGGCAGACTATGTCCAAACAGTCGAGCGTATGTTCATCGCGGAAGCAAGAAACAACGTGGTATAAGCGGTCTCTTTCTCTACTATGCCTACCTCAGAGTAGATCTCTGCTTCGACTGGCTCTCTTCCTACAAAGCCTGCAATATTGACATGGCCGCCTTGATGAAGGGAGCATGAGTCAACTGTTGCAGACACTGCGTTCCGTTCTTCCTACTCGCAGGTCACATCGCTTTCGGAAGTGGGTGCACGTGGTTGCTTTCGAAGTTGCAAGGGGGATGGCCTTATGACGGCACAATGACCGGCTCTGTCACGTCAACCAATCCAACGGTCCAGAGTATCCGCTGTTCCGAATCTGCTTTCCGCTTTGGTCTCTCGTTGACTGGCCGTACTTTCACCCAGACCAGAGTCACTCTTCAATTGCCACTGTCAGTGGTTTACACAGCAACATCTTAAATTTCTTCAGTCCCTGAACAGCTTTGACTTTGTCATCCTTATACTAGGAAGCCAACCGGGCTGATCGAATGCAGCTGTCTCTTGCAAGTGGGGATCGAAACGACGGCGGATGCAGCAGTCGCCATTAAACGTCCTCAAGCTTCTGATATAAATTAAAGTTCCACAGTAGCAAACCGGGCTGATGCAGCTGTCTCGCTGAATTTGAACAGATTTTGAACTGTAAAAGTACAGCACTGGCAGTTACTGTCGGACGTCGGCATCACTTCATTCGATTGCGACGCGTGGATGTTTTTCAGTGCCCGCTAGAATACGTTGCCTTTCTAGGATCGAAGGCAAGAGGCTTTCTTGGTACCAATCTTCCAGATCGTAGGCTTGAAAGATTGGGAAACTTCTCAAAGCCCATAAACTTGCAGCTGCCTTGCCTGTGGTTGCAAGGAGGACTGCAGGATTGGAAAGACTTCACAGGATCAAACCTACCTTTCTGTCATCCTAGGCAGCGATACTCTACACGTAGAAGAGCAAGCGCAGGCAGAGGAGGACTTACTTTCCGTTTATATCGTACGGGTAACGACAGCCGCGTTTGCAAGAAGCGTTGGCAAGGAAGAGGCGCGTCGAAATCTTTGCAGCTTGGACCACCTTAATGATATGTAAGGCCACCCACAGGCCAAGCAAGTGCTCTCCTCGTTATGTCAGAGGCACATTGAAGTGATCAAGCTAGGCGTTCCTTTCAAAAGAGATGCCTTTTTGGCGCTGTTTCTCAAGCGGAATGGCAAAGCAAACGGAGGAGACGGAAAGCAGCGAGAGCCCCCGTCAACGCTCTTCCATGCGGCACTCCAAAAGGGCTCCCAAATCTAGTGATGACACGATTCTGCAGCTATTGGGTTTGCCAGAAACCGTCGCAGGGACCAAGTCTGGCAACCCGGCGACTGCTTGCGGACCAAAGGTCATCATCTCATCCCCGTTGCCAAGCTGGCTTTCTTTGCGCTTGCAAGCTTATGAGCACGTTGTCCAATCTGGACCTGACACGTGGGCAGAAGGCGAAGGAAGGAAGATTCGCTTGACTGCATGTGTTGGTTCGCGTGACCAAGACATCGGCCAAGTTCCTTCCGGAAAAGGGCTCTTTGCGGCCCCCTTGAAAGAAAAGAAACATTCCTTCGAGCAGTGGCTCGATCAATTTAAAGTCACTCCTCAGCAGCTCAGCCAAAAGGCCACTTCTCCACGCAGCTTGGGCTCCTCTTTTGACCTTGAGTCTGAATCGTATCACCTCGTTTGTTACCCCGGGGACTCAAGCACAAACCTTGAGCGTGGGGAAGGGTGGGTTCCCGTGACCAGGGAAGAAGGACCCCCCAATACGGCGGGCTCAGACGAGACGTACTGGGCTGACTCTGAGGAAGAAGATTTCTCGCCAAGCTGGGTGGAGGAAGTTCTCTCCGGGGGGGGGGAGCGGCAGTGGGTAGGGCGTGGTCTAGAGGGGGAAGAGTCGCCGGAAAGATTGGCAGCGTGGGACCGGAAAGATATCACCGGGGAAACCTGAGATGCACCGTTGAACAGGGCATTCGTTATTTGGGAGGGAAAGCGCTCTGGTGACAGTCTACCGCAGCCCACTGGGGTTTGTGGCTGAGGGCTGAGGTAAGTCGCAGAGTTTGATTGATCGCTCCTTCTCAAGAGCAGTGATCGCCTCTCAACCGAAGACTTTGTTTCTAAGCCTCTAGTTCTTTATCACTATAGAAGCTTCCACGGCTTGCAGGTGTGCCAAAACACTCAACGAGACAGAGAAATCTAGATTCTTGAAGACTTCTCAAATCATCTCTGCAGATCTAATCACTGGGTCGTTCACAAGAGGCCCCTATTTTGAGCGAAGCATGTTTTCTGCATCTCATGACCTTCTTGGACTGCTTATGTCAATGTCGCTGCGCGGGCTTCAAAGAACTGTGTCTTACTGACGCCCGACTGCCGTGGCGTCTTCCTACATACAGGTACTGATGGGGTCGCACGTAACCCAGTCTGTAGAAGTTTTATGCTCTTTTAGCACCCCGGAAACGTTTATTGGAAACAAGGCAACCCGGCCTAAGCTCTTGAGTCCATATAGCCAGGAAACAGCATGAATCGCGGCCAATCGATCGTAAGTTACGAAGCTTTGGTTCTTTCAAATTATGAGCGCACAAAGAAACGACTTCAAGATCAGTGTAGAGAGTTGACTGTGACCATGTACACTGAGACGAATCTACATCATAGCGACGCTATATCATGCAGATATATAGCTACAGTAACCATGCATGCTGCGTACGATCAGATCTGATCATTATTGTGTTCGAGTCTAACTTGCAAAGCGTATGCTCAATCTTGTATAACCCGCATGCTGAATTGCAGATCAATGTGCACATGAAGTACCTATGGTCGTATACATGTCGTCAGTTAACAGTATATGATGATGCACTCCGCATGCCCTGAACTGCACGCTGCAACGTCAGCTATCTTAGACAAGCTCCATGTCTCATGTTTCGGCCGTCCATGTTTTTTTCAAGAAGTCAACAGACATGACAAACGCATGGTGCGAACAGGGATCACTCGATCTAGGCACCACAATACATGCGGCACTGATCCCATGTGTACACTTTGGATCACGATTACTCAAGAGGCGGGCCGTCATGACTCATAATGCATGCAGAATCTGCAGCAGTGTGCTTAACAATGGAATATCTGCAGGAGCTCGACTTCATTCCAAGAAACAGACCCCGTTTCAATGGTGCAGTACTGCTCTCCCCAGATTGCTGGACTCAGCGACTAGCCTTTCTGCTTGAGAGTGATCTTGTCTCCCAGACTCAAGGCAATACCTTGCGTCTTGCTACGAATCCGGATGTACCCACCCAGCTTCCCATCAGGCTGCTTTTCTACGCTCACGTTGACCAGGGCATCTTCGCCAAACACACTCTTTGCATACAAGTTCGCCGCCAAGAAGCCGCAGTCCCCATCCAAAGCAGACCTGCAACGAATCAAAAAGGATCACACATATCAGTACAAAGTTCCTCAAAACCGTCGTCAATCAAAACTCTGTCGCTCAGCAAAACGGACAATCGCAGAAACAAGAACCCGTTGTAAGGGAGCCTCAAATGGAGGGTTCAACACAAGCCCCCAATATCATTTCTCCCGATTCGACAGGCAAATCTGAAAGAGCAGGGCCCAAAAGAAGCACGAATCGCCAGCGCTTTCGACTTCTACTTATGAGTACGATCCGACAACAGGAGACGGTCCTGGCACTCACGGAGGCGTCAAGCACTTCATGTTGGTCGAGTTGACGATGTGCTCCAAGAACTGCGAAACCTCTGTGATGGACGTGTTCACCGCAACCTGTACAAAGAGAACACGGTATGAGGGAGACGAAACATGTGCTCTCAGACTTGGGAGGTCAAGCTCAGAAACAGCAGGATCACCGTCTGTGCTCCAAACGCCATTCAACTTTTCGCCCACCTTCTTTTGACGGCTGATTTTCCCTGGCCATTCAAAGTCACCAAGGAAAGCCGTCACCAAAAAGTCTGCTTTAAATCGTTGCTCACGCCCGACCCTGCTTGGCCTGGTGTCGATGTCATGGCCCTCAACGAAACTACTTTCATCGACCCCGTCTTCAAACACTCATTTGACAACCTCTCCGAGGAGGATCCGCCTCTCTGCTCGCCCGAGCAAGCGCCTCACCTTGTTTTCCCACTCGAACTCGGCCCACATGTTCCGGAAGGCCACGTCTTGACACGTGGCAGGCGAGATGTAGTCCATGATGTCGATGTGGATGTCGTTAAGCACCACCACGTTGCGCTCCAGTGCGCTCCCCGTGGTCTCGTACACGATGTTCCCGAAAATGACACCTGTCTCCGTGGACGACACCTGAAACCGGAAGAGTGCTTTCAGTCGCCGGATCTACGCGCTGAACATAGCCGGTGGTCGGACAAACTAATTGACGGGATTAGTGGATTTGAAACAATGATAAAAGTCGACAAAGCAATGGTGATTGTTTTGTCGACTGAGGAACAATGACGAAAGGTGGTGCCAAACGACGTCGTCCTTCTCCAATCCAACCGATCAATAAGAGCGCAAAAGCGAAGGGGGGAGTTGATCACGAATAGCTTTTTGTGGAAAGATTGTGCCATGTCCCCCCCGCAGCATTCGCCATCAGAGAATTCTGCGCCTCCCTGCAGGAGGCATCGCGTTTTTGGCAATCGGAAGCAGAGACCTTCTGAAGAAAGGGTTTGCAAATCATTCTCGAGCTTGTGAGCACTTTACAACATAGCCCCGCCGTCTAGATGAAAAGCAAGCATCATTTCCACAAGCAACGAGCATTCTAAATATATGGAGAATTCCATGGCCATAGGTATCTTCCAAATGGTTTTAGAAGCAATGAAACGACGAAAAAGGAGGGGGAGGGTGCCGCCACGTTTTCTTTTCTGCAATGAAGGACGAAGAAGTAGAATGAAAAGGACCACGTACTTTGCATAGCTAACAGTCGGAGGCAGGTAATGTCAATCGGTAATGATTAGTCGAGTTGAACAACAGCGAAAAAATCATCGCTGACACAATCAGCGTCTAGTATCTGACGACCTCAGCGAAGAACTACGACCAACTAAAGTCAAGCGGATGCCTCTAGAGGTGCACAAGCTTCATTCGCTGTTGCATCGTCCGTGCCTCTTGAGAGATGATGCTGGGCTTGTCAATGCCACAAGCAACAATAACAAACCCCATCCTTGATGGAGCTAAAGTGCCTGCATTTGCTCTCCTGAGGAAAACGCCTGCATCCACAAACCCCTGTCCAGAATCGGGGATGAAGCTCGGAGCAAAAGGTGACATTAAGAACGCTCACAAGCAAATGGGCGTGTTTTCTACGTTCCGAGCGTCCGGATTGTGTCGAATCAGAGCAAGCAACGAGAACCCAATTGGATCAGGAACAGGTCCTGACAGAGACCAGGATATGGCCATAACGAGGCTGCGCGAATTGAGCCTGTAAACCGAGCGCTGACCCAAGCGTTAACCCACCTTGATGTTGGCCCGGATCTGCTTGCTGGCCTCCGGCCCGAGCGTGTAGTTCTGCGGCCGCTCCACCAGCTTGAGGTCCCCCATGGTCGCCAACTCCAAGCACAGGTTCTGCAGCGTCTCGCTCGTCCGGTTCACCACCGTCACGTCCAACACGATGTCGTACTGCAGAATCGGACGGATAAGAATTGGTACACGTGCCATGGGCTTCCGTGGATGAAAAACTTTAGAATCGCCGTACAGACCTTTTCTTCTCCTCCGGCTTTCTTAATTCCTTTCCAAGTAAGCGACTGGCACGGATCAGATTGTTTGTACTACTTGCCTCTTTGCGGTGAACAGCGACATTTTGCAAGTGTGCCAGACAAAGTCGTAATGTCTCCTCGCACGATTGTTGTTGCATCCAACGGACCACAGAAAGCATTGATACTTTCGGGGCGCCATTCATTTTGGAGCATCAGCTAGCAAAAATGATGAAGAAGCACTAAAAAAGCCGGGCAGGAGTAGCTGCAGTCACCAACCAAGCCCAATCTGCCCATAGTGAATTGGGCAAGCCCGCGCCATCAAAACTGATTTCAAGCGCGACCGGTACTGCAGAGTTGTACCTCGTCAGTTCTCTCTTGTGCAAATCAAGCTTTTAAGACGAAGGTTAGACAGCGAGCGATAGTTTACATGCGCAAGACCGTACCTGGTGCACAGTGACGTAGGCCTCTGCGTACACGGGGTCGCTGAAGCCCGTTAGCTGCAGCACCCGGTTGAGCTTGCGGATGCCCTCGCTCTCCTTGGAGATCTCGCCCGTCGCGCGCTTCAGGTCGTTCTGCACCTCGTCCTCCAGCTCCACCTGGCTCAGGCCCTGAAACGCCAAAAGAAGTTCGATGAATCGTAAGCACACTAGTATGGCATTGACTGCAGGGTTGCATACAACTCCGGCTGCTCACAAAACAAGGGCTTCAACTACGCCACTGTGACAACGGGATCTGGGGAACAACAGGGCTTCTGTCCGGTCGCTAGATCTCTGATCATGTCGAGCGGTCTTGAAAGAGTCCGGACGTAGTCCCAAGTCGGCAAAGCGCAAATGACATACTTTTTCAAACTCATGTCGTAAACCGACTTTTTCCAACATGCAAAACGGAGTTGGCTGGTATCGTTTTGGACAGTCTCCCTGACTTCCTCATGAGTGCATAGAAAAGTATCGTACACCCTGATTTGGAGTGTGCGACATTTTTAGGCTACTGGGAGACGCCCTGATTCAAGACCTCAACGTATATATCAGGTTTCCGACCCGGGCTGCATTTGCATCATCTTCTAAACATTGACATCTCCAACATTCGTCAGCTGCGCATGATACACATTGGTGACTAATCCCTGGGCAGTAATCACTACAAATCAACTTCTCGATTCTCCTGCTACATGAGCCTCGAAGAAGACCACCTCCCTGCGTTTCGAGTCCGAAACGAATAAACAGTCGGACCTCAAACTTTCGACCGACCAGCCGCCTCACCTTCCTACTCTTGAGGTGGTAGAAGTCGATGAGGTCATCCGGCTGCGCGGACGCGACAGCCTGCTTGGCGCGCGACTCCTCCGTCTCGCGCGCCTGCTTCTCCACAATCATCTTGCGGAAGCTGTCCTGGCAGTACTTGAGCCACACGAGCCGCATGACGTCACTCGGGCTCGACAGGATGCGCACCGCGAGCGTGATGCGGTCCCGGGAGTCGTCGTCGATCGGGTGGGGGAGAGCCGTGGACTCGCCCAGCCGCAGGATGGAGACGAGGTACAGGAGCGCCTCCGCGGTCGCCTTGTTGATCGCGACCTGGAGCAGCAAGTGAGAAGGCGTGGATACAACGTGTTGGACTCGAGACAACTCAAACGCCCCTGTCGTAACGCTCTGGCAAGATACGAGTGGAGCAGACAGCACTGCAAGAATGACGTTGCTCTCCAATACGGGATGAAATGCTCATAGGGACCCTTTCTTAGCGAACAGTGTGAATATCCTTTAGTTGGGTCGAAAGTTGGGAATTCTAAAACCTCTTTTGCAGTGCTAAATGTTGCAGCGGACAGTGTTGGAATCTATATGGTACGTGTTGGTGAACGTCCAGCAGGCTGTGCAATGAGGCCTCCAAATGACGGTTTGCAACCCGCGACTCCTCGTCACATGCGGAAGCCTTTATTTTTCTAACGGCACAAGCTCGTTCTGAGTAGATCAGATCGATATTGAAGCAACTCCTTATACGCCGATCTGACCAGCAAGGGACAACCCTCCAAACCTACTTCGAACAACTTCCTTCGCAACCGCTTTGCAACACAGACTAAGCCTCACCTTGGAAGCATGCAGGTCCTCTAACCGCAGCACCAGCTTCGTGAGCGTCGTCGCAATGACCGACCCCAGGAAGAAGTCACCCGTCAGAAGCAGCGCCCGGAGGTTCGCCGCCGCGGCTGCCGCCGCCGCCAACGTCGTGGTCGGCGCAACGGCCGCGAGCTCCACCGCAGCGCTCTGGGTGGCATACGTACCGTCTGCGAGGACCGCCGGACGCTTGGACGACACGACGGGCGTGACGGACGTCGGCGCGGGCTTGCTCTCGTTGTTCTCGGCGGGGGCCTCTTCCTCGGTGAAGAAGGGGAGGTCGCCGAGGGAGGTCTTGATCGTGCTACGGAAAGAGAAGCCAGAATCGTCAGGAAAAAGAACACGAGAGAGCAGAATCGATGTTACCTACGAAGTTTCGGGCTCCTACTGTTCAGACGAGTGGAGGTGGATGCGTGATGTCAGTTGATGGTCCTCAGGTGCTTCACCATCTCTTACATCCGTTCTCCAAAAGCGGACTTTCCGAGGGTCGCGGTGGACCCGACGGACCTGAGGGACTAGCCATCAAACTGTGAACTCAATTGAAGCTGCGAAAGGATCGAAACCAAGACCTTGAACGCATGAAGGCACGTGGTAGGCTGCCCACCATCAGGTCATTCAGCGGAGCCCTTTCAGATTCCTTCTGTGACGTGTTTACTTTAAGTCACCAGTTCCTTGTTGCGAACGGTAAAGCTTGTCCACATAGGTTGTGAGAGAAGAATCACTCGGCCATGCAGAAAGAGCTACTGCTTGAGACGGGGTGGAAGAAGAGCCTGCAACTCGTTACCTGTAGACCATACCTTAAGATTTTTTGACCTAGCAGCAGAGGTTCGCAAGGAACATACCTGAGGCCGGACTCCACCTCGGGCAGCGACTGGCAGTACTCGCCGATGATCCACAGCGCGCACGCACAGACGCGTGCGGAGCGGATCTGGGAGAAGGTGTCGAGGAGGCGCGTCACAATGGACTCGCGCAGCTTGGGGTTGGTCTCGATGATCTCGCGCACAAAGAAGACCACATCGAGCGCCGATGCCGTGTTGCTGTCGCCGAGGAAGTCCATCAGCACGTGCACCACGCTGCTGGCGACGTCGGGGAACTTGATGGCGCAGTTGTGAATCGCCTGAAGTCCAGGAATGAAGGGTTAGTGGAGGGTTACTTGCGGTTTGCCTTGTAAACAAAGGGAAGGGAAGGTAGAAGAATGTACTTGGATGGAGCTGATTTGAAGGCAACATTGTTGCCGAGTCTTTAGGAGTTGGTCAGTACTCTGCAGAATTGGCGAGCGAGCAGTGCTGGAAAGGTTTGCTTGCGTGGTTCTAGATTGAATCAGATTGAGTCTTTGGAAGCAATCTGCAGGCATTCAGCACCGTTGACTGTAAAGCGCAAAGGAGGAATCTCCAACGAATCCTTCAATCTCACTGAAAGTGCATTTCTCAGTATCCAGCCACACTCCCTCGAAGACTTATTTGCAACTGCTTGCAATGAATCAGGTGGTCAAAACAACCCTTGCTCAGGCGACCTGTCCTTTCTGAGATTGAAGTTGTACAAAGCAGCCCCTGCTGATGTGCAAACAAGCTGCTCACAGTTCATGCCAGCCCCACTTACCTGCACGAGCATCTGCCGGTACTCCCCCACTTTCTCCAGCTCCTTGTTTTGCGTCTTGACCACCTCCTTCTTGAGCGTGAGCACGACCTCGTCGATGTTGCGCGGCGTGATCAGGTCCAGCGCAATGTCCAGCGTCTTGCGCCGGATGTCCATGTTGGGGCTGGACAGCACGCGCAGCACGTCCATGATCATGTCAACCATCACCTCCCGGTGGCTGGACTTGAGTTCCTGGAGACGTAAGGTCATCAAGCTAAGATTGCAGTATCTCAATCTATAGGACTTCTACAGAAATTTGTTTATGGAAGAAGAAAGCTGACCTCCCGTTCTATGTTGAAAGGCTAACTTGCTACAGGGGAACTGTCGAGCGTTCCATTGAAGTATTACTTGGCTGATGGACAAAACAACCAACACCTTCTAGTGGGAAGGACTTGAGCCCGTAGAGGGATCAAATCCATTAGTCACCATCTGCACAATCTGGAGAGCTGACAAGCACAAAGTGCCTAAAAGAGGAAATCCATAAACTTTTCCAGCTTTTCTGTGGCCTATAAAATGGGGCCCAAGAACAAGGTTTCTACACCCCTGATTACAGCGAACCAGAAAACCTTCTAGGCACTGCTTATGGCGCGTTGTGGAAGATCTGTCAAGTTGGGATAAGCCAGATGAACAATCCAGTGAAGATGAAGCGGGCAAGCAAGCAGGACTCCACAAACGTAGCAGTGTCATCAATCCCAACTTGTGATAATGAAATGTCTGCAAATCAGCAGAATGCAATAAATCCAGAAATCAGCTGCCACCGGGACATTGGTGGCGTATAGTAAGAATGCCTCAGAAAATGTCATCAGACAATTGAGATCCATCCTGAGATTCCTCACCTGCAACCGGTCCAGGATGATCAGCTTGACGTTGTTGTCGCTCTCTGAAACCAGGAGTTGGCAGTAGCTGTTTGCCGCCGCCCTGATGGCGGTGGGGGCGGATGAGAGCGCAACCAGAGTACCAGCGCACTCGTAGACCACAGCAGTGGATGTGGTCCCCAGGAGAGTGAGGATGATCTTGATGTACTTGCCCTTCTCGCCAGGGTTTGTGCGGCAAACCTTGCGGATGAGCTCCAGCACGACCATCTGCATGATGTCGGGCCAGTTGGGGACGTTGTCCAGATTGGAGAGGAGGAAGTGGACGGCCCGCTCCTGCGAGCTGTGGTAGAGCATAAGGAACGCATTGCGCCGCGCCGAGGCGTCCTGCTCATTGCCTAAGAAGCGCTCAATCAACTCTGGCGCATCTTGCAGGAAGTCCTCCGCATGAGGAAGCTTGTAGATGGCGTTGACTGCGAGCACGGCGTTCTTGCGCACAAAGGAGTGCCGATGCTCCAAGTTGGCCTGGATAGACGGGATCAGCGGCTCAAGCAGCTCCCTCTCCTGGATTCTGCACAGGAACCTCAGCGTGACCCCCCGCAGATACTCGTTCGGGTGCTGCAGATTGTTGCGCAGATTCTGGCAAATGAGAATCATCTCTGGGAGGACCTTCCCCGCCGCATCCGTCTTGTCAATTATCTCCAGGTACAGCAGAAGGAGCTTCTGCACTGTGTGATCCTCTGAAGGGAGCACGTAGCGCACTATGGTGATAAACAGTGTCGGGAGCTGCTCCCCATTCAGCAGGAGCATAATTGCTTTCTTCATTGCATCCTGCTTCCTGACGACATCGCTCCCCTCCAAATCCGACTTGATCTCATTGGCCAAGGCGGGGGTGCCCTTGTCAAAATGCACCAGCAAATGACACGGTTTCTCCATCTTGCCCGCCCTTTTTTGCGCCGTGAGGGGTTTCTTTGCTCTACACACGCACAGCTGATCCTATGCAGTTCCGACAGAGGCCAAATGCTACTTCCATAATACCAATAAACAATCCGAACTGGCTTGCTCACACCTTCCTGCGTCCTCTGTCACGGTGCTCCTTCTCCTGCTTCCAAATTGTCTTTCGAGCTGCTCTGTGGCGCTACCCCACGCGCCCTGAACAGTGACTGCAGGTCTGTTGAAGTGACTCCAGCAATCGAGTCCAGAGTCCAGACAGGAAACCAATTTCTTAGTAGGTAAGCGAAGCGGATAAGTCGGAAATATCGATATGAGGGTCTCCAGTTTCAGAATGACTCAATTTCAGAATTTCGCGGACGTCTTGGATCTGTATCCCGGTGTTTCGCAAGGGGTTCTCCGAGATCTATCCTTCGTACATCACGACCAAAATGGCCAGCGGCGCAGCGCCGTCTGAAGTTGAACTTGCATGTCCGAGTCGGAGTCTCGCAAGCAGAAAACTTTGGGCAAGAGAACAGCAGATTGGACCAGGTGGAGGCGCTCAGAGTCGGAGTTGAGGAGCTGGAGGCAATTTTGCAAACCATTTCTTACAAAAGCGCTATCTCGCACCACAATTGTGCACCTTCTTATGCCGCGTTTTGCAGTGGTGGTGGCGGGGTAGACGGAATACAACTTATGACGATTTGTTGATAATAGATAGCTGGTGGTAAGTCAGAGCTGGTAGTTGTCTGTGCTAGAAAGTTTGGAAGAAGAAGGGCAGAAGGTGGAAGGGCTCACTATTTGCCTGCAACATCAGACAGCACAATGGAGGATGGCATGATGGAAGATGCGGATGAGTGGTCAAGGTCACAGCCGTACAATCAAGCTCTCCCGGAGATCAACAACCTTCGCACGGTTTATTGTGAATACCAGAGTGAGTATTGTCACTGATGATTGCTCCTGGTCAGGATATGCGCGGGGCACGGGTCTGGTACCTTGATATGTTCGCTCGATGACTGATAGTTCTCCTGTCTTTACAATTGAAGTGTCCGGCAAACTTGAAGAGTATCTGAACTTTCTTCCTGAGTGCTCTGCAGGTATTCTTTTGAAAGAGGATAGTGCCGCCGGCACAAGGGCCAGACTGGCGCCCCTTTTGTCATACATTGAATCTCATAATCTGGTGGGGTGAGGTTCGCATCCTGATCTGATGGACTCTTCTTTCTCTTGATCCCTTAGTCACCTTGACCTTGGCGTTCATTCACACTACACAATGTCAATAGTGGTTTTCTTCACAAAGCCGCCTTCTCAATGGGCCATGGGCCCGAGTTTCCAGTCTTGCACTGCTTAGCTACTACATGTGGGTTGTTAATAGCTTAAGCAGGCACAAAGAGGAGGCAGCATTGGCCTCGACTCTCGAACGGTCGAGAGTACCGTGTTCGGTGACTGCATCCTCTTGACTGATGCTGCCACACATCGTTATTCTTGCAGGCGTGCGTCTTTGAACACTTTACGGAGGCTCGCTTCAGAGTTGCGAGGGGAGGTATGAGGCCACTCTTGATAGGTCATCGTCTCCCAGGTTTACTGCTGGGTCTGATTTGACTTCGGTTGGTCGATAATCAATGTCTTGTAATGGTGTGTTGGAGAATTGATGCTATGAGAGACATGGACAGTGCACAGCTCCCTCAGAGATGAGGTTAAACCCAAAAAGCTTGCACCCTACAACTCAACGTCGCCCCAGCCAGATGGGTGCATCTGATTTCCTGAGGGCTTCCAAGAATCACCAATCCCCAATCGCGAAAATGATCTCAACCTACCTGTTCGTGCAGTTGCTGGATACATCTCGGTATGGTATCTTCTACCGGTTTGTCTTCTTTGTCGCACGCGAACGAGGACAGAAGAATCTCAGTGAGTGAATGGAACCTGTGACTCCTCATCATGGAGGGTGATTCTTCTTTCCATATCTGCCCCTATGTCATGTTGGGTCCAGGACTGCTCAGCATGTGCTGCATATCTGGTTCTTGACTCACTGATGTGTAGTTGTGCTTCGGTCCAATTCCATTCCTCGGCCAGAAAACCGAAATCTGCTTCCCTGGTTTGGGGCTCGCCGCTTGCTCTTGGATACTTGCTGTCGAGTAGTTACCATTTGAAGTGCCGAAAGTTCCTCAGGATGGCTTGTGATCGCTTACAAATCTGATCACGTTCTTCCCAGGTGTTGAGGGGGCTATTGATGCATGGAGGCTTGTGTTGGCCGGGCGTTTCAGGCTACTCGATCAGTGGTGCAGTTTCGTTCGGGTAAATCGTAAACTTCAAACACCCGTCGTAGTTGCCCCTAGCAAAGCCGGTCTGCAAAGGAGAAGCAGAGAGACTTGGCAGCTCCTTGCGGAACCGGATTCGCCTTTGTGTTTGTGCCAGGATGCAGCTGATGATCATCCCTCGATTGAGGTTTGTGAAACTATGCACGCACCTTCTTGTAAAGTCGAAGTGAAAGGTCGCGGCTGAGAAGTGCGATATGCCCAATCCTTCATGTCTCGACCCACCCTGGTTAGTTGGACAATCCTTTCCCTCCTTGAGTCCTTTGTAGGTAGTTACCTGTTTTGATTATGGTGTGTAACGAAGAATCTCAGGGGCTGAAGACGAGATCTCAGCTTCAGCCAGTTCCTGTGAAACTTTGGCATTTCGGGCCTGATTTGCCATGACTGTCGGTTCGACCATGAACTCCGTCTACATCAAAATTCGGGACTTTCATGGGTTCTCCGAGAGCTGACGTGCTTGCAATCAGTACATTAACGGGTCCTGTCTTACTTATCCGCTGACCTCTCTTATTAGGTGCACCAGAAGCATGCTATTACAGAAGACACGTGGCGCCAAGTGTTGGACTTTAGCAGAAGTATCCACGAGGACTTAAGCAACTACGACCCGGAAGGGGCGTGGCCCGTGTTGATTGACGACTTCGTGGCCATCATGTGTCGGTAAGGCAGCCTCCTTTTCCTTTTGTCTGCCCTCACCCTTTCAGTATGAATCTCACCCGATGGTCTTGTCTAATAAGAGGGGTAGTACAGCTGGCCTGGTCTGATCTTCTCGCGTTTCGACAACAGAACGAGCTCGAGGTCCCACTCGAGGCGGAGCGCCTGGTTATGAAGGCAATTCTTCGGGCAGGACTCGTTTTGCGTTCAAAATTGGTTTGCTGGTGCTTCGTGTGCTTACTCAAGTCGGCCGGTCCGTCCGTCGGGTCGCTCCTCAGTTAGTGCGACCTTCCGGCCTCGACTCATCCTCTCATGATGGAACTTGGTTGGAAAGAAGCGAGTGCGATAAGCAGCTTTATGTAGCGAGTGGCAGTAGCTTACCTGACGGCCGACGCTAGCCATGACTTACTGTTCGAAGTGTTGTGCTTGCCAGGAGGAGGGTCGCGTGTCCTTCCTGCGGCGTCGAATTGGAGGGCATGTGCCGGTGTGACACCAGCAGTCCGCTGGCGGCAAGCACTAGCGGAGGCTGGGGGGCGGAAGAGGACCTGGGCTTAAGCAGGCTTGGGGTAGTAGCCACCGCAGGGAGCAAACGGAGGTGAGTTTGCTTGTTCTTGGGGTCACCTCATTAAAAGTTGGGGACTTATCGGCCGTTGAGAGGCATGTCCGATGCGTGCCTCAGGCAGTCGGTTGAAAAGTCAACTGCTTGCACGACTCCAGGTGCAGACTTCGCAGGCTTGTGCGGGATTCCTGAAATTTGAGCGGATTCGCATGCTATCAACGATACGTTTCGTGTGGCTTTGCCAGGATTCAAGGCCTGGTGAGGTGGGGTGCTCGAATGGAAGGGGCTCAACCAACCCTAGAAATTGATAGCTGGATGCCTTTGTTGTTGCGCGAAATCTCTTGCTGATAGCTGAACACGTGTGCGTGTCCAAAATGCTCAACGGTCAGCCGTCGTTCTCACGCAGGCGGAAAGATCCAGCGGAAGAACGGGAAGAAATGGAGTCTGTGAACCTGATTGCTCAAAGGTTGGCAGAAATGCAGAGTGCTGCTAGCAGCAGTGATGGGGAAGATAGCCTCCCAAAGCGACCAAGACTATACAGCTATCAAAAGAGGCAAGTAGACGGAATATCGCATACCCATCTGGTGGTTGGGGAGCATCGCCCTCCGTCAGGGAGGGTTCCCCAAGGTGAAACGAGGGCTATTGAGGCTAGTCATGGGGGCAGTTATTTGTCACACCACAGCATTAGAGAACAAGAAAATTCGAGGCTCTTGAGTTGGGGGGAACATATGATGGTTGCGCCGTCTTGACGGCAGGGTGTTCATTTCTGAGCCGTTGTAAAATTTCAAGGTTGGTTGAGGCCATGTATTGATGATTGTGCAGCACATCTGGAAAAGTGGTTCCTTTAGATATAAAGCTAAAAGGTCGCGTCACTGTTAGACGTCGCTGTCAATATTGGTGTTTTGGCACCATGATCCTGCATTAAATCAATGGCCGGAACCAGTATTCTTGGTTCATGCACTTTTTTGCGAATGCTTGCTACCCTAGGCCAAATTCAAAGCTCATGCAGTCTATATATGTGGCCCGATATCACAGTGATAGAACATCCGGAGTATGGACAAACTTGTCACCACCGGCCCATGGCACGCAGTGCAAATCCAAACTTACCGGTTGCTGTCCAGCTCGCCGGCCCCACGCAAATCTAATGGATAGCGCTCATGCTTGTATACCAAGCAGCTTGTTGGTCGAAGCCTGAATTGAATACCAAGCCAAAAGATTTCAGAGTGTGGGTCTGCACATCATGCCCAACCGGCCGGTCTGGTCACAACTGTCCATGTGTACACTCTGTGCGGCATTTTATGGCGAATCTGGCTCCGCTCCAATCTCCATGCAACTATATTCTAGTGCATCAGCATGGCCTGAATTATCGTGGGCACTAAATGCGACTGATATGCAGAATCCCTGGCGGCCACATGATGGTGGGATGCAACATACCTCCTGCAATTCCTTGCTATGAGGTAGCATCAGAGCTGAAGGCATTGCAGTTGAACAAGATAATGAACTTGGCGTGCTGTGAATGACTGCACGGATTGACAGCTAGCACGTGGCGCAGTGTGCACAATGGTGCGTTTAGAAAAGCCTTGACCTGAAGGCAGCAGCTAATATGTATCTCAAAAGTTTCAAGGGCTGTACTCATACGCGGATTAGAGGCCTGAATGGCAAGCCCCCTATGCTTATGTGCCTTTCTGATCTGCGGTGGCCAAACATGCCACACTTTGCAAGCCCCAAAGCACACTGAACCTGAGGTCCGACAACGATTCACGTCACCTGTATGGATGTAACACATTCAACCTGGCTCACAACTCCTAGACTGTTTAGTACGAGTAGTTGGCCTGGTACATGCCCTGCTTGGCCTCAGCAGCCTCACCCTCCTCGCTGTACTTTCCGATCTGGGCCAAAGAGTTGGCCTTGGCGCGGATCAACAAAGCCTGCTGGGCCTTGTCGAAGTTCTCGGGCTTGCCCTGCCATGTCTTCAGGACGGAGTTTTGAAGAGCACGGGCGTATGAGAAGGATACGTGCCACGGGTTGGGGCTCTGGTTCATGGCGTTAAGGTTAAGGGTGGCCTCGACCTCGGACTGTCCTCCGGACAGGAACTGCAGACGGAAAAACAAGCGTGTCAGACATGCTGGTCCAATCCTAAACAACCAAACTGCTTCAGATATTCCCGTCCGCATTAGAAGTGCGCTCCTCATGCCAGAACCAAACATAACTTTCTTTTAGGTCATTGCCTTGCACTTCCTCTAGCAAGAGAGCATGTCTTCCTATGCATTCAGGTAAATGGTCATCACGACAAGATCACAGCAGCGCACAATTAGCTTCATGCTCGAACTTGGCTCTCCTCCAAGCAGACAGCTTCAGTATTTGCTCAAACCTCACTTCAGCTTCCTCGAGCCAGCACGTTTGCTCTTACCATGCAGCTTCCTACATTACCAAGTCCAAGCAAAGTGCGATCTCTTGCAGCACTCACCATGATACCAGGGACGGCGGGGGGGACGCGTCTCCTGAGGAGGGTCAGGGTGTAGTCAGCAACCTGCTCGGGGGTGGGCCTGTTCTTGTGCTGGGCTCCGGGGGTGACCATGCTAGGCTTCAGGAGGATGCCCTCGAAGAGGACGTTGTTTTCTGCCAGGTACTTGAACGTGTTTGACCACACATCCATAGCAACCTCCAGAGTCCTGTCAATGTCGTGGTCGCCGTCGAGGAGGATCTCGGGCTCAACAATGGGGACGAGGCCGTTGTCCTGCAGAAGAACAGAGGAACTTAAGAAGGGTGGATGCAAAAGCGATGCTATGGTGGTACATGTGCTCCCTTGCAAAATGCTGAACTAGATGCTGCAAGCCTTGTGCAAATCCAAAGAAAGTGCAGCCCTTATGGAAACCAAAAAAGAAGATGCGCGGACAGACCAGGTGAACATCACTTGGTAAATGCGGAAAACCCTGTCTCCTCTGCATTGGAGACCATTGTCTGCTTGTTGCAGTAATCCAATTGCGACCTTGTGCAAGCCCGACTATCTGAACCCTAATTGAGTACCGAAGCAGTTGAGCGGTTACCACACTAGCAGTAGTCCAACCATTGATAATGCCGTGGAGACCTGATAGTAGTGCTCCTGCGAATGCGAGCGTTCTCAAAAATCGTTTGCGAGAACCTGGTAACATATCTACCAGCCAGCACACCAAATCTCATGCTGACAGATCGTTCAAAATCTGCAAGCAAATGACTCTGCAGGTGAAGGAGCCATGTTGCAGAGTGCTCCTTACCTGAGAGATGGCGGCATATCGGGCAAGACCCCAGGCAGCCTCCTTCACAGCCAGAGGGGAAGGGCCGTTGGGGATGCTCACAACCGTTCTCCTGCAAATTCCAACCTCAAACACTTAGTATATTCTGTAACACCTTCCAGGAGCATGCTTTGAAATGCTGCGATTGCTACAGCTGTGTAGAAACCTGAATTTTGCTTATCCAACAACTTGTCAACCTCTCAGGAGACCTGGATTGGACCACTGCTCCACTGCTGAAATTGTAGGAGGCACCCTGCTGTATTTCAACCCATCCACCAACACCTATCAGTCAAAGTACAAACAAAACTCAGACAAACTCCTTCAACCCTACGACAACTTCGGAAAGAGGGTTGCTCAATGCCACTTATGCAGTACCACATTGTTGATCATGCTGGCTCCTATGCGGGTTCCTAGCAAATACTCCTGCGAATGATTTCTTCCACTTGGACTGGACCCCTGGTCTGTGCAAGTCGACAAATCGACAAATGCTCATCCTTCCCCCTGGTCTATCCCTTATGACTAGCAAAGCATCTGGACGTGCAGGCCTGCTGTTGGTCGCACATCACAGATCCTGTTCCCTTGCCCTTGCAAACTCATGCAAGCAGTCAAGACTCGCGAACTGCTCGATAAAGCATCAATGATAAGAGCTTCGGTGTCTTCAATGTCTCACCACTTGGCAAACCGAGCACCAGCCTTGTAGTAGGCAGCTGTCCTTGAAGCAAGCCCATCCAGACCCTGGCACCACGACTCATCATTGGATCCGGCGAGGGGAACCAGACCCTGCAGAGTCAAGATGCTGCTTGGTCAATATCAGAAAGCGAATACTGACAAACTTTCTTCCAAGACCACTCCGGAGGTCCGGAACACTGACATATGCGCCAGGAATATGCGAATATGCGTGTTTTCAACACAAAGCATTGGATAATCCTCTGCATCTACAGAGGTATTTACAGTCACATTCACTGCTGTTAGCATGTCTTCTGTTGTACACTTGTGCTAAACATGGCAACCTACAGAGCGCAGTACTCTTCCTTCCTTGCTGATAAGCAAGAAATATGCTAAGCAAGCCTAGATCTGATTGTACCCATTCCCAACCATTTGAATCCAAATGCTGCAAAACCGATCTGCTGGTGAATGCATTGCATTATAAATATGCTTGTTTGCACACATTGCACCTGTACGAGTTTGAGATCCACTGTGCATCTCTCACGATGTTGTATTGCACATTCACTTCCGAAGATCAGCTTCAAGCACAACGGTTGACCACTTACTTTGTCAACCTTGATTCCAGGAACAATGTTCTCCGCGTTCAAGACATCCACGAACTTCCTGCCGTCAGCGGTGGACTGGTACAGGGTCTCCTCGAAGAGAATGGCACCAGACACATACTGTCCCAACCCGGGGGCAGTGGTTAGGAGCTCACGGTACTGGCGGCGGTTCTCCTCGGTGTTCTCAACACCGATGGAAGCCAAACGGAGCCCTGCGGTTGCGTTTGACTCATCCATAGCCAGGATACCCCTGCCCTTGGTGGCAATGGTCTTAGCGGTCTTCTTGAGCTCCTCATCGTAACCTGCAGCGCGGATCCCAGCCTTGGCCCTGACGGCAGGGGCAACAGCAGAGGAGGAAGCCTTCAGGCTCTGGCCGCTGAAGGTGGACTTGGTGAACCCAAGCTGGGCCTTGGCGGCGACGCCAGCCATAGCGGTGGAAGCCATGATGCCTACTCTGTCAGAGGAGACGAGAAGGAGATGGCGCAGGAGATGAATGCAGCGCCTTTTCCTTCTTCCTTCAAGTTTCTGAACACAAGAATGGAAGATGCAGCAGACAACTTTTGCTGCATTTGTTGCCTATGACGGCGAATGTCAGATTCCTTGCATGGTCTGCTGTGATCACAAGATCTGGTTGTAACGCTCAACCGGAGCAGAAATATCAGCGTTACACCTTCTTCTTAGCATCACGAATCTGTAGTGATGAGATCCCTATCCACAACAGTTTGCGGTAGGGATCACCTCTCTTTCCATCTAGCGGCCAGAATCTGTTTCGGGTTTGAGCTATTTACCAATTCCTCTGCTGTTTCGACGACACTGGTCTGCAAAAGTAGTGTACTCTAGGACGAATCGAATGGTCTTAACAGCAAACCCTCAATTTAACCGGAGATCTTTCGCTCTGGTTTCGAGTTCGCATGCCAGCGTGGCAGCTTTCGCGTCTCTCATGTGGGCACGTTGAAGCAAGCCAGCGAATGGCCCAGAATCGATCGCGAGAACGGGTCAACGGTCCTCCTGCCTCGAGAGAAGCAGCCGCGCGCGCACCCCTGGTCAACCACTTCTCCTCTTTCGGCCGGCCTGCTTTCGAGCTTGACTGCGAAACCAACAAACCAAGCCATGTTGACAGTGAAGCTGGGATCACAGATCAACTGAGGAGGGGTTCCGCTCCTCATGCGGGAAATGATCCACAGGCGCATTACTCAGACACTTGTCATTGTCGACGAGTCAAACGGTTCCGAGTCTGCAACGACTGGATAAGATCGGATCTGATTCTGCCGCTTGATTCTGCCGCTTCAACTTGAACGCCAGCGGCCAAATTTCAAAGTCTAACTTGAAGGTCATTACAACGTGCATGTGTAGACCTGTGTCACAGAGGACTACCAGCAAACCATCGTCTGACACTTTGTATAAGTATACAGCATTTTCAGGGCATGCTTCCCGGTTGCGTTCGATAGATAGGGTGTATTTAGCCTAAACTTAGGCTAAGTTTAGTGTAAGTTTAGTCACATCACCAGATTTATTGACGTCATCTAAGAGAGTGGCTGTGACACGTGGAAGAATCTAGCGCGTCGGATGGAACCTGCCCGGTGGTTTTACGGCTCGATGATCACCCCTGTTCTACCTTGGCGGCTGCTACTGCGGAAAGATGTTCGATGACGTCAAAGCAATATCTAAAGTTTAGCTAGAATTTTGTATCTAAATAGACCCTATCTATCCATCGCAACCGGGAAGCATGCCCTGAAAATGCTGTATCTTCAAAGCTTCTATCACCCTTCATATAGGTAAGTCCAGGTCAACAAAGCCTCCCCTTTACCGACCTTCAAATACGCCTGTCACACGTGCAGTCGCGCTGTGTATGAAGTATCAAATCAGAAACTAGTGTCTCTCGATGAATCAGAAGGAAGAAGCAAATGATCCTTACCAAAGCATAGACGCAACGAGCCCGTGTAGTCAAGTAAGAGATTCTCCTCCTCGGGGACATAAAGCTTCAAGAAGATGACGTTGAACAGAACAGCACGGAATAGAGTCCGGCACCTTGTTGAAAGGATCCATAAAAGAATGCTTTATGAACACAAAGTTGAAGGACAATGAAGCCTTGAGGCAATGCTGCAGATCGTACGCCGAGGTTTGCTGTATTGCTTCAATCCAGATTATGTGAAGCGGTTGCATTCAGGATTACATGCAGAGCGCCTTTGACGAACAAAAGGGACGTTTGAAGTAGGGAACTGAGCAGCAAACACTTTTGCTTCGAAACCCTCACATGCGAATATAAGAGGGTGCAACCCCTGTAACAAAGCGGTAAAACATCGATGAGCGCACCCTTTCGCTGCTGAGATGGCGTCGAAGGCTTCCCCCAAAAAGACCTCCAAAGCTCTTGGTAGGCTAAACATCCACGGAGCAAACGTGCTCCGGCTGAGAGAGCCAGCTTCGAAATGGGCGGAGGAGACCGAGAGCCCCGCGCTGAGGCGGGAGAAGTCGGAGGGGGCGCTCTGCTTCCGGGGGGGGCGGCGCAGCAGGCAATCTGGGGGGGACGATTTGCGGTCCCCCGGGGCAGAGCAATCGGTGGGTAAACTAGACATGCTCTGCTGGAGCAGCTTGGGAACTAAGTTCGCGAAGGAGCGGAGTCCAAACAAACCAGAGGCATCGTTTCTGCAAGCGCTGAAGAAGGCGGGCGGGGTAAAGCATGCCAGCCCGGTAAAGCAGCGCGCGGGGGCCGGTGGTTGTCAAAAAGGGGGGAAGGAGGAGAAGCTGAGAAGTGGCTTGAGGACGGCGGGGGGTGACCGCGTGCGATTCGAACCGTCTGGTAGCCAGCCCCCCGTTGAGGCGGCACGGTGTGCAACCAGCCCTGCTAAGATGGAAAGTCGAGGCGAAGGGGGAGGGGCGACAATGCCCGATTCACCCCCCGCCAGAGAGCCCCGGTACTGCCCCCCTACCCCGCTCATAAGCCGGCCGACGATGTTTTACCGGCTGGAACCCCTCCCTACTTGGCCCCAGAACTCGCCCCCCGCAAAGACACCGCTTCTAAAACCAATCATGCCGGAAACTTTCACGAGACGGGAGCTGATCACGCGTCCAGTCGAAGATATCCCAGAACCTCCCCAGAGGACGGTTCCGAGCCTGACGCATTTCAGCCAGCACGGCATCCCTGACCGGCCGAAAACGGCCGTCTCCCCAGAGCAACTTGCCGCGATGAGAATGGCAGCTTCAGGCAGTCGACCAGGGACGAGCCTCGGCTTCAATTCTCGCCCAGGGACATCCCTGTCAGCAGATGGTGTGAATAGTCGCCCTGGAACGTCGATGGGTTTGCAGAACCGGCCAGCAACCGCGGAGGTTTTGATGAGGGCGCTGGAAAGGTGGGGACTGGGGGAAGGGGAAGAGGAGGAGGGTAGGGAGGGGGGTTTGGCGGCTGTTGCTGAGACCGAGGAAGGGGCTGAAGCCGGAAGCGGGGAGAGCGTTGGGGAAGAGCTGATGTATCTGATGGTGGAACGAATGGAGAAGAATGGAGCAGAGGTAGGTGCTCAATGTAGCTCCCTTCCAGCTTCGAGGTCGAACTTGCGAGGAACTGTTCACTGCACTGATGAAAGTTCTTTCAATAAGGTCATGGTTCTGGAACTCGACTACTAGTGAATCGATCGTGTTCCGGTCCTTTCAAATATGCTGGTCTCCACTAATTGTCGAGCCGTCAGTGTTTATGTCATGTAATTTTTGTCAGCGCACTCGAGTGTGCAAAAGACGCCACGTTTTAAAATCTCGACTGAAGAGTTCTGGTCAACGCCTTCCGACATAACCACGAACGATGGGTCATTAGCGGTTGAGACGTCAATCCTCTTAGTGAGTCAATCGTTCAACGGGGCAGACGATCTTGCGGTTACAGCGCAGGAACGTTGAGCTGAAGCAACATTAGCTGGTCTTAAACGTAATTCTTGCTTGGTTGCCCACGTGTCCTCACGTCTTTAATATTTAACATCTGTTGTAAGCTCGCTCTTTACGGTAACTCGGCTGTAGTAATTCCAAAAGCCGACTTTGAAAGCTATCCGTTGGCCCCTAAAGGCGTTACCAGAGGGCGGAAGCAGCTACTTGTACCCTAGCCAGTTGTGGGTCGTCGTTTTTCCAAGAGAACTGTAGGCGAACTCGTATTGCTCTTCCAACTCCTTAACATTCTATATATCTACGGAGCTTGGAATGTGTGTATCGGAACGGCTTTATGATATTGAATCTGACAGAGTCTGCACCGCTTCTGAATGCAAAAGTCATGCTTTGCTCGGCGCAGGTGCTGAACGTCGAGCTAGAACGGCACCCTGACAAGCAAGCGAGCGGAGGATGAGCGAACTGGTTCTCTGGGGTGGGCTGATTGAGCTGAGTCCGGGGGTCTGGCAGGCGGCCTAGGTTAGAAAACACTCCGGCTGGAGTAATAACTAGGAAAGCGGAAATTGATGGACAGTTTTTGTTGGATCTCGGCCGTAGCAGATGCGGCTTGTCGGCTCGCGCCGTCGTCTCACTTCTGTACCAGTCTTTTGGGTAAGGCGCCAAGAGCATGGCTGCACCGATCCATTCTTGGAAGATAACGAACTTGTTTTCCTCAAAGGAATATGCAATGCCTTAGTCGCATCGTTCTCTGAAAGGGAAATGCTGTCTGAAGCCGGAAGCGAGAAATCTTTGGGAAAGCTTCAGCCTTCACCGTCGATGGCAAACCGGCTTCTTCCTTACTTCTTGTCCATCTGGTTGATGCGATTGAATGCGTTCGTCACGACGGTCTGCAGACTGACTATCAAAATCTTGAAGTGCTGATTATACCCAGTCCTGTGCGCAGTGCTTTTATCGGCGATGTATCAGTGCGTGTACACCGATGCCCAGGTTGCATGCCTAAAACCAGCCCCTTGTGTTACATGCCAAGTTTTCTTGGCTTACTGTTTTGTCCCTCCTGATAACCCGTGCGTCAGCTTGTTTGGAACTCAAGAAACTCCCAAAACGACAGATTCGAGTCGCTTCGCAGTGCTGAAGTCGACCCCTTTTCGTGATGTCATAGATGTCGGCAGAAAGTGGATGATTAATATGCGTGGTCTATCAGAAAAAGAGCGAGTCGATGGATGCTTTATCATGCACGCTTTTGCTAAAAGAAGAAGCCGGCCGATGGCAGTAGAGGAACGCGTTGTATGCCATAGGTCACCATTTATGAGCGAGTAAATGCATGACAAGCGCCTTGAAGGCTTGTCTGGCTCAGTTGTTCAATCGTGTGACACGTTTGTGAAATGCTTGTAAAAGCAACGCTCTATGAGATCATGAATCGCAGCACAACTTTTGTTGTACTCAGCTCTTGTCAGTAGGTTCAGCTTAATCCTATCTTGTATCTGCAAACAGCGGGTCTTGAAACTTGTAACATAGTACACGATCCTTCAGCGCGGCTAATTCTGATCCCAGCTTACGGGTCAGAATCTCTTTTGGTTGGCCTGCCGTTGATTCTGGCCATCTACAGGTTGGCTCAGTCAACTGGAATGAATAACTTAGAAAGGTCCCCTGGCCCTAGACTTGCAAGATGTTAAAGTCAGTGGCGGACGTCCTTCCGCCTCCGCTCCCGAGTTCCGCGAGCGGAATGCCCTTCATCCGCCGCGCCTCTAGGCTGTTCATCCGCGTCAGATCCAAACTAATTTTTGGATACCGAATCCTCCTCCTCCGCACGACAATCAAAACGGCGCCCCCAAGCACCGCGACCGCAACGCATACCCCCACGGCAAGGGCGACCTTCGTGCTGAAGGACAGAGACGCGCTGGTCGCCGTCGAAGACCCCTGGGAAGATGCGCCAGCGGTTAGTAGCGCCGCGGTGCGGTTAAGTGTTGACGGGACGCTTCCGCCCGGGGCGCCGGCAAAAGGCGACGGAGCGGGGGCGGGGGAAAAGGCGGCGGCGGGTCCTTGGTTGGGAGCGGCGGCCGGTTGGTCGCCTACCGGGGCCGGGGAGAGTGGGGCGGAGGGGGCGGGGGAAGGGCTGCCGGCTGCGGATTGGCCCGCTGCGGGGGACGATGAAGGGCCCGAAACAGGAGCTGGAAAAGAAGAGCAAGAACGGTCGGTTAGCTAAGCTTAAAGCGTCGTCCTTTCCTCGTTGTGACGAGGTCTCGAGTTTGCCATATGTCCTGTTATAATTTGCCATAAGCTCATGTCAGCGTTCCGCGGACGACAATTTTAGATCAAAGTAACCGCATGATGCAAAGGTTGCTGGTCCCAATGATATCGTCTCTACTCAGCGCTGGAGGTACAATGAAAAATCATGAAGGCTGAAAAGTTCAACGAAAGGACGCAAAAAACAACTTTTGTGTACCATGTGTAAGTTTTGATACCACCATCTCACTCTGATGTTCAGTGGTGGCTTTTCCATACTCACTGGCAATCATGCTTCCGCCCCCAAGTAGCAAGAATTGCTAGAGCCGTAACAGATCCGACTGCAAGCGGAGATACCATGAAACAGTTTTCGCACTCACCGAGTACCGAGACTGCAGCTGCGGAGGGGACCGGAGACTCCGTTTGCTGAGTAACGATTGAAGGAGCGCCATAACCAGCGGGGTGAATTGGCTCCAGAAAGTCGACCCAGGCAAAGTAGAAGTCTGCACGCCAACAAGAGCAACAGGGTCATAATGGTCGTCAAAGTTTGATGAGTGGAGCACATTCAAAAGTGCATCGTTCAACGACACGCGAGATGCTATTGTTGAGCTTATTTCGTGAGGGCGATTAAAATAATCCAAGAAGGTAAAATCTGATTCCGAGGCGGCTACAGACTGCACGTAAGACTCTGCAATGGGATTTAAATCTGAACGGTATACAGGACGACTGGGCACTTTGACGCTAAGGTGAACCCCCGCCCTGAACTCACAAAAATCCTCCTGAAGTCATAAAGACGTCAACCGCCTGTAGCGCCAGCTAACTTCGTTAAGCATGAAGAAGGGACCTCTTCATGGGCAGATTGACGACTGGGGTTCTGACGCTTGAGTGAAGGCCGGCCTGAAAACATAAAGGCCTTCTTCGAGTCAAAACGTCGTCGAATGCCTATAGCGCAAGGTAACTTCATCAAGCATGAAAGAAGGGGCCCCGTCATCATCCAGAATCAGGCATCCCACTGCCGGACACCTTTCTTCGCACCTGTATCTGTGAGGTTGTACGTCAGAGACCCGTCACCCGTGACGGCGACCGTTCTGGCTTGCACGAGCATGCTGCCGTCGCCCTGAAAGGCGTAGGACAGGACGGCGTCGCTCGTGTTGCCGTCCGGCCCCAGACCCACTGTTTGAAGGAGAAGCACGCCGTCCCTGGACACAAGAGCAAATGGGCCTGGTCAGGAACTAGTTAAGCAAACTCTATTTCGTAGACCAGAATGTCCGATAGCAGCAAGGGATGGGAAGACCTAGTTCTTTGAGGTCAGAATTTTCGAGGTTGATCTTTTGAGGTAAACTTCAGTCGCCTGCCCAGAGTTCGCTACACAATGGAGAAAGCTCAAGAAATTGGCCGAGCAAAGGGGAGTAACTAGGGTGGCGACTTACGAGCACGAGACGTTCCGGTTCCGCGGCTTCATCAGGCGGACTTGGTACTGGCCGACGTCCACTTTGGACACGACGGAGGCGCCCTGTCCGAATACGGTCGTGCCGGACACGCCGTCCACGTGGCCGCCGATCAGGCTGCAGGGAAGGGGATTGGAATCAGTACACCGGAATGAGCTGCTCGGCCACAAATTGTCATGGATTGATGAAACTCCATCCGGATCGTCAGGAGTTCTTATGTTGAATGTGCCTGCTTTTAGGTACCTGAATGCGCTTTTGGGCGTGATTGGCTTTTGAACCGCGTGCTGGCCCTGTTGGGGATTACGTTCCGTTCTGTAGGGCAATTCGAAGGCTTCTACTGGAAACGCGCCTGGTCCCCGGCGTCCTTCAAAGTAGTATGGACCTCATAAATTCGCAACGTATACCGTTCCTTTTGCAGACCGGCATTCAGCTGAGTTCATATGGGACGAACCGAAGAGTCTGGTTTCGCCAAGCAAGACCTCTCTCGAGGTATGAGACGTTCCCACCAATATTTGAACGCCACGAAGCCATCGCTTTGAGCGATTGACAGAAACGGCCTAGAAAAGATCGTTTGCTACGCTCACTTTTCTGTGTACCCGAAGGGCAGGTACAAGAACGAGAACGCGCTCTGTGCGGCCGGGGCGAAACCGCCGGTCGCCAAGCTGACGTCACTGCGGATCTGAACGGTCCAGCTGACGCCCTGAGGGGCCACGGACACAACACTGGTTGACCCGTTTGTCTGAGCGGTGTCCACCGTTCTGCAAAAGCACGTCAACGTATGATGAGTGGCGTTGAATGAAATTGAATTTCGCAGGCGAACTGTTTGACTATGACAGACGTTTGGTTAGAAGACTGGGGCGACGCGTGAATTTCTCAGACTCTGAAACGTCTTTGACCATGAAAGGTCGTCGTTCAACTCTTCAAGTGACGCGCCATCAGTTGAGAAAGGCAGACTCTGAGCTTTGAACTTGATCATACTTGATAAAAATTGGTTTAACGCACGTATACAGAGTAATTCTTTGTATGCTGCACGAAATTGTGTTCGACAAGCGTCTCCACAGAAAAAGCAGAAACGACTGCACGCGGTCCGCTAAACCTGCTTGTTTGCAATCTTGCAGAGAAACACAGCCAGATCCAAAGCTCAGACTTAGTAGCTGGGCTCACGAGACAGCAAAGAGCAGCCCGCCGCTGTTAGCACGCACTCCCGGGAGCGTCAGATGTCCGCCCGTCGGTGTGGAAGTAAAGATCTGACCGGCTTCAGCGGGCAAGTTGGCGGAATAAGCGGTTGGAGAAACATAAGCGGCGGGCGCGCTGACGTTGGCGGGGGCGGCAAGGGAAGCCGCCATCCAACCTGCGATGGAAAAATTTGTTTAGGTTTTTGGTAATTTCGTCGGCTTATGAGTGCTTCTGCAACCTTTCTTTGAAGCGGCTGTCGGCAGTCTGCTGAACCGCAAAAAGCGCGCAATGTTGTTAGTGTTGTCTCGCGTCGTTTCAGGACACGTGCTCTCGGTCAAACTTCTGTCCGACCGTTCGTCTTTCTTACATCAATGTTGGAAAGATCGGAAAGCGAGGACATGCATTAGGTTGCTTCAACCGGTGCCGTAGCGCAGACAGAAAAAGGGCCCTGGTCGTCCTTGTCGTTGGCTCACGTTTTGTCTCAACGACGTGATTAAGCTTTCTGCTCAACCTTGTTGCTCTTTCTGCTCAACCTTGTTGCTCTTGCAGACGTTCACGGGGCATTATTCTACTCTTTCGGTTTGCAACGGAACTGTTTGTCTTGATTGTTACCTTCCGAGAAGGGAAACCACACTGCCCCGACGTCCGCATCGCACGTCCCCCCGCTCTGGCCTGCCTTGCTGCTGACGATGTCCGTTCCCCCTGGTGTGAATTGGCCCGTCCTCATGTCATAGCCGGCTGAGGAGCTGTTCACACCAGCGGCGACCACGGGGTAAAACGGCGCCTCGTCAGAAGTCCAGTTCATGCCGTTGGCCGTGACAGTGGCTAACAAGACGCCGAAGTCCGTGCTGGGGCTCCAGCCCTGGAGAAAAGAAAAAAATGAGTTTTAAGGCGGGAAAACGGGGGGAAAAGAGGCTCCCTAAGCCTCCTATACCAAGCATATATTCTGAAAAATATATGTGGCAGAGACATAACTCTGGTATGAGAAGAGTAAGAGGATTGGACAATTCGCAGGTCTTCACCTGACTCCGCTACTCGAAGCCGTGACTGTCATACGAAGGCGTCAGGGCCTGGAAGCAGGGCTGCCTTTGACGTATGTCACCCCTCTTCATTTTGATGGCAAGTATTTCAAGGACACCGTCTTCTTTGTAAGAAGACGATTCATTTTCGCTGACATTTCTTCTTTTGGCTTCGTACTACGACGAGTGTTCAAGGTGCTAAGTGACACGCTTCATATACATAATCCAAGCTGTATATTTCAGCAGCAATCAGGTCAGCATTCGAGCTCACCGTTTGGCCTGGAACTGCAATCGAGTTGTTGCTGACACCGGGGCCAGTCTCGGTCAGCGCCAAGCTCGAGTTACTGCAAGGGCACGTGCTCTTTTGTCAGCCTCACCAAGCCGAGCGACATAAGGAAAATCTGCAAGAGCTGCCCGTGCATGGTGAAGCATGTTCCAGAAGTTTCTGGCACAGCTAGTTTCAACCGCCAGCTATGAGGGGTCTATTTCCGAGTTGCTCTTCCACCTAATTAAGCAGACAGCCTCAGTATAATATTAGTTCACTGGTTTGCAGAGTCAGCTGCTAACTGGTTCCAAGCGTTTGCTCGCTCTGTCGCTTGTCATCCTGTCTGAATACCTTTCCCATCCAAGGACAGTCAGGCGCTGCATCCATTATTTCGCACAAGCTGCGCCCCCTCACCTGCTTGCACTCAGCCTTGCTGCAATTGCCCCTTGCTGGAAGCTGGCTGCAGTCCATGGCACAGGGCCCTGGCCACAGATGCTCAGACTGCGACTGCTGGTGTCAGTGCCATTGCCTGAGCTGACCCCACTGGCAGTCATGGAGAATTGGACACCAGACAAAGTGTCCGGAAAGGGCCCAGGGAGGACCTCTGGCCCAAATCCGGCTGGGACTGTGGGGGTGGTGGCAGCTCCTGTTGCAGGGATGATTCTTAATCAGCTGCTGTTAGATCGTTGGGGGATCATCTGTAGCACCTATACAGGTCCTCAGTAAGCATGCTGTAGTCCGATGTTAATGATGACATGCAAACAGAAATCGCTCCTAAATGAGAAAGAGCGTCGTAATGGACTCGATTGCAAAAGGTTCTCAATCAAGCCAATGATGGACAAAGGGAGAGGTCAGTTGTTGAGGGTAGGGAATCACGGAAGGACCAAATTTTGTCGTCCAACTTTCGAAACTATTCTAAGTGACTGCCATAAGTCTCCTTTCCAGCTTTTACTGACAATTGATGAACTCAGCTTGTACCGGTAGGGTCAAATTAGCTTGAACAGCAACAAATCAAAAACACAAGACTTCCTCACCTGCTACAACCACCAAAGCTGCCAGCTGCAAGAGTCCCAGCAGACAGCTCGTTCGTCTCTGAAAACGCAAATTCTGCTGGCAACGCCATTGGCAGATACTCATTCGAGACTCCATCGCCACGTCCACTTTACAAGCAGGGATGTTTGGTAGACGCAGTTTAGTGGAACACGTTCTACAAACGCGTTAATATTGACAGCTCACTGAGAATCTGCACCAGTCATGAGGTTTGTTGAACATTTCCTCCGCATTCAGGAAACGTTGGGAAGATCCAACGGCAAGATGGCAATCTGGTGCCTTCAATGCCACGTACTCAATTTTGATAAGTCTCATACAAAGGGTGGTGCTTCCATACACAAATTAAGGCTAAGCCGAAGGTCACCAGGACGGAGGTGGAAAGTCTTAGTCTCCTTCGGCAAAACGACAAACGATGGAAAGCTGGCCAGCTTTGGCAACTAAATACCATTAGTGATCAACCTCCCTGGTGGGCCTCAGCTCAGCTCAATGCAGGGGAACTTCTTGCAGACTTCAACCGAGTCTAATGTGACCTTGGGGTACAGTATATTCTATGCGGGTCGTGCTGCTCAAGGGACCTGCAATACAACAAAAGGAGATTGGCATGTTGAGCAGCTTCTAACATCAAGTTAAACAGTACTGGCGCCATCAAACACATTGGAGGTTTTCACAGGAAACTGCAAGCGGTTACGACTCAGCTCAGTTACCCCGCAATTTATCGACGGCATTCGGCCATCACTCTATGATGTCAGCTGCCTCACGACCGTCCGATGCCTTACAGGACTTCGCTGAGAGCTGGCCGGCTTGACAATTGGGCACTCTGGTATTATTAAACTCCCATTTCCAGGCACATTATAGGCACTTTACTCGAGATAAGTAGGTAGGCGCATGGGAGACGGGAGACAAGGTGGGCCCCGGTGGGGTTGGTTGGATGGTTAGGGTATACAACGCGTAGAAGTTATGGTTAGGGCTCTTGGTTAAGGCACCTGTATCAAGGATTCTAGCTGGTGAACGCAACAGAGCGTGCCAAAATCCGCGCTTGTCAACCAAGTCACGTAACTACATGACAGATGGACGGCTGCAATTCAACGTCGCATGAGAAACTCTGGCAACTCTTGCTTTCACTAAGGGGTGCTTTCACTAAGACAGGCACCCGGGGGATGGGTGGGGTTGGTTTTGGGAGTTAGGGTGGGTACGGGTGAGGAGCGGGTCATTATTTAGGTTAGGGTTTTTACCTAGTTGAGGTGCCCGGGGCTCCTGTATCTTTGTGAAAGCACCCCTTAGTGGAAGCAAGAGTTGCCAGTATGTATGAGAAGCTTCCAGTCGTGCGATGAGAACACCGTACATTCAATCGACGGCAAAGGAAGTAGCACTCGAGTCGAGGCTGGGCTGTTTTTGTGCCACGTGTAGGCAACATTTGTCATATAGCGCCAAGTGGCGGTACTGCAAGCTGTCTGCGTCAAAAGTGCTTCTTCACTGAACAGGTGCACACGCACACTGCACACCGCGGCCTAGGGAGCCTGGTCACCGTTGCCATTACAGTGCCAGCCTGCGCCTGCCTAGGCGGATCTTCTGCAAAGCGTATCCGATTCGTTTCGATTCATGCAGATCTGCTGATTGACAGATTTCAAGTTGATATTTGCAACTTGAACTATTATGGCGAAGTGGAAGACTGAACCTGCTGGCGGAAGGAAGGCGCAAATGGCAGCAGGAAAACATCTCTCTCATGCAGGGCAGGAGAGGGGCGCTGTGCAGCTGTCTTTGGAAGTTGGCACGTCAAGATAGCATAAAGACACATATAGCATTCTGCTTGCGTTGGTCCCACATACGCTTAGCCGGCGTATCTTATGTTCATTTGTGGAGAAGGTGGATCAAAGATTTGAAAACAGCTGAGCTCGGTTAACCTGGTTGCGCGCTGACGCGCATCCCACTTTTGCTGATATATAGGATTCTTCCATATTTGAGCATCTACTGCAAAAGGTTTGCCAATCTTTGTAGCTGAGCTATATTGTAAAGCTACCGCCAGCACTTCTCACCATTGGCCTTGGTACTGAGCTATTACAAATTGGTGGCCATCTCGTACGGGAAGTGCTCTGCAAACAAGTTGACCACCATAGCATTTGTAGCTAGAGGATTCCATAAGTAATTCTGAAAGCTTCGCTCACTTGAATCTGTTTGACATCAGCATATGAGGCGGCAGAACCTGCGATGGTGATATGCGTCAGATTGCGGGAGTCTTGAGGCAGGTGAGGATGATTGCATCTGTTTGCGATTGAGATTTGGTAGTTGCTGCAGATTCCAGTCACTGTTAGTTGCACTACTGAATGCTCTGATTCCGCAAAAGGCGCCCCGCTTTTGCCGCCAGCCAATCAGTGAAGTGCAAGCCGTCCTGATCGTCCACGAATTTCATCAGGCAGATCAGTTCTGATCAGTTGTCCTTTGAGAGAATCCAGGACGCATGAGAATAAGATTGAGACTGAGAACACCCGCATTCGTTGTTTTGTCGCTCCCATAGGTTCCTGTGTTTTTCACTATTGTTGCATAACTTTGGCAGCTGACTTTGACATGATGGAGATGCTCGCATCTGATTGTGGCGAATCATATCTAAGCTGGTGGCATTCTGTGTGGATGGTGCTATTGAAGCAGACAATGTTGCTAATCATTTCCAGTTGCCGGTGCAGCATCAGTGGAAACCACGCTACCTCTATTGTGGAAACTAATTTGTAATGTGGTGGCTCCTTGGCAAGGAACTCTCTCAGCCCCTGATTTCCGATTGCTTCTGTGTAGCCCCAAAAGGTATCGCCAATGGGGATGGCAGCAACCCTTGGGCCCTCAGAACTGGCTGGCGATTTTCGCAAAATCCAAGCCAATCGTGCACACGCACCTGCCTTGCTAAAGGAGCATTGACGGTGCGCTGTGACAAGTCCTCTTTGGCTGTCAGCCTTCCAAACTGCGGTACTCTTCCAAACTCAGGTACTCAGCTACAAGGATGATGACTCTGCAGGAGATGCGCGGCCAGCAGCCCCAGCTTGCTGGGCCTAATGACTTCTCAGGGCAATTCAGGGTGCCCCCCCAATTTGGGGGTGACATTCTGGAGAATTTGGGGCAGGGGGTCTACTGCCTGGATGTGCAGGGGCGCCTCCTCTATGTGTAAGTTTTGCAAAGATTGTTGACGTCGCTTGAAGTCAGGACGTCGCTTGAAGTCAGGCTTTGAAAGTGGAACTTTGTATGCACTCATTCGTGTCTGTCCATGAGTTCCCAGGTTTGTTTGCAGAGCGCAGTACTTGGCTTGAATCCTGAGCCTGGGTTGCTTGAAGACTGTCGGCACACATCTCCGTTGGTGTGCTAATGGATCTATGAGTGTCATACATCCTTAGTGCTTGTCAAAGTTGCGTAAACTTGTAGGAATCTGTTTTTCACATTTGGTTGGAGTTAGCCAGTGGTAGCTTGGTCTTTTACGGGTGTCACAGTACCCGTGAAAAAGCATAAAGGGCTCATATGGATCAATAATATATTCATTGGCAGAGCTGGCGACTCTTTGCAAGCTGGTGGCATTGAGGGAAACAGGCAGAGATTACAGGCTCCTTAAGAGCATGCCTGATTCTGCATTTGTTTGCCCGAAATATATATGTGGGCCTGTAACTGTTGGTTTTGCAGCAATAGGGAGTTTGAGCGCATGTTAGGTTGGAAGCGCCAGGAGGTCTTGGGCATTGATGGCACCAAGACCATGGCGGCGCCTGGCTATAAACACATTGGGTACAAAGTGGTTGAGCGCCTAGCGAAGGTGAGGGAGTGGCTCGCATAACTCAAAGAGTTCCTTGTTCTTGCGCAGCAACGGGTACTGCGAGAGGTTATTTGGATGGTCCCGTCAGCATATTCTGGGACAGGACGCCGTCACAGTTATGGCGGCACCCGGCTTTAAAAACATTGGAGCGAAAGTGGTAGAACGGTTGGCCAGGGTAAGTCAGACGCCTAGGGGTAAGTACAGGGACCTTAGCAGCAGAAGACTCTGTTCAACATACTCGGAAGTAGCGCTTCGTGGCTTTGATAATTTTACAACAATTCTCACTTCCACTTGCTTGCTTACCTTGTCTCTAGCTTCACTCAACGGCTCTTCCCATATCAGCAGTTGGTTCCGTTGGTTCCCTGAGGCGCCCTACTTTCCTTTCCTGGTGTAGAAAGAAGCATGGACGGGCCAGTTTCCTGTCGTTCGTGTCGATGGCGAAGTATTGTGGACGCTTATTACGGCGACCCCGATATTGGACGAGCGCGGGGACATGGTCGCCACGTGCTGCACCATTGTGGAGCTCAAGCGCTTCCTTCCAAAAGCTGGTGAGGTCGCTTTTTCCATGATTGGCGCTTTACCTGTCAGGCATTGTTGCAGGTCATCCTATTGCATTGAGGAGATTTCGTCAATGTTTTCCTTTCTTAGTGCTTGTGGATGGACGATGTATGGGGGATTGTCGTTGTGCTTCTTTCGTAAGGAGTCGCAACCTGGGATGGGCCCTGCTCTTGAGCACATTTCTGGAGAGTCATCCAGAAGATGGCAAGTTTCGGTCCTTGGTTGTCAAGTCAGTTCATCGCTCCAAGGCATCTAAGTTATCAACGTCAGTGTGCAGCCGTTCTGACTACGAATCCACCCCCTTGAACCCCCTTTTAGAAAGTTGCAGAGTGCTTAACTTCACCTTTTACCCACTGCCAGTGCCCAATCCATCTGGTCAACTGACCAATGAATGCCGCTTGTTGCAGGCGAGAATGCTCTGGCCATCTCAGGCTTCTGCTCGACCCCCACGTTTCTTCCGGGAGCTTCCGGTGGCTTTCCCCGGGTGCATGCCTTGCCTAGCCCCAGAGAACATTTTGTGGCCGCACCTATTGTGGAGGAACCCCAAGAGGAAGCAGGTGGGTGCTGAGAGGCTTCGTTTACCTCGTCAAAGGAGTAGAAGGGTTTTGTCATGGTACCAAGGGAAACGGGGTGTCTATCGATGCAAAAGGGGGTGTCTATCTGTTTTCCGTTGGAAGCACAGGCGGGTGTTTTGGAGCAGCGACATTCAATGTTTGGCGAAAGGAGTTTTGGCAAGCCTTTTCCGACCAAAGGGTTCGGGGATGGAGAAGTAGAGCAGGGGCAGAAAGGGGAGGGTTTGCAAAACAATGCCGCCCAAAGCGAACCATAACGAAGTTGATCCGAGGAACGGCTTGATTCCAACTCGAGTCCAATGACCTTCTTGCATCTTTGTCGACATTTGCTGCTGCAGAGCGTGCAACGTAGATTACTGCAGCATTCGAGCTTTGTTGACCCAAGGTTAGCCGGAGAAGTGTTCTCAACGCGTTTCACGGTTTCCTGCAGCGACAGGCATTTGGGGTTTTGTAAAAGGTGTGTGGGGCGCTCTGCGGCCTAACGCAGCATCAGCGAGCGAAGCCGAAGACGATCCTGACTTCAAAAGAGAGATTGAGTCGGTCTCAAGGAAGACCGGGAACGCCGGCCCCCCAAGCCCTAGAGGTCCGAAGCTGCGCCGGGATCCGAGCGTTGAGAGCGAGGGGCCCCCTTCTTCGACCAGGGGCGAGCGATCTGCTTGGGCAGAGAGGGTGGATTTTAGCCACGTGAAAGAGCAGTACCGGCATATGCGAACGACGATGGAAGGGCGCCAGGTGTCGCGCAGTGGGAGCTTGCGCCAAGGGCTGGAACGGCGTATCTCCGGGGAGGGGTTCGTGGAGGGGTCTGCCGCGGGAACTAGAGAGGGGGAAGTAAGAGAGGATCCTGCGGGCAGGGCGCGGGACGTGGCCGCGGGTGCGGGAAGGGAAGTGGCGGCTAGAGAAGGGTTTGCAGGGGGCTATCGGGAGGGATTTCGGGAGGGTTTTAGGGAGAGCTTTAGGGGGGGGGGGACGGGACGGGGTTCAGGGGACAGCTGGTCGAAGCCCGACGTCTCCGTTGCCCCGCAGGGGATGCCCCGGCATCGGCCTTCCCGGCAGGGGAGCGGATTTTCCAGCCAGGAGTCGTCGCTCGACACAGAGAGCACGGGGACTGGGACGGCGCTGGGAATAGGCGGCCAGCGGAGAACGAGCAGCGAGATCGAGCGGGAGGCTGGGCTGGCGGCGTTTAAAGGTTTTGAGAACGACCTCGTATGGCCGCAAGCACCCCGGCTTTCTGGGGAGTTTGCCCGGGACTTGGCACCGGACAGCGCGGCCGGGTCTGGGCACAGGATTGCACGCACGGAGAGTGTCGAGAGCATCGGGGAACCGGGGGGGTGGCACCCGTCGCTGTACATGAAGTGGGATCAGGCAAAGAAGCCCGGGGGTCACTTGAGCCGGCAGGCGAGTTCGACCTTTGGGAGTGAGACGGAGGACGAGTTTCATTCTTTGGACGAGGAAGATGCCACGTGGCGGCTCGAGGTGGACGCAGTGCCCGAGGAAGACGCAGGGGACGTCAGCGGTTTTGCGGACGCGCTCGAGCGGGATGCGGGCGAGAATGACAAGGGCGCGTTTGGGAGCGCGATCCTGGACCACGTGCCGGGGGAGGGGGGGTACGACGAAGTGCGAGCGTTGCTGCGCAAGTCGAGCTCCGAGAAGTCCTCGGAGTCGGATACGGCTGGGAAGGAAGGAGGGGCGGCAGAAAAAGGTGGCGAGTCGAAGGAGAATCTCTCAAAGAAGAAGGATGGAGGTGAAGGGAAGGGGGGAGAGGAAGGAGAGCAGCAATTGGGGCCAGCGGAACCGTTAAGAGGTGCAGAGTCCGCAGCAGAAGGTAACGACGATTCCGAAAGAAGTGATGGCGGTGCGGGCACGGGGGGGCCGGGACAAGAACAGGTGGTACGAATCACCGGCGGTTCTAGAGGGAATCTGGCAGGGTTCCTTACTCAAGGTGACAAGCTTCCGTCAAGCACCTCTGAAGCAGTCGAGCCGCCAAGCTTCCTCACCAGCTTTGTGCAGGACCCACCCTCTGATGCGTCGACCGCATCCACTGTGCCGCTTGCTGACGTCACGAGTTCGGTAGCTCGACACGTGGCAAGTGACCGGACGCCCGCCATTCCGACCATCTCGGAAATGCATCGGCTTAGTGGCGACGATTTCACAAACGTCGAGTCTGTCAGTCGCCCGGATACTCAAAGCCCGGGTGCCTCGTCCCCCCTCGCTGAAGGCTTCGGGAGTTGGGACCTGGAGTCCGTCCAACCGACCGTTAATGCAGTAGCGGAGGATACCCCCGAATCCGCAAACCGGGGGGGAGAAGGGAGCGGGTCAGCTAGTGCCGCTGGGCCCTCTTTAGAAAGAAGCCCTGATAGCATCTTGAGAGAAATGGGAAAAGAGACAGAGTCCGAAGCTGTTCGGAAACCGATTGCTGCCTCAGTGGCGGGGGTGAGTGGGTCGTTAGATCGCTCCACGTTGCCGGACGAGGTGCGAAATAAACAAGAGGACGGCGCTTCTCGGGAGAAATTACCCGGTCAAGGAGTTCATGAACCGAGTAGGCAAACCGAGGCTCTCCCACCAGTTGCTGTCAGCACCGGAGCACCGTCCGAAGCGTCAGCAAAAGCTGCCGCGTCCGCAAAAGGGTCCGGAGCCGAGTCGAGCAGCAGCGCTCAGCAGCCCAAGAAACGGGGGGCTCAATCGAAGCCCCCTCCTCTGGATTTGAGTTCCATGCAGGCGGCCGCCAAGACCGATGAGCCGCTTCTGAACGCGGAGCAAATCAGCACGCAGGGGAAGCAGCATTTGGAACCCGGCCCTTCGGAGAGCACGATAAGTCCCGGAAGAATGAAAAACTCCGGCCCGAGCAATATGTCGGGGGCGCGAGAGGACAGTTTGCGGCCCGCGGGGCATTTTAAAGCGGGCGGGGCAGCGTCGCCAGCTGCGGAAAGTCCGGGTAGACCGGAAACGCCCAAGGAGGCTAGCAGCCCCCGGGGGAACAGCGAGGTGCTCGGGACGCTGGACTGGAACATTCCCTGGGATGAGGTCACGGTGGTAAGCATCACTGTTGTGTTATGATTAGTGCCAATCCTCTGCGGGTGGTTGTTCTTGTGTGGAGTGAAAGCAGTGCCCGTTTGGGGCAGTGTAGCACATCTCTCCAGGCACTTTTCTCCGGGGGTGTCGGTCACTTTTGTTTGGGGGTGTCCGTCAAATCTGAGGGGCTCGGAATCTTCCGCAGCTGTCAAAAATGACATGTCTGGTAAGTCTGGTGCCTAGTGTTTCTGTTTCATCTTGGCGCACTGCCACGGAATCTTTCCGTGGAAGTTCGTGCCGGTCTAGCATTAGCCTCCTCATTCTTTCGTAAGTTCTCAGGCTGGTGATGTGTAATCTTCAGGGTCTGCGCGTCTGTCACAGGATCTGTCGCTCACAGATTTCCGCGTTTGCAGGGGAAAGAGATTGGGCGCGGTGTAACTGGAGCTGTGTACCATGGCATGTGGCAAGGCAGTGACGTCGCTGTCAAAGTATTCACGGCAGAGGACGTAAACCCAGCGCTCATTCAAGAGTTCAGGTAAGAAACCCCGCCTCCGAATCTGCTGAGATGCCCTTCGAATGCTATATCTCATCTGTGAACTCAAATTGTAGATAGGAAGATTTTGCATTCGGAGGTTGGTCTTGAAGAGGTCGTTTACGGCCCCTACTGAACGTCGTCCCCTATCAGAGTCTTGCTCGTCAAAGCTTGTGATGCCAGGATCGTATACATATTCTCTCCATCAGTTGTTCGAGCTCAAAGGTAAGTGACAAGAGACGTTCAAGCTAGCTCTACCTCCCGCACTTCCTAGTCCTCGTCTTTCAAATGGATGCGCCCCAACTTGCTCTGCCTGAGCGGCATTCCTCGTTACCTGTGAGGGTGAGCGCTGAGCAGTTTCTTGCGATGCCCTTTGTTCGCCCATCCCTTCTCTGAGCAAAAATTGGAAAAGTCGACAAAGTGCCCATTCTTGGCCAAGTGCCTGTGCTCGTACAGAGGAGCAAGGCATCTTATTGCGAAGCTGGCATAATTTACAGATGGATCAAAGTTCAGGCCTCTGTGTTCAATTCGCCCGTTCTTCAAGTACCCGCGTGCCGACTTGGAGCAGGAACCTACGGTGCTGGCTGGTTAAGGGCTGGGTTCACTCAGATCTTCTGTAACCAAAATGCCGGGCTTCAAGTTCCTCATGGCACCTGTGTTCCGGAACAAGAGTGCGAATGTTGACTTAGTTATCCTTTGCCGCAGGAAGGAGGTAGGGATCATGCTGCGTGCGCGGCACCCAAACGTGGTTCTGTTCATGGGGGCGGTCACAACCCCGCCCAACTTCGCCATCATCACGGAGGTCCTCCCGCGGGGCAGCCTCTTCCGCCTGCTGCACACCAACACGCCCCAGGTGAGAGCAACTAGAGCGGACCAACAACCTATGTACGATTGCGAAGGTCTACGTTTCAATGAGTCAGCGGGTTTGGCCCTCTCTGGAAGTGGGTTTTGCAAAGCTGCGCAGAGACAGGCGTTTGTGTCACAGGAGCGGCTGGCAAGGCCAGTGTTTGGCAGGACTTTCTGCATAGGGAAAGGCTTGAGGAGTATGTCTGACTTTCGAAAGGTGCCAGGAAGATCGTTGAGATCATTGTTTGGGCCCAAGGGTGCAGCACTTCCGGCGGCTAGGTTAGGATGGTGACGCGCAGTCACAATGCAGGGAGGTCTTGAATGACGGTTATCGCTAAGGTATCATCTCCTCTTCCTTTTGTGCAGACGAAGCGCGAGCCTGTTTCGGAGAGCCGTCGGATGCGCATGGCGCTGGACGTGGCTAAGGGCATGAACTACCTGCACTCGTGCAGCCCGCCCATCGTGCACAGGTGAGCGCGCTCGCCCAACTGCAGAATGAAAGCCGGATTCATTCCAGTTTCATCTCAAAAAGGCCTGAGGAGATCCAGTCGTTTGAAAAGTTTAAACCTTCCGTTTCCTGAAATCCGTATGAAGCTCTGGAATAACAAGGTGCGGAGCTCACGCGCTTGGTATTTTAAAAATCTTCCGAATATGGATTTACGCATGCTCGAAAGCTCGTATCATTAACGAAAGCATAATGCCGAGATTGTCAACTCCTCGCCTCCTGCTTTCGATTTTGAAAGTCTCCGGAACCTTGCGACCATGACATTACGTCAGTCTGATAGGTTGGATTTCCGCTTCCCGGGGGACCTGAAGAGCCACAACGTCTGAATGATCCATGAAAAAGCTCCCAAATCTTGGAACTTCGCAAGCCCGAAACATCAAGACCGTAAGTTTTTCAACCCCGAAAGAACTACAGAGGTTTCTTGCTGCTCGCAGGGACCTGAAGAGCCCCAACATTCTGGTAGACCGCGACTGGACGGCCAAGGTGGGCGACTTTGGCATGTCGCGCCTCAAGCACGCGACCTACATTTCCTCCATGACTGGGGCGGGCACACCCGAGTGGATGGCGCCGGGTGAGGCCACTCGGCTGGCACCTTTACTGAGATTTGAGCTGGTTGCGACTATAGTGTGACACTCTCTGGCATGCTTTGGACATCCTCAAAAGCTTCTGGGCACGCCCAACTAGTTGCAGAAAAATGCGGGGCCAAGCATAGCTGACAGGGTTGGCGCCAGGTCGGCTCGCGCGGCCAGCGCTAGCATTCCTGCATTGAAAGCAAGCATCTACTCTTCGGAGACGTAAAGGTGGTGTTGATCTGGGACGTCCTAGTTCCTCCCAAGACGTTTCAAAACGCTCTATGCATGTCAGGAACATTATCGACAGTTCGTGCCAATGAGACCCTGCCCATGTGCTCACGTTGCTTCCGTTCTTCCACTCATTAGCTCTTCTGGGCTTGCGGTCATCTACAAAACTTTGCTCAATGGGTTCTTTTGTGACTGCGCAGAGGTGCTGCGTTCGGAGCCGTCCGACGAGAAGTGCGACGTGTACTCGTTCGGTGTGATCCTGTGGGAGCTGACCACCATGCAACGGCCCTGGGGCGGGATGAAGACAGGCCAGGTCTGTACACGAAGCACGCCCTCGTTCCTGCTGCGCTTTTGGGCGTTTGTTGTGAATTCTGGTCAGTGCGGTCTTCGAGCAATCCCAAGGCTGACAGTTGTCTATCTTGCGCTTCTCGAAGCAGCACTCAGATCTCCCAAAACCGATGAAACGATAGCCGCTCGAACTATCGTCTTGGCTCGAAACTGCTGGATTTTGACAGCAGTTACTCCTTTTTGTGGTCTTCCGAGCGTAGCAAAAGCCCTGGTGGTTAAATTTGGGCCCAGGAAACGGACATCTCTATCCGGATCTGCTACGTTGGTCAGAACTATGCCGCACCATCTGATCTGCTGTGCATATTCGCGGCAGATCATCGGGGTTGATGCGTTCGCTAAAAGTGTGCTACACTCTCTCATCTGCTCTGCTTTCCTACGGCAGATCATCGGAGCAGTCGGCTTCCAGGATCAACGGCTGCCCATTCCTGACACAGTGGATCCCACCATTGCTTCGCTCATACGCAACTGTTGGAAACGGTGAGGCTCGGTGTTGAGTAACAGGTTGTCCAGTTGCGTTGCTTTGCGGTAATTGTGGTGCAGTGAACGTGCTCGGTTGTTTTTAAGAGGGCCATAAGTGGTATGTCGCAAATCAGCAATTCGTCCTCTTCCTGCTTAAGGAAAATACTGGTCGAACAGTTCGCTGAAAGGTTTCACATTTGTAACCTGAAAAAGACAGTGTCCGTTTTACGCGGCTGATCGTCAGTCGTTGCCTGGGCTGTGAACGTTCGCTTCTCAGCGATGGACAATCATGATTTACTCGTTTGTTCGAGCTTCCAAATTCTACTACAATGTGAATCGTAACATATCTCGCGCGCAGGGATCCTCGGGGACGGCCCGCGTTCCAGGATGTGGTTGTCGTTTTGAAAGACTTCGTCAAGGGGACGGGATTCAAAGTCGAGAGCGCAAGCTAGTGTGTTACTCCTTATTATCTTTAAGCTCGCGGCGCGCACTCAGTTGTTTTCGATAATCAGTCGAGTCCACACTGCATTCAAGTTTTTCGCATACAGAACTTTGCATTTTATAAGCATGTGAATCTAGGTATGGAGTTCCTTTCAAGCTGGCTAGGGACTAGTAGTTGGCGACCAATGCCTTATCACTTTACGTCAGCTGTCGTCCAAAAAAGATTTGGGGGTGGAACTCGGAGCAATGGATATAGAAAACGTAGGCTCTTGTCAATACAAGGTCACCGGTTGTAGCGAAGATTTAATCGAGATAAGTGCGCGGGCGCGATCCATCACACCTTCTGAGCTGATTAAAGAGCCTTTGCCATAAATTACGGTATTAGCACGCGCTACAGAGGTGATGGTCATTTACAAAGAGCTTCAACGGCAGAGCTTAACGTATGTAGGTTGAAGTCGACAGGTTAGTGCAAAGCCATTTGGAGAACAATACTCGACTTGAATCGCTTTATTAAACTTTTACGGACGGTGCACGTATTTATGCCTCATCGTTCGGCGTTGAATGGGTCTGAGTTTGTATGTACGCATACGTCCATCCATAAAGCATGCATGCAATTGTTGCCTGCATATCCAGTCAATGCAGCATCCTTTTCTTTACTAACGCCATTACCCTCATGGTCCGTCATCAAGCACGGTACCTCCGACTGCGATCCGGGACGGGTGGATTCGACTCTAGACAGCTTGCTACGGCTGCAAGGCATATCCGGGAAGTTGCAAGTAACCTACATTATTTGCAAACTCGAGTTGTTCTAGCGAGCATGTACCAGATCTGCATGCATGGATCGAATGTCATGTGCGAATGAGATGTTTCAATGCTGCTACGGGGCAGATTGTCCGTGCTAAGCCTGGGGACACTAGAAGTTTTCTATTTGTCTTTTTCCTTGCGGAAGCGGTTTCGCGGTTGTAGATCAGATCCGGGATCACGTCTTCGTTGTTTGGGGGCATTGGGACCACCGCCAGTTCGCCCGCCGCAGCTTCCGCAATGGCCCGGCGCGACTGTGCTCCAGCGCATTTCTCTTGAACAGCCCACACCGCATAACCGCAAGTCGTCCGCAGGTAAAACAATAAGGGGGGGCCGCGCACCGTTGCCTCAGCGGCCAGGTCGCACTCGACCCCCCAAGAGTGACACGAAGAGGCCCTGTAGAACAGACAGTCGCTCCCCACAGGCCGCCAGCTCTAAGCGGCGGGTATCAAGTCTGAGGGAGAGTGGGTAGGGGCAGCCCACTACGGTAAGACCAAGTCGGAGGTCCCGGGCCTGTCCCGGGATAGGAGAAACGGGACGGGGTTTGGAAAGGGATTGGACAAGGTTTGGAGGAGGTCTCAGGAAGCTCTGGTCGGCCTTTTGCGGATTCACTGAGAGGATTTCAGAACGTTGTTCGTGGGGTAAGCTTTGGGGAATCATTATGTGGGGGTCGGTTTGGAGGTTGTCTTCCTTGGGGGCTCCAGCAGATCAGACAAGCCAGATTCAGCAGATTCTAGGAGCGATCGCGAGAAGTCGGGATCCAGGGCACGTGCTTCCGAGTAGAGGCTAAGCCTTGGTTCGGATACTTCGTGCAAGCTCGCCTCCTATTGGATCGTCCGGAAAAACTGCCGGGCAAAGATCTTGTACACGTGTACCCATTTTAAATGTGCGAGCCAATCAGATTGCCGGCCGGATGCTTGTGAAACCCAGTCTTGAATGCCAGTCGCCTCCTAGAAGCTGGCAGATTCATATCAAAGAAGCCAGCCAGTCAGTGCCAGCTTCGTAATCAGTGGACTCGAGCCTACCTTCGACGTGCCCCGACGAAGATTGAACGATTCGAAATGCATCCTCATGATAAGCCGTTTGGCAGGTTTCCATTACTTGCTTCACGAATATATAGCATCTTACATGCTCTTTGCGAGTGCTCTGCATTGAGAAGTGAGCAGCTCAGCATTTATATAGATGATTGCTACAGTTCGTGACAAAGTCCCGAGCGTTCCCTGTCTTTCAGCACAATATTCATTCAGACCTTTTCGATTCCTTAGTATTGTTTTGTAGTATGGCCGGGCTTCGCCTGCCGGGCCTTCTTGGGTGTTAAGATTTCAAGGTTGCCTGTCTCACAATCGCCCCCTCTGATTCTCGGCGCTTTGTATAGAGCTTCAACCGTAGCCTTGAAGCGTACCGGTACCAATCATTCTGGCAGGAGAGGAAAACCTTAATTAGTTCACAAAAGGACTGGCCGTTTGCTTCTCTTACAGCTCGCCGGTTAAATATGCTTGTCTTGAAGAAGTTTTTCGGATGCTCTGTATATATAACGGCTCCATTTCGAATTCTATCCGACTAATCGGTGAATCGGTACTGCAACGGGAGTGCAACATCACGCACATCGACTCACACTAATGGCAATATCAGTACACGAACCTGATCGTGATGCAGACGATGCATGTATGGTCAAGATGGCTCCCAGCTTTTGGCTGATGTCAGCAAGCTAGTTCCTAGCTGCTTGCAGACATACTTTTCTAATTCCCCCGTCCTTTCGACGTTGCGACGTGTTAGCCCCAGCCTCGAGTATTTATTTTGGGGCCTGCAGGCCACCCATTTGTTCAAGGTCGATCTTCGTGTAGCCGCTGACGTACTCGAGCTTATCTTTCTTCCCCTCAATCATTCCCCCATTGATGCACTGATGCACACAGGTGATGGGTACCTTAATTGAGACAGGATTAAGTTTGGCACAACGGCTCCGTCATGTCTGGCCGGCCCCCGACCGTCTTCTCCTCAGTTGGAAAAATTGAAGAGGCAAGTTTGCTGGCGGGCTTTCGGCAGGCTGCGCCATCCCAAGATGTGGGCCAGTGGCGGCGTGTGACGCTTCCTTGCAGCCTAACTGCATATTACCTAATACCTCCATTTGGAATTCAGTACCGGAGTCCGGTCATGCAATCATGATGGTACAGGCCGGACAACAAGTACCGGTAACCTAGTCATCTAATACCTAACTTCATACAGTTATTGCATCACACCGAGCACTCTTGCCCCTCAAAGTCCCCGCTTTTGCTGACTTCCCGACCACTTATAAGCGACGGGCCGAAGGAAAAATCGATTGACCTACCGATGTAAAGGGCGTCAGATTTCAAAGCGCACTAGTGGCATCTGAGTCCAGAGGGAAAACCTCATCGGACGGACTACAATGCATCATCGAAATCTGCCTCAGCGACCACTTTGCCCATTTTCGCGGTATCCGGTCGCCCGACGCCGAGACGTGACGGGTCCCAAGACGCCCTCTTTAAAGTGTGTCGGCTCATCATGATGAATGTCAACATGACAATGTCCTCTCTGCCTACTACCTACCTTGTACTAGGACATTGTCCTTCCTACTTCAATCTCTAGGCTCTACTCTCTTTCAAAAACGTCTTTGACGGTCTCTCATTGACAGGAGACGCAGGCGAGCTGGATCCGCGAGGGCAGGGCCGGCTTGTGTTCCGCAGCTTCTCACGGGGTCCTTGATATTTACCCGCCTGCTTTGCAACGGCATGTTTCCGGGTTTTTGTTCTCATATTTTGCCAGGGCCAGCTTAGCTGACCCGTGAAGGGCCAATATTGGGCCTCTATTGCTAGCTGAGGACGTGCCACGCTGCTTACTCTATCCTCTGGTTGTGGGCAACAATGGCGGAGGACCATCTTGAGGTGCGTCTTCTCATCCTGCATTGGCAGTGCGGCTCTTGAAGTTGTAGAATCAACTGCCAAACTGCATGGATTCGTAAGCAGTGTGAAATGCAGTCAATGTATGCAACTCGTGTATCCATTTTGATCAGCTCCGTAACATCCATGCCTTCGACGTTTTCTTTTAATCTAATCCTGAAATGTCTTCAGTAAGTTGTGCCGTAAGCGTGTCCACTCAAAAGATTGCACTTGTCAGCCTTTCAGCCTGCTCAGAACTTCCTTGTCTTTACACGTGTTTGCCCTCTGTGCTGTGCACAGGGTTGTTTGGCTTCTGTTTGCAAGTATAATGCAGGTCTTAGCGTGTCTGATATCTGTTCTTCTCAAAGCAAACAGTAGTCTGTGGCGGCATTTAAATTGGCTACGACGCCTAAGAAAGAATGCCTGGGGTTTGAGGGACAGCCAGTGTGCTTTGGCATTTAAAGGATGGTTGCCGAATATTTCAGGCCCTGTAAGACATGTTGGGAGCAACAGTTGACATATGAAAGGTAAATCACATGCATGTGTCCATGTCTGCAGATACACGATGCTGACCTCACGGAACTGGATTTGACCTCCACTGGCATTGCTTACCGCCTCATAGACCTTAAAAAGTGCAAGAGATTGACAAGACTTGGGAGCCTGAGCGGGTGCTCGGCGCTTCAGACGCTGAACTTGAGCTGGTGCGAGGCGCTGACGGAACCCCCGGACCTGAGCGGGTGCTTGGCGCTTCGAACGCTGGATTTGAGCTGGTGCGAGGCTCTAACGCAACCCCCGGACCTGAGTGGGTGCTCGGCGCTCCAGACGCTAGATATGAGGCAGTGCCGCAAGCTGACGGCGGTTCCGGATCTGCGCGGGTGCTCGACCCTCCAGACGCTGGACTTGGGGTGGTGCAAGGCGCTCACAGAAACCTCAGGCCTGAGCGGGTGCTCGGCGCTCCAGACGCTGGAATTGAGCCGGTGCCAGGCGCTAATGGCGGCCCCAGACCTGAGCAGGTTTTCGGGGCTCCAGACCCTGGACTTGAGCCTGTGCGACAACTTGACGGCGGCCCCGGATCTGGGAGGGTGCTTGGCGCTCCGGACGCTGGACTTGAGCGAGTGCAGCAAGCTGACGGAGGTCACCGACCTGAGCGGGTGCGCGACTCTCCAAACGCTGTCCTTGTGGGGGTGTTCGGCGCTGACGGCAGCCCCGGACCTGAGCGGGTGCTCAATTTTGCGGACGCTGAACTTGAGTGAGTGTCGGGCACTGACAGCAATCCCGGGACTGAGCAGGTGCTCGGCGCTCCAGACCCTGAACTTGAGGGAATGTTTGGCACTGACGGCAGCCTTGGACCTGAGCGGGTGCTCGGTGCTCCAGATGCTGGATTTGAGCGGTTGCGTTGAGCTGACGGCGGCCCCGAATCTGAGCAGGTGCTCGGCACTCCAGACGCTGAACTTGAGCCTGTGCGACAATCTGACGGTGGCCCCAGATCTGAGAGGGTGCTCGGCGCTCCAGAAGCTGAACTTGAGGGAGTGCCTCAAACTGACGGAGATTCCGGACCTGAGCGGATTTGCGGCGCTCCAGACGCTGTCCTTGTGGGGTTGTTCGGGGATGACGGCGGCCCCGGTTCTGAGTGAGTGCTTGGCGCTCCAGACGCTGAACTTAAGGGAGTGCCGCAAGCTGACGCAAATTCCGGACCTGAGTGGGTTTACGGCGCTCCAGACGCTGTCCTTGTGGGGGTGTTTGGCGGTAACGGCAATCCCGGGCCTGAGCAAGTGCTCGGCGCTCCAGTTTCTGAACCTGAGTGGGTGTATGGCGCTGACGGCGGCCTTGGACCTAAGAGGGTGCTCAATGCTCCAAACGCTGGACTTGAGCGAGTGCGTTGAGCTGACGGCAGTCTTAGACCTGAGCGGGTGCGCGGCGCTCCGGACGCTGTCCCTGAGGAAGTGTTGGGCGCTGACGTCGGTTCCGGACCTGAGCGAGTGCCTGGAGCTCCAAACCCTGGACTTAAGGGAGTGCCGCAAGCTGACGGCGCTCCGTGGCCTGGCAGCCCTGACCAACCTCCGGAAGCTTGACCTGGGCGACTGCACGAGCATCCGGGAGCTTCAATTACCCCAGGGAAAGAACAATATGCTCAAGGTACTCAATTTGAAAGGGTGTCGCTCCCTTGCCCCACCTAGCGACACCCTTAGCGACAATCCGAGCAACGCAGACCTCATCAACACCACGGGTACGTGCGAAGCTGTGGCGGGCTTTCTCTTAGACAAGGGCACGAAGGCGCCAGTCACTATGGCGTTCCATGGGGTCTGGGGCAAGGGCAAGTCGACCGCAATGAAGTTACTGGAGAGGAAGGTCAAGTCGAGAATGATTGTGGTGTGGTTCAAGGCCTGGCTCCACCGGGATTCCAAGGAGATCTGGGCCGGGCTTGCAGTCGAGGTGGGGCGGGCAATCGAAGGACGGCTTAGCTGGGGCTGGCGGCTCTGGGCTTATGCCGCTTATGCTTTCGAGAAACGGAAGAGCGAGTTGATTGTCAATATTGTCTCGCTCCTCTTGAGCTCGCTGGCTGCCGCTCTCGTAGTCGCACTGGGTGTCCCCACGTCCCTAAAGAGCGCCAAAGCAAGGACCAGTGACGCGCTGTACGGAAGCTTGGTCGCTTTCGGTGTGGTGGGCTGGCTGGCGTTCTTCGTTTGGAGGATGTACGCCATCTTCAAGCCGGTCAGCCAGCAGATTGCGGGGTACGTCGTCTCGCCGACCACTGAGCACCTGGGGTATGTGGGCTACCAGAACAGGGTTATCCAGGATCTCCAATTCCTGGGGCGTTGCGTGGGCTCTGAAAGGACCAAGGTGATAGTCTTCATCGACGACCTGGATCGTTCGCAGGACGATGCGGTTGTGTCCGTTTTGGAGGCCGTCAACATCGTCCTGGGCGGCTGCGATAACAAGGACCTGGGTATATATACGATTTTCGGGCTCGACCTCGAGATGACGACCCGCGCTATATATAACCACTTCAAGGGCGTTACTGGGGCCTCCAGATTGTCTGAAGTCAGCCGGGATGAGTCGAGGCGTTTCCTTCAGAAGATCATCCAACTGTCCATTGAGCTGCCCCCATTAACAGAGGCGGAGCGCGAGTCTTATGTCCAGAAGTTGGTGGGAGTATCAGATCACGAGAACCAGGCAGTGACGGGAGCTTCTGGATCTCGAGGATTAGAGGACGACGGGGTCGCGAGCTCACTTCCAGCCGCTCGGTCGCTACGTTGAGAAGGAGACGCTCGAGCTGCTACAGCAAGGGACGACTTGGTAACTCAATATCGGGCAGCCGCAGCACCCGAAGATGATATTGCATCTCCTCATAAACCAAGAATGGCGGAGTTTGGAGCGTGGCGGAAACTTCTATATCTGCAACGAAGACTGGGCGGTTATCAGCGGGTCAAGGACGGTGATCAGCGGGTCGAGGACGGGGAGGAAATGACCGTAGGAGTGGAGGGGCGGGACGGAGTCGCAGCCGAGCTGTTGGGCACATACTACGTTGCCTTCCTGCCGGATAACCCGCGCCAGATCAAGTCGATGATCAACAATTACCGCCTCGCATATCGAGTTCTACTGCAGCGAGATCACGTGAGCGGCACCTTGTACACCAGATGGAGGATACACCTGGTGACGTGGGTCGTGCTGGTCGCCGCTTTTTCCAAGGTGGCCCCTCTGATCAGGGCGATATGCCGCGCCCCCTCGACGGGCCCCCCTCGGGACACGGGACCACCTCAGGCCATGGGCGCCCAACAGGACGTGGGGCCCTCTCAAAATACGGGCTCCCCTCAGGACACGGGATCCCCTCAGGACATTCTGGAGGCCCTTCTTCAGGCTATTCGGGAAAAGGTCGGAGTGGCAGAATCCAAGCAAGCGAGTCTGAACGGCATTCGAAAAGTGCTGTGGGATGCGGACAAGGAGAAGGCGTTGCTCGAGGCAAAGAATGAGGTAGACCAAGAGCTGGTTGATTGGAAACAGACTTGCGAGAAGTTTGCCTTGTTTCAGGAAAAGGCTCTGCAGGTCTCTACAACGAAGGAGTGCGGGAGCATTTCTTACGAGGACCTGATGTACTTTCGGTGCTTTAGCGCTGGCCTGTGTCTTACCTCGTAGGTAGATATGACGATCTGGAATGTTTGTTAAACCTGGAGCCACTGACGGATGCAAGGCTCTAGGGAATTGAACTCCGGACAAGCTAACAAGGTTCAAATTGCAATAGAGATTTTCTGCGAAGTCAGATTGTGTGGATCATACCGTTCATTCTTCCCTTTTTAAGACTAGCTAGGACCATTCAATTGCAAATAACCCTTTGGCAAATTGTAATGGTCATGGGCAGAATGCATGCATGATAGCTCGGTGCGACCACAATTCAAATTGTAATCATCTTCTTTTAAGGTACATAATCATTTACTACAGGATCATGATCGATGTCATATGCCCAAGTACATGCATCAAAATAGAGCCACTTAAACGTAGATCAAAAATCTCGTCGGGTTAATGTTTCGAAGCTCGCGCATCCGTACCTTTTGCATGCATGACTGTTTGCATGGGACCAATCAGTGCGAACACTAATGGTCTCGCGAGCTGCTATATCCCCGCAATGCAATGCCACACACAAATTCTTTGAGACATGGTCCGTTGATCGATTGCGCATGGAAGTTACCATCAATGCATATGGGGGCTGACTCTGAGACTGGCATGCCAGAGGATCATTGCCTGGCGGCACGTCGGAATCACATGGAATTCACCTTTTCAGAGTCAGATTCTCATCTTTTGCGAGCCTGCTCCTTCTGAGCTTGTAAGTAAGTATCACTGCTTTTAGAAGTCAAAGCTTGAGTTGCAAAACTCCACCAGGAGCAGAAATCAGTATTAATTGGTAGCAGAGGCACAAGAGCAACGCTTTCGACGTGCTTCTACTTTCATCTGACAGGCTACTCGTACAACAGTCTCTGCTTAAAAACAGGGATCACAGCTTGCCACGTGTCCCGGTCAAGCCGAGCGAGAACCTGGACGGAAGCACGCCCTTCTTGGGCTTCCGACTCGGTGCGCGCAGCCTGAAGCTGACCGGCGGTTGCACCGGCGATTAGGACAATCTCATAGCTCGCGTATTCCTCTTCCAGCAACAAGCCGGTTAAAGGGAGCCGGGCCGCTAACCGGGCGCCCCCACATTCGAGCACATACACCGCTCTGTCGCTCAGGAGCAGGCTCCCCCGGTCGAGAACCATAGGACGCACATCCTCGACGGGACCGGTAACCCGCACTACGGTTAGTGAGTTAACCACAACGTGGCGCATAAAGCGCTCGCCTGTGAGAATGTGGCTCCGTAGTCTGCGCAACGCACTCCGGACGGGGGATCCCTCTTCGACCGCCTCCTCTTCTAAAACGCCCGTATTCACACTCTCTGACGTCACGCTCAGCGAGCTCGACACCCGCAGCAAGCGCGGCTGGGGCCCTGTTTCCCGCCCGAGCAGCCCCGAGGAAGTGTGCGCCACAAGCTGCAGAGGCGCCACCAGAACGCCGATAAGGCCCCGCCTGACGCCGCTCAGCACTCCGCCAGTCGGAGCCCCAGTCTTTGGAGACATGGGTCCCTCGCTCGACAGGGCCTGAGCCGAGTTGCCCGTCTCCTCCGAAGAGGGGTCGTTCTGCCCGGGTCCCCGCCCCCCCGCTTGGGTCAAGATACGGGAGAGCGAGGAGCTGAAGCCGGCGACCGAGGAAAGCGTCCAGCGGGACACGTGGCGCGACAGAGAGGCGCCACCTGCCCCAAGTCCCCAAAGGAAGCCGAAGGCGCCGTTCTGGCTGCCTTGCAGCGGCAATTGAATGAGGTCGCGCAGACCGGCGCGCACGCTCTTCACCAAGCCTGCAGAACCAGAGAACAGGGAGGGCCTTTCACAACGTGTAGCCGAAGAGAGCGTTCGAGGAGACGGCAATTAGAGCTTTGGAGTCATTTCAGCGACACAAGATGAGGGAGTATGAACAAGTGGAGGCGAAGCATTGTTTGTGTTGGATGTAAGGGGTGGGTGGGGCGGGTGAAAAAAGGGACTTAAAAAAGCCCTGATTGGATTCTACCGCAAAAGGGCTCTCTTTTGACCAGTGTCCGAGCTACGCAAGCCCGGCGAAGCTGCGTCAGGCGCTCAGCCAAAAGGTCGCCAAACGTGCGTCCCCCCGGTAGGAACGATAGCTTACCCGTGGGGTTGAAGAGCAGCTCCAGAGAGCCCACCACCCGGTGCACGTTACAAATGGCCTCCGTAACATAGTGGCCTAGGACGCCCCGGGCTAACACCACGGACGGGAACAACACCGTCCGCAGCTCCAGTTCGGACAGCCGCACCGGCGCCGCGCGGACGTCTAGAACCACGGGCCGGGTCACGCACGCGGTTAGCGCTAACCGGACGTCCGAAACCGCTAGGGAGTGTACGTACAGCTGCGGGTCGGCCAGGGCGAGGTCAGACGTCCGGATTAGGAGGCCCTGTGACTGAGGATGCCGCGCGGATTTGGCTGAGGACTCGAGGGCATCGGCAGGAAATGGGGGCCTCCGGAGACGTGTAAACAGTGCGAGCAGCGAGTCGTCGATGTTTAGCACGAGTGGCTGGATTCGGACGTCCAGACTTTGGACCCAAGCTGCGGACAGATCGGGGGAGGGGCCAGGGACTGGTTGGAAGAAAGTGACCGAGCACCGGGCGGCAGGGAAGGGGTCGGTTTTGGAGCTCGGGTGGCCACGAAGTTTCGCGGCCGCAAGCCCCGTCTCCCCCAAGTCGACCGTCAAAACGACCGGTAGCTTCGCCCCGAGCAGATGGTTGTCCAGCTGGAGGGCCGCGACTGCCACGTGGCAATCGTAGGACGTGACCGGGGGAAGGCCTACCGAGCGGGGGGAGGAGACCCGGGAGGCTTCGAATTGGAGCCCGTCTAGCGTGAACAGGAACGCGAGAGAAGGGCTGCTGGGGTTGTTTTGGGGGGGTGTTTCGGTGGTTGAAACGGGCCCCCTGAAGAGGCGGCTTTCGTCATCGAAGAGGGCCGCTTGCAGGGAACCGAAGGAGAGGTTGACCGCGAGGTTCGAAGGGAGAGCTAACTCCTTTTCGGTTTCCGTTGCGGTTTCCAATCGTTCCGGTCTCGAGGCTTCCGCTTCTGAGGATCCCGCCGCTGCGTGTCCTCCTGAGCGGCGCACCAGAATGCAGCAGGTCGCCCCCTGCCTCTCGACTTGCACCGTCAGCGTTTCTTCCGAACCTCGCGGCTCGTGAATTTGCAAAACGTCGACCGCCGATGCCTCGTCTCCGGTTCCCTTCTCATTGCCCTTTACAATCCCGCTCTGACCGCCTTCCGTTTTCCGTCCTTCCGACAGCGCCTCTTGTTCTTCCCACCCCCCTGCTTGCGCGTTCTCCTTTGAAGACGGCGGATACTCGAAACTCAGCGCTCCATCAGTGTTAAAAGGTTCGCTCCAGAAGCCATTTCCCATCCTGATCTGGAGCTTGACACCACGGCCCCCCTGCCGCATCTGCACCAGAAGCGCCTCATCCATTTCCTCTTCGACGTCCCCCCCCCCCCCAACCCCGCCAACCCCTCCCAATCAAAGTGCGCCACGCAGCGCGGCGCAACTAGCGTGGGGCAATTTTCTTCCTCCCCCTCTTCGGACGCCTTTCGGACCTCGAGCGCAGCGTCCGACTCGTTCCGGACGGCCCCCGGCGGCTGCGCGTCCTCGTGCAGCACCAGATGCGCCTGGCCGTCCGCGCTGACCACGTGCCACGTCAGCATGACGTCGTGGCCCCCTGGGGATGACGTCAGCAGCATGCGGCGCTGAGTGGCGGGCATGCCGAGCTGGAACGAGGGGGAGAGCGCCTGGACTCCTCCGGGGGGGTACGACAGCCCGAGCCGCTCAACATTTCTTTCCGAAACATCCCTTTTCCCGGTTCCAAGATCAACATTGCCAGCGATACCTAAAATCGTGCCAAGTTTAGAACCGGGTTCCAACGGTCCCTGGCTCCACGCCGTCCGTTCGACCGATTCTAAAGCTTCTACCTCCAAACCGATTTCCGCTGTTGGCGCGTCTAACAAGCTCCGATACGTGATTGACGACAGCCCGGGGGTCAGCTCCGGGGGGGGTTCTTTTACCAGGCGGCGCACCAGGACGTGGGCTTCTTTCTGCCCCCCCGGAAGGGTTTGCGCGGGCCAGACCAGAGATGCGGCGGGGGGAGCCCCCGGGTAAGTGGCGTGGAAAGGGTGGAGGTAAAGCGCGTAGGGGGTCAAGTTGGACGCTAGCGCCCAGGGGTAGATGCTGACGTGGCAGGTCACGTGACTGGGGGAGTGGCTCGAGGCGTCCTTGTGGCTGCAAAAGCAAGGAGCGCAGTTGGTGTTCAGAAGTAGGGGCCGAAGAATACGGGGTTCTAGTCGAGAGGTCTTGCAGATATGCTTGTTGTTAGTGATGGGTGATTCAGCATTGGGATGTGTTTTGATGGATACTCGGAGTGACGATGAAAGCACTTCGAACGCGGACTTCCTTTAGAGGCAGACTTGACGCGATACGTGATACAGTGACAGCAAACAATTTGGCTGCTGAAAGGAAGACCACCTTTAAGAAAACGAAATATTCTGCTCCACAAGCCGAACTCAAGACAACTCAGATTCTCTCGTGCTTGAATAAGAATTCAAAGCGGCTATAATATGCTGAATTGGGTCATCAGTCTTTACGGGGCTAACCGATTTTAAAGCTCACCTGACGTTTTCAATCCGCACGAGGAAGCAGCACTCCGCCACCAGATCCCCTGCCGGCACCCACACGGACCCCTCGTGAAGTCCCCCTTCATCCAACGATACCGGGCTCGACCACACGAACGCTCCGCCTGCCCCCCCCGCAGACAGCCCAATCTCTTCTGCTTCCGCACCCCCCCTCGCCTCTGTCCCGGCATCCCCCCCCAAAGATTCACTCAGAACACCCCCCCGTTGGCTCAGATCAAAGCTGAGGCCAATCTTCGCCCTCCGAACCCTGCGGGGCCGGCCGCTGGAAGAAGCGGACGGCCAGGAGAACGCCACGTGTCCCTCCGGTTGAGCGACCGCGACGGGCGTTGTTTCGCCACGTGGGCTGACAGCGGCGATACAGACGGGGTGGTGGGTCGCGTTGTGGAGGACGGCGTATGGGAGGAGGGAGAGGACAACCGTGGGGACGTCCGGGGAGAAAGGCTCGGACGCCAGGACGCAGCCCAGCTCCTGTCCAAAAAGCATGCGGATTTGCGTAGTGAATGCACAAGGCTTTCAAGTGTCCTTTTGTTATGCTTTGGGATTCTGATGCCTTCCGACCAGGTAACAGCAAAGCGCTGCAAGCAGGAGTGCGTATCGCAACTTTGATTCCAGTCCAGCAAAGTACAAGCAACAGTCAGTGCACAGCCCAGCTGCTCCACGCCATGTGGCGCCAGCCGATGTCGAATTGTAACTGCAAGGACTTCGAAAGCATCTGTTGATCTCTTTGTGCCTCTTCCTCAAGCGGATCACAAATCGTATTCATCACCATTGCGCCATTCAGTCTTTATCACTTGGAATTGAACCAAACTGTGTGAAAAATATACAAGCAGAGAGCCGTTGGCAACCCTTAGCAATCCCCATCGCCTTAATTCCCAGCATGCAAAGAGAGTCTCACCTTGTCCTCTCCAGTCAGCAGTAGCTGGCGCACTGCCCCCAGCGAAGGTATCCTGAACTCCTCTCCCACCATTCCGCTCTCGAGCGGCCCCCCCACTCCCGAAACGGAAGCCAGCAACAACGGAGCAGACCACACCCCACTTTCTGCGTCCAAACCGCTCTGCCCTCCCACACACCCCTTCTCAGTGGCGGCAATATCTGTGCCAGGCAGACCCGACCCGTCTAGTAAACCGAAGCGCTCTTGGCTAAGCTCCAAAGCGGAGTCCCCAGGGTTTCCGCTGCTATTCCGCCCCGGATCAGTCTCCTTTTCCGCAGCGAGCCGGAACGCGACGGAATCCACGCCCGACGTCAAGGCCCGCAGCGGGACTTCTTCCTGTTCGTTAACCCGCACGCTAACCGACTCGAAACCCTCCTCCCCAACCCGAAGATCCACGCTCCGGTGGAGCCCATTGTACGCCATGAACAGCGGCCAAATCGTGACGGTTAAGCATCCCTCGGGGCTTGACACCAACTGACACCACACCGAGGGAAGCCCCCTCTGCACCCCTCTCACGGGCGTGCTCTGAGTGTCAACCGTCAAGAGTTGTACCGCCTGCCCCCCCGGGGGAGCGGGATCCAAACCGAGCCAGGGAGACCAAATGGCGCCCTCCGATTGGGCCTCCTCTTGCTCTGCCGTCGAGCCCAGAAGCACGCTCACGGAAGGCGCCACGTGGCAATCGTCGTCGCTGACGTCACCGCTGACGTCGCCGCTGGAGGGGTTCACGAGAAGCACTCCGACGCCGGGGGCCGTTCGTCCGCTCGGCGGGACGGTGAGAATGCGCTCCCCCGCATGCCAGTAGCTCGCAAACTCTTCCTGGGAAGACTGCCTCTGGGGCTTGTCCCCAATGCGAGTGCTTGCTATCTCCTCAGCGCCATTCAGCTGGTCGCAATTCGACGGTTCGCGGTCCTGAGGAGGGGTCATAAGCTCCACACCGCTTTCTAGGTCCGCCTGATCCGACCCCTCCTTGGGCAGCAAACCCCGGTACCTGATCGACAACACTCCCGCTGTTCTGTTTACGAACTGCAGCCCCGGACTGACCGATACGTTCCACTCCCCCCTTCGCCCCTTGCCTATCTTCAAAACCAGAGGGGCAACTCCCCGACCGTCAATCACTACGCGCCTCTCCAACCCACCGCTCGCCTTCAGACGAAAGGCTTCACTCCACAAACTAGCCGGACCCACACTTTCCCGGAGATCTACATATGAGGGCGCTGCGATCCTGACCCGCAGTTTCCGTTTGGCTCCCGGAACAAGAACAGGGGGGTCTGCCCAATTGTAAGGATAAGCCCCCCCAGGGCGAACGAGCAACGCTTCGTTAGTGTCGAGCTGGCCGAAGTGGAGCGGAACTGGGGACTCGTTTCTAAGCACGATCGCAGGGCTTCTGTCCGTTACGTTGCCCCCAGACTCGCCCGTTGCCATGTCTTCACCGCGTTTCGCGTCTCCCTCCATTCCTTTCTCAGCACCCGAGACCTTCCCCAATTGTATCCGCTCCTCTTCCGACCGACTTTCCGTCCCCTCCGAAATCTCTCCTTCTACCTCCGAGGAACTTTCCCCGGCCACTTCTTTCTTCCCCCAGCGCCGCTGCGCTTCTTCCAGTCCGGACTTCTGTAACCTTACTCGGACATCGCCTTCGGTTCGAACGTCGAAAGAGTAGCCCACACCGGCGGGGGGCTTGCGGGGATGCGCCACCGGAAGGCCTTCCAAAAGGGGGGCAGCAGAAGCTGGAGTCTTGGGGGCGGGGTCAGCGGCATCCAGAGGGGTTCCGGGAAGCAAGACCGAGCAGATGTCGGCGACGAGGGCGCATTCCACAGGCTCCACTAGCCGCTCCTGCATAAGCAGAAGGGAGTTTCTAAACGGGCTGCTAGGAAGCGGAAAACCGAGGGATTCTGACAACCGGACAAACCTGGTCCGAGGCTCCTCCCTCCCTCAGTTATCGACCGCCGTCCCAGTCAAAGGGAACCGCGAATACGGGAAGCAGACCCGAGTATTTTCGACAACGTGTACGCAACTACGCACTTAGCGCTTTGCTCGGCGCAAGCTCAGAACAGGATATGTCAAGTCCTCCAGCAAACTCCCATCCTTCAGCATCATTGAAGTCTATTAGTTGTGACACTATCATGGACTAAATGTAAGGGGAGACATAAATGGGCAACCCCACATGTCAGCCCGTAAAACCCGCACGGAAGGGTCTTATGCACAGAGGAATGTAGCTACCCTGCCTTCAGCAGGAAGGGAGTGCAAACCAGCGCTGCAATACGTTCGCTGTAGTTGACGGTCAAACGCCCGATCTGATACACACAAAAGCTCGATCGAAACTGCTACTTGCGCGATTCGTAGAAAAGGTTGTAGGAAACGATTGTCTTACGTAGGTCTGGCACGCTGTGTCCACATACTCCCCCGCCCACTCCCCGACCACCGCCAGTGTCATGGCAGTCGAGGCCCACCAATGATAGCCCAGCCTCAGCCCTCGGATTGACAACGCCCCCCGCTCCTCGTCTTCCCCGTCTTGTGCCCGGTGAAGAAGCCCGAGCTCAAACGAGTCGGCCGTCAGCTCGATTGTAAGCGGCGCCAGCACTGGGAGAGAGGGAACCGGACACGAATTGGCCGGAGAACCGGTCGGGTTAACCTGGACTTGGCGCAGCATGTCGACTGCCCGGGGGAGTCTCGCCCGGGCGCTTGTTTCATGGTTGGTGGAAGAGAGGTTATGAAACTCAGGGGAGGAGTGAGCACTAGAGGGAGAGCCTGAGTAGCCGGGAGAAGGCGGGTTCAAGCTACGGGGGTTCTTTTCAGGGGCAATCAGTACCCCCCGAGAGAGGTCTGTGAGGTCCCGATCAGCGGTCCCCGGGTTCCCGGTTGCTGAAAGCCAGGAGAGGCGCCAACATACTGCTTCGACGTCTGAGCCGGTTGTAATGAGCAGGAAACCCCCCGCTGACGTGGCAGCTGCATCTGCTGACGTGGCTGTTGCACAGTTGATCCATTGGAAGTCCTCTGCGCTCGCAGGGGGGGTAGAAGGATTCGCTGGCTGTGCCTGGTAGCTGACTCGGAACATAAGCGGGGGGGCGCTTGAAGATAGGGTCCGCAGGTCGACCAAGATTTGCCCGACCGCTCCGGGGTAGGGGTAACTGCAACACAGTTAGGCCGTAACTTGTCAGGCTGCAGTCGGTGACGGATTGGATCAAGTTAAGCACGTTGAGCAGAGTTGGAACAGCTGTCACCAACAGACTCCTTGGCGCTCGCAAGTTCTGGTCCAACTCTGTTGCGGCGGACACGGCTTTTCGGCGTTAAGGGTTTGGATGCTGTTCCTAACGCACTTTAGATGGAAGATGGCCTATAGAAGATTAAAGAAGCGACCGATTCGACTTGCTTGCAATACACTCTCGGTTGATAAGGTTGGGCTTATGACAAGATGTGTCAAGCGAAATCAAGCTGCCGTCGTTACTGCTGGCATGTGCACCAGCACCAGATTGCAAGGTCAGCTTAGCCTCCAACAACTGGATGTGTGTGCAAGCCAAGAGAGCTTGCTGAGAGTCTGGTGCAACCGCAAGCAAGAAATATCCCAATTAAGACATTACCAGCCTCGTAGGGTTTCCAAACGACAGAACATCAGTCAACGCTTATCGACCTGGAGTTCTCTGGGCGACTCAGGAGCAAACTCGCCTTGAAGTCCGACTGCGGTCGGTAATCGACCACAACCTCATCAACCGATCAAAGCGACGCCGCAAAGGGTGCTTACTGCAGATCCCGGTTCCTCACCTCCAAGCGATCCAGCCCTCTTCCGCCCCGTCCCCCCACCCCACTTCGCCGGGCCCTGGCAGCGCCATCGTGTCTCCCCTTGCCTTCTTGAACAGCCCACACCGCAGGTCGTCCGCGGGCAAAACAGGGCCCGCGCACCGTTGCCTCAGCGGCCAGGTCGCGCTCCACCCCCCAAGGAGTGACCCAAAGAGGCCCTGTAAAACGGAGAGTCGCTCCCCGCAGGCCGCCAGCTCTAAGCGGCGGGTGTCGAGTCTGAGGGAGAGCGGGAAGGGGCAGCCCACTATAGTAAGACCGAGTCGTAGGTCCCGGGGAAGGAGAAACGGGAGGGCGGTTTGGACGGGGTTTGGAGGAGGTTTTGGGGGGGTTTGGTTGGTCGTTAGCGGGTTCTGTGAGAGGGTTTGGAACGTTTGTTCTTGGGGTAAGCTTTGGGTGACATTTTGGGGGTGAGTTTGGGCGACACTCGCAACCGGGGACTCCACCAGAGAAAGGCCGAAACCCAGTAGCGAGAAGTCGAGCTCCAGGGCACGTGCTTCCGTGGAAGGATTCAGGGGTTCGGACGAGTCGTGTACGCCCGCCCACTGCCGGACGTCCGGATCGACTGATGGACTGACAAGTGTCACGCTGCTCTCGCTGAAGAGTAGGGCACCGAAGGCGGGGGTGTGAATACCCCGGCTCGAGACGTTGGGGCCTGCCACGTGGAAGGCTTCGAGGGAGGAGAGAACGTGGCAGCGGTAGGCGCCGGTAATGATTCGGACGGTCGGGATGGCGGGGAGGACGTCCGGTCCGCCCGGGTTGGGGAAGTGCTTGCGGCGTTCGTAGGCGAAGGTGATGAACTGGAGGGGAGAGACAAGCAAGAAAGGTTGAGATTACAGTACGAAGGTATTTCGATGGTCGCCTCTGCAAACGAGTCCAAAAAAGAGTGCTTGCGGCGTTCGTAGGCGAGAGTGATGAACGGAGAGACAAGCAGGGAGGTTTTAATTGTAGTACAGCGTTTCCGGAAGGTGATTAGTTGGTCGCCTCTGCAAACGGATCCAAGGGAGTTTGTAGGACTGTCGAACGGGCCTGCCCAAGGGCAGATAGGTCAGCGAAAGCAGACAATCTGCAGGCTATGGTGAGAGCGGGGTGTGAGTAAAAGTAGGCAGGCCCCCACCGAAATTCTCCAAACGGATCAAATTGTATGGATTCGCTTCGAAACGGCGCAACGGACGTCAGACATTGTCCGAGACATTGTCTGAGACAACAAGCAGTGAGATGACAAAATCGTCAACAGAAACCTCGAACCGTGGTTTTCAATCAATGAATCATGAGTGTTAGCCATCCGCTCAGGGTGTTGCATAGGCACGTGCTTGGTTCTAAAAAATCGGAACCTGCCCCTTAGAACCTGCCCCAGACCTTTCCTTCGTGACCAAAAGAGCTCTTAAGAACAGCAAAGGTGACCGTACAAAACGACCTGACCGCTCACGATCCACAGAGCGACTCGTCCTGCCCACCGGAGACTTGAAAGAAGAGGACCACTGACGTTCTTCCAAAAGCAACAGCGCTTGAGGATGTCATCATATCTACCGCGACCCTCACCTCCTGGATCAGTTGCGCATCGAGCCTCCAGTCTAGTTCCGCCAGGCTCAGCTCCAGCTTGCCGGGCTGCTCCCCTTTGCTGCGCCACGTCACCTCGACGGGCGGCCCTTTCCCGGGGCGGCGCTCAAGGATCGCATGAACGAACGCAGGATTCTCAGTGGCAATTAGAGTATCTTCTACTGAGTCGTTCTGACTAGCACGCCGGTCTAGGAGCACTTTGAGATCGCCCGTCACCAACGTAACCGTTCTATCTTTCTCGAGGAGCGCCGGTCTCACGTGCGCACCAGAATGCAAACGAGCGGAGTCCGGCGGAATCGAGTCTCGAGGAGCGGATTCCGGAGCAGTGGACGAGGATTGGGGCGAGGGGCGGTCCCGTATACTAAGCGTCTCAACGTCCTCTATTCTGAAAGCAGTTGCGACGATCCGCAGCACCGAGCTGTCCCCGTGCACTGCCTCCGGCCAAAGCACATCTCCCCTGTCCTTCCACAGCCCCAACTTCAATTCCAGACCGTCGATCTCGACCCGCGACCTCGACTCCATCCGACACGTGGCACTCGGAGGGGCTGTCGCCGAAGCAGGGGCCGCAGAGTCGCTGCCCACGTGGCCTGACGCTTCAGGTAACACGTGGCTCGAGGAGGCGCCCTTGAGGAAGAGGAGCAGCGCCACGTGTTGCTGGCGGGTGAGGCCTCCGCTGAGGGCCCTTATCCGCAGCACGCTTGCCTGCACAATCCATCGATCCAAGCATGTCAATCTGATGCTCTTGTACAAATCAAAAGGGTCAGTCGAGAGGCCGGAGTCTAGCTCGTCAGCTGGATTTTCTACTGAGCAGAGGCCTCAACGTGGGACATCAAGGCTGGTCATAGTGCAGATGACGTAGATGAGCATCATAGATGATTTTGCAGGTCAGGCTGGAGGTCCTCGAAAGCACGACTTCGCAAAACACAAAGGGTCTTTCCAAAGCCAAAATCCTGAGCTTGCAATCCGGTCCAGAGCTGATGCGCTACCGCCCTCACCTTTTTACTGTGCGCCACGTGCGCGCTGTCCCGCCACTCTTCGTGCTCGATGCTCCCGCTGACGTCAGCAACGTGCAGCAGCGGCGCCCCCAGGTCGACTGGCGTGCCTCCGCTGAGACACAACAGCCGCGCGCTCGCTGACGTCACCCGCCACGTCACGCTTGTGACGATCACTCGGTGGTTCAAGCGACCGACTTCTGAAGGCGAAAAGGTTTCCCGACTGGCTGAGTGGCTCGCTGACCCTTTTATTGAGAGGCTGATTTTGGCCAAAGCGAAAGTGGGAGCGATCACAAGAGGCGTCTTGTCCTCGCTCTCGCTGCGTGCGCTTGCGATGTTTAGCTGAACCTTTGAGATGTCTAAAGCGACGGTGTCAAACAGCCCGAATAGAGCGGGGCTGGCAATGGACCCCTCGGTTTGGGAGGGGCTCTTGACACTAGGAACTGTGGCCTCCGTCTTTGTCTGATTACCGCTGCTGACCGCGGTGTCAACAGAGCGGAAAGCACGGAGCGCTTGGAGGGTCTGGAGGTCTACAACTGTCGCTACTTGCCCTACTGCTATTATACAATGGCGGTCGACGCCTCCGGCTGACGTCATGGTGACTCGGATGCTGTCAGTCTCTCCAGTTCTTGGGAAAAGGGATAACCTGCAAAGAAAGAAGGCAGCATTGAAGGCGCCTGTGGAGACACGGGAGCATAGAACCAGATTGGTTACATAAGAAAATGGCATCAATAATTGCTTTACATGACTGCTTTGGCTGGACCGTTCAGTTGTTCCCCAATGATACCCAAAAAAACTTCGTTTCTGGAAAGTTCAAATGTTCTCTTCGTCAAATTTTGTCCTTCTTTGGCAGGAAAACTTGGAAAGCTGCACGTTGATGGTAGAAAGAAGCCTTCCAACTCAAGTTCTGCGCTGAAGGGAGTTGTAAGCGCGCAAGCGGCAACCGGTGGCTTGTCGCAAGATGCCTTCGCAAACCCACATCGCTCCTGACTCCGCCAACGGCATAGCTCTTGAACGACACAATCAGCTTTGATCGATGGCCTGGAAAGTGAATCGATACATCACCAAACTCCGCACAATGGAAAGCTTTTCTGTAGTGACTACGCAGAATGCTCGGGTCCACCCTTACATACAAGTCGCACCTCCGGTTAATTTCAAGTCGCCAAAACAGCCAGGGATTCTTTGAAAACCAACTTGTCCACGGCCTCTTAAGATGGATTACCGGAGCTGTCAGCGAAACTGTGCTCGATCCCTACATAGCTTGCCCGTTGTCCGAGCACAACCAAGCCCGCCCCCGACTTCAATTCGTAAACAATTTCTAGCGTCCACAGAATGAGCCGGATGCGGAGAAGTTAAGGGAGTGGCGTACTTGGAGCCCAGCGCCTCTGCTTCCACCGCTTGGAAAGCAAGCGCTAACGCCTCGTTACCGCTTTCGTGGGCAGTCAGGGAAGCGCCGGTCCACCCCACTGCCAGCCACGTCCCTGCAGAAAGAACAAAAGCATATTACGGATGACGATCAGGGGGCATCGTCCTTTCTCGTGCATTTTCCCTCTCTCAAAGCACTTGCCTTTTAAACAGTCATTAAAGAAAGCTCCTTTCGAAGGTGAAAAATTTGACGAAACTCCTTGTCCAGAAAAGTCCAGAACAAGTGATTGGAACTGTGAAAGGGTATTGGCACCATGTTGCGAGGCAGCGCCAGCAATCTTCGGTTGCCACCAACGAAAACGTGGCACCAAAAGAAGGGTCTTGACGGCTGTTCTTCCTCTATTCTTCACATCGAAGGTGGGCCGCTCCTCTGATGTCCTTCCCGACGTCTATAAACCTCACCTTGGTGAAAAGCTTCCTTGGGCAATTGCACCGGGAGCTGTTTCCCGGTCAGGTCGTGGAGGGTCGAGTCTGCGACCCGTGCGAGCAAGCGGCAGTCGGGGCCACCCAATTGAAATCGGAACCGGTTGGAGGATACAGTAGTGTTCGGCGTTGTAGGCGAAGTCGGTCCGGGTGGTGACCCGGGCAGAGAGAGCGAGCACGAGAGAGTCGTGGGGTCCAAGATCTGAGTGCACTCCTGCAAGGAAGTCTGGCGAGGTTAGCGCTGGTCGCAGATTCGGTTTCATAAGTACCTGGTCCTTTTGCGGAATGAGAAGTCTGCCTTGAAAGAGGCGTTCGCACCAATATCTGGAAAAGCAAGGAATTGCAGGAGCCTCGGACATACTGGGCAGTCCTGAATTGACCCAACCTACGAACGCGAAGAAGACTAGGCGAAAAAATTGCTTGACGAAGTTCCAAGAATGCTCTAAGGTCTATATCTCATTCCAAAGTCCTGAAGAACCACATAAGGCTTTGACATTCTGCGAGGCTTGTGAGCCAGTTAATCGCCTCCATAGGTACAGCGTGAAGGTGAATCAAAGATAATGCAGGCAGACAGGTAAGTCGAAGGCAACACCAACACAAAGCCTGCAAGTCGTATTGAAGGCGCCGATGCAGGACGGGGACTATTCTTACCTGCTGACGCGCCCAGTCTGGAACCGCATCCGCTTTCACTTCTCGCAAAACCACCTCGAACGCCCGTGCCCCGCCTCCCTCCCCTTCTTTGGCACCGTCCAGAAGGTCCGAAAGACGACACTCCAATTGTCCGGAACTCAGCACCACTGCCGGCGGGCCACTTTCCGATTCCGCGCCAAGCGCCGCCAACTCGCAAGTTTCGACCGAGACCTCAAAGGCCGGCAAAGCGGACACCCTCTCACGGACCCGTGCTAAGAAGGAAAGTTCACCGATTTCACCGTTATCCCCTGAGGGGGTTTCATCTACCACCTGATTGGCCGCCTCCGAGTACCACCCGGGGGCCAATCTCTCCGCCTCGCTGACGTGTCCACTGCTACCAGCCTTTCCCCCTTTCTCCAAGCCATCACCGTCATCCTGGCCGACGATGACGTCAGCCGCTTCCATTCCGTCCCGCCCGCTCTGCATGAAGCTCTTCAGGCCAGCCACGAGCCCCGGCCTGTAGGCGACTGCCACGTGTCCCACCAAAGCCTGTAGCTTCGGGGCCTTGTCGTTTCCTGCTTCGCCCGAATCTATGGGACGTTCCTCGCTCTGCCACGTGATTTGCAGGGCCTTCCGCTCGGGGGACGTAGCCTCGTCGGAAGGTGACTTCGCCGAGGGGGTTGCGAGTTGGGGCGAAGCGAGGCTGGAGGAAGCGGAACGGAACTTGGTCGCACCGGAGGGAGTCGGTTGCTGCGCCTCGGTAGCCCGGGACTTTTCGACCTGCGCGCTCAGTCTAGAAGCTTGGGATGCAGCATCTGTACCGAAGTCTGAGACGGGACTCCCCGGAAAAGAGAGCTGCCGTCGCGCAGCGAATTGGCCCCCATCCCGGTCGGGCAGAATCGCTAGCAACACGTCCGAAGGGCCCTCGTTTGCCACCGCACCGGGCTTCGTAACCCGCGCCCAGTCTAACCGAGCGCTAACCGATTGCAGGGCCTCCTGTGCCACGTCAGCATCCACCGAGAGCCCTCCCCAGGCCAGGACCGCAAACTGGGCCTTAGCGCCGGATTCAGAATTCCGAAAGCGCGGGCTGCGGACGTCCGGAAGGCTCGAGAAGAGGTCCGGGGTCGGGATGAATACGCCCGCGGCGGGGGGGCTGAGAGTCTGCTCTATCACGGCCTTGTCCACCACCGTAGTGCTGTCGTCATCTTTCTCGGACACTCCACCATCTTCAGACGCACTCCCCCCGGCGCTCGAATGCCGGACCGGTCCCTTTTTCACTTCAGGGGGGGGCACGTGGCGCAGCTTCACCTCCCCCCCGGTAAGCTTCAACCGGAACGCCAGGTCGAGCGGCCCCCCCGAACCGAGGAGACCCAACACGTCAGCTTCTTCTTCCATCTGCTGAAGCGCCTCCCTTCGCTGCGCCGCCGCTTCGGCCGCGCCAGCTGTCGCCTCCTCATTGGCCAAAAAGTTCCACGCCCAGCC